CCCCAAATTTCCCGTGAACTCTATCCATCTGAAACCGTCTCGATCTAAGACAAAAGCTTGAAATCGTCCCCATCATGATACTTGTGGAAAAGTAGTCCAGTCATACTGAAACTTAGCCACACGAAATCTTATCTCTCAATTCCCTACCCCCTTCAACACTCTCCACTCATCCTCATCTCCTCCGAACACGTAAACAACTAATCATCTCTCGTCGTCTCGTACCGATTCTTTCCAAGAACCATTCTACGTCTCGATCGTTTGCCGATCTGGCCGAAGAGACGAAAAGACAGAAAGAAAAAGAGATGAAAAGGTTTCAATTGATAACGAAGGAACTTGATCCGGCTGTGGGAAAAGCTTATCTTTCTTTGGCGGAGGGGGATGAGGTGGATGCTCTTGAGGGGTGGGATGGGGAAGTGGATGTTGACCCTTGGGGTTCTCAACAAGTGAGGAATCATTCGGGCGTGCTTCCCAGTGACAACAATGAAAAGAGGATAGCAGAATTTGAGAAGATGAAAGAGGGTATATTGGATACTAGAGACAATGAGAAAAACTTTCATAGAGGTGTAGGACAAGATAGGGAGAAATCATCTGGCGAGGTGAAAGATGAGGGAGGAGTCGGAAGTGACAGATTGACAGGGGAAGAAAAAGCTTTAGGAATGTATTTGGAAGATAATGAATGGGAAGCTGGCACATCTGGACTTGGGAAGATACGAAGAGGTAAATGGACGGTTGTCAGTGGATTAGTGTAAGATATCAATATCGTTCCCACTGTTTTCCTTTCTGTGTTTTTACCCTTAATTGTAATGATTCAAAACCATCATGTAGCAAAATCTCTTCTGCAAGTATCCATATTTCAGATGTTGTACAACAAATCATAGCGGAAAACGATTACTCATCATCTCAGTTCCTTCAACTTAGCGAACCGTCTAGCAAGTTCATCTTCCTCTGTATCTTTCTTTCCCCAGACTTGTGTCTCTTGAGCTGGTGGTGGGAATGTCGTCTTATCTTTCGTTATCGCCTCTTTCGGAGGACTCTTCTCTTTATCACTCTCTTTCTCCTTTCCTTTTCCTGTGTCTCTTCCTTTTCCTTTTCCTGTTTCTTTTCCTTTTAGATTGTCGTCTGATGCTAGTCCACCATCTCCATCTTCATCTTCGGGAGAAGACTCTTTTTCGGCACCTACTACCGCTGAATCGAGAGGAGGAAGAGGGGATTCGTAAGGGACATTATAACCTCGAGCTATTTCGGATAAATAAGCATCGACGAGATCTGGAGAAGGAGTGAAAAGTGACATTTTTGATAAAACTCTTGAAGGGACACCAGGTTGTGTTAATTCGGTCGGAAGGAGAGAAAGAGCAAAATTACGACCGTACTATTTGTCAACTCCACTTTTCTGACTCCAACATCTCTACAGTTCCCCCAAGTACTCTCAGCATTCTAATCCATATCCACCTATCTGCTCAGGTCGTAGATTCAATTCACTCCAGATGGGAAGAATTCGCCAGGGAGAAAGTGAGTGATGTCTAGAGAACACAGAACAAACGACTTACTTTGTGCATCAAAAATTCTCGTAAAACGTGCAATTCTTTCAATTCCGTACGAGGAGCAGCATAGACGATAGAGCAAACAGCATCGGAAATGGAAGGTTCAGGTTCGGTAGCACTTTCTATCAGCTGTTTTCTCACTTTGAAAAGGAAACTGGTAGCTCACGTTGAAGAATCAAGAAGATTGAATCGGGCTTGTAGTAATTCACAATACAGCTGGATGGTTAATAAGGTTTCCTCTTCTTCTGTCCACACTTGTCCTCCCTTGACGTTTTGAAATGATTGTACCTCCTTGGACTGCTTTTGCTAATTCGGCAAGATACACACATATCTTGCTCAGGTTGAAGATGTCTTCCCACTCATTTACCTTCCCTCTGGTTCAAGTAACTACCATTCTTCGCCTGGGAATCACGAGTGCCATTTACACCCTGACGAAAGTTCAGGAAGATCCAATGGGCATGAGGGGTTGCCATTCAACTCATTGGAGAGATGAAAATAAGAAAAAGGAGTTCAGAACTCACTTCGAGTAATTCCAACAGTTCCACGTATATATCATCCTGTATCAACCCCTCGACCCTCAATCTAGCCGTCTCCACTCGGTTCTTCAATAGCAAATCGGCGATCTCTCTTCTACTCTTCTTAGCCAAAGCTAGCTTCTTCTCTTGAAGTGAACGTAATCGTTGTATGGAAAGACGTATTTGAACCTGGACATCAAATCCTACCCTTGAGATCCTCTCTACACGCGAGTGAATCTTGATTACGATCCGTAGACTGTGAGGACCTGACCAAGCATCATAAAGCAGGAAGCAGCGCGATATGATATCGGACCAAGGGGATATCTCATTGAGGCAGTGGTTTTGACGTTGTCCCAAATAAGATAAACGACTAACCTTCGTTCTTGCAGAGTTCCAAGGTGGCATTGTATTGATCTTTGATCGAGCAGATCGATGAACGATATGGAAAGACGAAAGAGGATGTCAAAGTCAAAGAAAGAAAGTGAGCAACAATACTAAATCTCCTTCCCTTCCTTCCTTCCTTCCTTCCTTCCGCCCATCCACTTACTTACTATCATATCTTGACCCATCCAACATGCCATCCAATCTATCAGGTATCTATCCACCAGATTCTGTCAACGTATGTCTTACCGTACCTCCTCTCATCCCGTCCCATCCAACCACCTCCACTTCCCATCCTTCGTGTCAATTTGCGATCCGCGAACACCCCTTGGCCACTCATACAAACCTTCCCCCCCAATCGTCTGGCATCTCCTACGACATTCTTCTGAAACCGCGACAAGAGGCTCCCACCTCATTACGACTGATCACCCGATACACTGGTTCTTGTGACGTTGCCTGCTGACTTCACAGGACGTAGCTCATGGTCTTCCAATCGATAACCTAGGTCAAGGCGCCGCCGACCTTTTGGCAAGCGATGTAGAATACAGACTTCATCTGATAACTCAAGAAGCGAAGAAATTCATGGTTCATGCCAAGCGTACTACGCTGACTTCGGACGATGTGGAGTATGCTATGGAGGTTCTGAACTTGGAGGTAAATCGGGCTGTCCCCAAACATTCTCTTCCAGATTCATCCACCCACATTCGCTCGATATCCTCCATCAACCTCGCTCTTGTACTCGAATGACCTACTCTACCTTTGATTGCTCGTACAAACTCATGTGTGTTTCTTTGATAAATGACATATCTTGGTATATGCCTCTACAACAAATTATCACGGATGGTGACTTGAGATTATCGCCAGATGGTGAAGAAAGAAATCACAAATTGACATCAGCCAATACTCGTACCACCACGTCCACTCCCTCAACCAACTTTCGCCCAAGTCCAAATTCCAACAGTTTCTGGAAACTCCACACATACTATATACTACGCCCCAGACGACGAGATCGATTTCGCTACTTATCTCAAACAACCCCTCCCACCGGGTTTGGCCTCCTCGGCGGGGGTAAAGTGGAAAGCTCATTGGTTAGCTGTAGAAGGTGTTCAACCTGCTATACCTGAGAACCCTGCTCCCAGTGCTAGAGTGGATTGTGAGTGGTTCCCCTTTATTTCCCACTGCTCGATATTATACCTCCGAGCATTCATACGAATCCTTCGAATTGCTCTTGCGGCATATATTCATTCTCACTCGGTGTATGACTTACACCCAGCTACATCACCTCTCACACTACCTTCCACAGGCTCAGCAGCGCTTCGTCCATCAGCTCGTTCTCACCTTCCTCAAGAACTCCAACTCTACTTCGGTCGATTGACCGCCGCTATAGTCCCTTCCACTTCACCACCTCCTTCGCCCGACGGTACCATCTCAGATGTCGAGCGTCAACGGCTGGCAGCTTTGGCTAGTCTCAGGGGAGATCAGGCGGTGGGAGGTATCCTGGTGTATCTGGTCAAGTGGATAGCGGAAAGCGTTCAGAAATGTCTCATGAGTCCAGTTCAGGTTCTGGGGTATCTGTTAGATGCGATGGAAGCTTTGTTGGATAACGAAGCTGTGTTCGTTGAGCCATATGTGAGTCACGAGTCTGTTCAGCACTTCACATGAATCCACATCGAGGATTGGTACCACGAGTCGGTCAAGTATCTTTTTCGGGTGTTTTGTGATACTGTAATGAGAATGTACGCTCATGTTAGCTACACCAACTTCTCGCCCCTCTCATGTCAATACTCCTTACCGTACCACTCGGTCCTCACCCTCCAACCTCATCCCAACAAATCACAGCGGCTTACGAGACCCGACTGCGAGCCTCAGACGTCCTTCGCAAGATAGTCGACGATTATTCCTCTTCATACCCCAATCTCACTCCCAGACTTCTCTCCACCCTCTCTCAGGCTCTCCAATCGGATCCGTTCCCGTCTCCCCTAGGCGCGAACCATCCTCCCGCAGGAAGATACGAAGGTGCTCTCCTCGGTATATCAGCTCTTGGTTCTCATGCTGTCAGAACTTGTCTCTGGGGTGAAGACGTACCAAGAGCTCTTCAAAGATTAGATGATCTCGCTTCGAGACTGTACCCCACTGAAGGTCGTAAAGGTAAAAGTGGGTTGATGAAAGCCGCTATCAAAGCGATGGGTAGTATGATAGGACCTAAACCGGAGAATTTCACAGGCGGATCGATGAGAGGGGAGGAGATCGTGAATGTATTTGGGTCGAATTGGAGCAGGGTATTGGAGAAAAGACCTTGGTTGGGTAGTGAGATGATGAGGATGTATAAGGAACGACGGGAAGGGATGGATGTGGATGGGGTAGGGGTGTAGGGTTGCCGGACGTCAAGCGAGATTGGGATGAGAGATGAGAGATGTATCTGTTGTCATATCAGTCAAGTAATAAATCTTGCAACCCTTCAGCCTGTCCCCTGCGTACTGCTTTCCTGCTGATACCTTTTTATTTTTGTGAAGAGCGAGAGAGAAGAGATCTGCCACGCGACGGATCCCTTAGCCGAAGTTGACTCTGCGCTGACTTTGGCCACCGGCACTCACCTACTTTACTTACTTTCCCTCTCTTCACTTCAACTCCGACTTTTTCAGTCTGTCATATCAATCAACCCAATACGAGACGCAAGATGCCAACCGATTTACCATACGCAGCAGAAGCGGAGACTTCTTTGTCGTATGACGAGCTGGAGGTGGGTTCAGTTCACGTCCGATCTTTGTCTTCTAACTTCGCTTCTTCAAATACTACATCCCCTCCTTGTCTTTCCGACTTCCACAGCTTTCCACTCTGCGAAGTGTTGCACAATCCTCTGCTTCCTTCATCTATTCATTACCATAATTTGGTTATCCGGGTAGCTGAACCATTCGTTTCTCTTCATTGCTCCTCAGCCTGACCATCGCGCACAGCATTCACTTGCCCCTACGCAATGTCTCAATCCCTGGCGCGTCGGAAAGGTTGACATCGTTGTCACATTCCCTGACGACTGATGGAATGGTCTTTGACCATCGATGGGGGAATGAAGAGGATAATGCGGAGAGCTGACTCTTAGGTACTGAGGAGACAATATTACAAAGAGATTGAACAAGGGCACGTTACCACTCAGTCAAAATTCAATTATGGTATGTTCTCTTTAGTCCAGCTACTATCCTACGCCCCCTTTAGACATCCACTCAACTGATCTCCCTGAATGCCCATGAATCGGTTAAGTGACGGTCTCAATCTTGCGTGCCCTCTCAGAACGTCTCGGTGGCGTAACAAGACCAAGTGTTCATCTTCATCCTCCCTTCGTTTGTTGGGCTCAGAGGCATGAGTATGGTCAACTTTCGAGACTCTGCTGGGGAGCAAGATTGGATGGGAGAGGAAGGGGAGAGTCTGGTGGGGTCGGTATTGATTCGCAGGATGGGGATTGGTCAAATCACCAAGTGCGGAGATGCAAACTGAAGGTGTCAAATTATTACAGGGTTAGTCATTAACTCTTTTCTCTATACGTCGGTCGATTTCAGTCCAAACCTCTCTTGTTTCAAATCCTCACATCAGACTCTATCCTCCTTATCTCAGTTTCAAACTGGTCGGATTTATATGTGTCAGATTACATCTCCCCGTGATAATTTGGCGGGACATGGAAATGGATCATAAGACCCTCAGCTGATATTCAGAAATTTACTCCGCCTCTCCTTCTCATAGAAGAGAATGTACATATTACATAGCTGTGGGATACTACAAACTCCGGAATTACACTCATGCTAGGAAATTTAATGGTGGGTAATTGCCCTCTCTTTCGAATCATCTATCATTTGTGATGGCAGAGCTGATATCAAGATCTGTTATTATCTGTCGAACCGGAGAACATGCAGGCTCAGTCATTACGGACGTTGATCGAGCGTGCAGTGACTAGGGATGCTTATATCGGTAAGTTGAACTTTCCAACTGTTGTCCTTACATCCTTGTGATCTGCGTATTGGCAATCGTCCTTCTACCTTTCCCCCTTTTCGCTGCTTATATCTCGCCTTTTCCCTTCTCACATCAAAACTAATTTAATCTTGCGTGGCATTAAGACATTGATCATTGATACCATTGTGGGATGTAGACAAGGACGCTGGTTAACACACAGGGGTTGGTATCCTCGCAGGAGCTGCTGCAGTCGCAGGAGTCGTAGTGGCCAGCGTATGGAGAAGGGCTGGACGGAAGTGATCCTTGTCAAGCAAGATCGCCATACGTATGATCAGTCACAGATCCCCCTGCTCATCTATTACTTGTTCTGTTTTCGACGTTTCACGATCAGCGATCAATTTTGTATGAATCATCACATGCATTGCGTTCAGTATACATTCTCTATGGGTAGGGAAACGGCTGCAGAGTCGCCACCACACGAATGATCCTCACGGTGGTACAGTGTACAGTGAGTTGTTGGAGGACAACGATGTACCGAAAAGTACCGAAGAGTCCATCCATCATCCACAAATAGCCGCCGGCTTGTACTGTATGACTCTTGTCAGATAAGATGCCCTTCTAACCTACATTCCCGTCTTTCTCTCGCAAGTCGTACCTATCCACCGACCCTGAAGTCTGAAAATAACAACTCACGTCAAAGCTCAGAGACCGAGTCGAGATTTGATACTCAATTTCAAACCTCGGCCGAAAATGGCGAGGTGGTAGACTGGTGACTAGGTGAAAAAGTTGATAGTCACTTTCGAACCAAGGATATAGCCGAAATTGACCCGGGCATATCGGTCAGATCCATAGATAACCCATCTCTTCTAACTGCTTCATACTTGAAATCCAACTACTCGTACTGCCCGCACAGTACAGATTTGTTACTTGCCTATTGTGGTAAATACTCGTACTGGTAATAATCATCAGAGATCAAATTCAGAGGTCGGTTGTCAAAAAAAATTCCATCAAATCCAGTCAAAAGGTCACACGGCGCTTATCGGCTTTAAATTTCAAACTCGACCTCGACTCTCTTTCGTGTTTTCGTGTTTTCGTCGACTTGGTGGTACTTCGCTAGACGCAAGAGAAGAGGAGTGAGGACGATTTGACTTCTACAGGGAAGAGTGGGATCTTCGGTCTTGTCGGATAGGGAAGAAAGATTTGAAGATTCCTACGATAATACGACGATCCGACGAGCTTGTTCGGTTCTTCCACATCAAATCTTGGGAACATTTCCATCTCATCTCATCGCATCGCATCTATACCATCAACTTCTTTCTTCATCATACATTTTGCCACACTGGCTTTCTATCAACGAATCATTGTACACCCAGGATATATAAAGTTCATCTAGACTGTCAAGTGCGAGGTAGCTTACGCTTTGACAATCTTGGCTGACAACCTGCCACCTCGACGTCTTACATCCAACATCAAAAACCAAAAGAAGGAATTTCCCATTTCCCATTATCCACTTCTTCTCTCCATCTCATCATTCACACTGAACATCAACAATCTCGTCATTTAAAACAAAATTTGAAAATGTCTCATTCATACGTTCCTCACCCTACTCCACTTTCACCCCCACCTTCACCAGGTTTACACGCTGAACCTCCTCCCTCGACCTACAAACCTATCTCCATGACATCCACATCTACCACCGACGTAGGGACAGAAAGAATAGATCGTTTTGTCGGTTTAGGACAGAACACACCACATGTTCCTTCTGTTCCTGGAAAAAGAGGAGAGACAGGATTGGATGAAGATGATTATGAAAGTTTACCTGTTGGTGCTGGATGGGCTACAAATATGTTGGCTGGTGCTATGGCTGGAATCTCAGAACATGCTGTTATTTTTCCTGTGGATTCTATCAAGGTGAGTGTGGAGTTCGATACCATGATTACTCCTTCGTCGTAGATCTGTTTCTGGGAGTTGAGCGTGTTTTTCAAAGCTCAATGTTACTGGTCCATGACTGGAGCAGGACTGGACAGCTTTCTTGATCAGCTTTGTCTCACCATCATCTCACTCAATTACTCATTCTTCATCTCTCTGAATATCTCTCGTCCTCTCCAGTATGTCCAGATATGTTGCATATTTGAATACTCGTGATACTCTATCATTCCCTTCTATTTCTCTCTCGCTGTCGAGATCATCTTCCGCATGTGATCGTAAGAATCACAAAACCAATCCGACACCTTCCCAGACAAGCTAACTCCCTTCAGACACGTATGCAAGTACTCCCCTCACTATCTCCTTCAACACTCCTCCAGCCTATCCGTAATGGTATCGCCTCCCCTCCAGTCTCCGCACCATTAACCACCATCACTCAACACGTTCGAAGTATCTCCACGACTGAAGGTCTTCGAAGTTTATGGAGAGGCGTGGCCAGTGTCATTATGGGTGCTGGACCCGCTCATGCAGCTCATTTTGGCATGTACGAATTTGTGAGAGAGATTTCAGGTGGGAGGAAAGAAGGTTGGTGGGGTGTGGGCGGTACCGCTTTGGCAGCTGCTGCAGCTACCATTTCGAATGATGCTTTGATGAACCCTTTTGATGGTGGGTAGTCTGGTTTTTTCTTTCTCATTTCCTCATGATTATTCATTTTCCGTCTAGTCTTTTCTCCTTTTCGTCTCATCACTTGCCATCTGGCTCCTCTACAAATGTGGTGTTCGTTAACCCATCATCTTTCTTTCCCCTGAGAAAGATTCAAAAATGTTCCACCTTTTTCCATACACTTTGATCTCTGCGCCCTGTCTTCCAGTGCCTTTCACTTACTAGAACTTGTCTCGTCCTCGTTCAGCGATCTGTTGCGACTGGTAACCTCCCCCCGTTCACACACACACAGAGGCACCCGATGAATTCAACCAATACGAATGCTTATATCAGTCATCAAACAACGTATGCAGATCCAAAACTCTCCCCACCGATCAGTCTTTTCATGCGCCCGATCGGTTTACGCCACCGAAGGTCTCGCAGCGTTCTACGTATCATACCCCACCACACTCACCATGACCGTACCCTTCACGGCGGTTCAATTTTCAGCGTATGAAAGTTTGAAAAGTCTGCTCAACCCAAGTGGGGCTTATTCCCCTTTGACACATGTAGTTGCTGGTGGGGTGGCAGGTGGGGTGGCTGCTGCTGTGACGACACCTTTGGATGTAGCCAAAGTGAGACAATTCATATTATGTACTGTTGTATGTGCTCATTTCAGACATTATTACAAACTCGAGGAACTTCCAACGATCCAAGAATACGGAATGCTAGTTCGATGGCGGAAGCATTGAGAATTATAAGGGAACGAGATGGACTGAGAGGGTTGAGAAGAGGGATGTTACCAAGAGTATTGACGGTAGCGCCGAGCACTGCTATTTCATGGATGAGTTACGAGTTTTTCAGTGAGCCCATACTGTCACTTCTACATCAACTCACTTTCATCCTGTCGGTTCTGCTTCCCCTTTCTCCCATCTATAGCGAATCCCTCCCACTCACATCTTGTCTCCTCCTCTAAACTCCCCTCTCAATCCTGAAAGTCAAACTTCTTGTCCCGCTCTACTCCTCTTTACAATCCCAACACAACCTGTTATGAGAGATTGACATTAACCTTTTACGTCGTGATCATTATTTGCTTAACTCTTTCCCTCTACTATATACATTGCTGACCCCAACAGAAGTTCTGATCCGTCAAGGTGGAGTGATGCCAGAAACCGGTCAACCCACTCCTCCAGGTTGTTGACGTGCGTTGTCGACTGGACCAAGATCGATCATCATGGAACGACCAACGACATGTCTCTACGAGCAGAAAAAGTATACAGTTGTGTTCTTCAAGACGAGTCATGAAATGTGGGCAAGAGAGAGATGAACAGGGTGTCAAGTAAGAAAGAAAGATACGTAGCATAGCATAAAGTGGGGGAGAAAGCATGACGAACAAGAAAAGAATCAGTTTTTATCAAGAGGATGATGAACCTTTCATTGCATTGTGTCTTTTTCCATAGTTGCTTGGATTAACAAGTTCACTCATACCTTTCAATCCTCATATTACGTATCCCGTCCTGTCCCCTTCATCTAACTTGTATCAAGGTGTCTATTCAAACCTCATGGCTTCATGGTTGCATTATTCCGACTGACACTACATACTACTTGTTTTTGAAGAGAAGCATGTGTGATAAGCCCAGGTACCACGTGGTCGCGTGATGAAATCCCACGTGTAGAGGAATGTATTGCACTTTGCTTCTCCCTCCCCCTTCCCTCCTCTAAAGTATATAAAACCCACTTTTCCAACTCACTCGGTGTATGACCACATCTGCCATTCGTAGACTCTCAACTACACTTTCACATTTATCCAAAAACATGTCGGAATACGGTACTAGGCTCATTGGAGTGAGTTCTCTCTCGCTCGTACATTCCCCCATCGTTCCCCCAGATATTCCCTGATGGTATTTCGTCTTCCACAAGTCTATCACTCTTGTTGAATTACCTGTTTTCTTTCATTACATCTTTCACTACCCATCGTATGCCTTCTCGCTCTTCATATTCTCTCTGAATCTTTCCCTAGAGCTGGTGTCTCTTCAGCCATTCAAATCTACTCCCCCTCTATCCCAGCTGTAACCCATCATCACGCCCTCTCCTAGACTCACAATCTCACCATCCTCCGATTAGCTATCCCAGATTTTCAACATACTTCTACTCAAACTTCATATCGTTTCACGCGCTGATATCAGGCCGCAAACACTCTTGGTCAGTTGCTTCTTTCGAGTATATACGTCATCCGAAGCTTTCTCCTCCCTACGCCCTAGACTGCTTCTACTATCATGATACTTCTCGGTATGCTTCTCGACATATAACGTGCTATGCTCTCGGTACAGGTCTACTTGGGGGTTTCAAGATTTGATTGGTTCTCTTCGTGTGAAACGTGGGCCCATGTCGACGCATGGACAACATTCCTCGTGGCTCGGTTGTCTCAGATCGGCGGGGGAAGGGTAGATACTTCAATCCGGCCTTTTTGTGTCTTGTATCAAGGCTTGGATTGACCGTACAATCAAGTCATCTTCACAGAATCTCGGAGATGATGTTGAGCGATTATGCTGGTCGTAGATGCGGGTGAGAGCAATGGGCCATGGCTGATACTCAGAACATCGAGTGTTTGTGGAACAATCCGGAAAGGTTGTTTCTCCTTTCCAGTACGTCTTCTCTCTTCTCTCAGTCTTCCATCACCACTGTTTGAACCTTCGGCCTCAATGGTCCGTGCCGCATGCGTTGCTCGTATGTGCATTGAGTTTTATGACTCGGATGGCGTTCCTTCTGCATCACCGGTCCTAAGCAATCATGATTAATCTACATTTGAAAACTTTGTCCCTGCTCCAGCTGACGAGAGACGTACGTTGACATGCAGTGATATACCTCTCTTCGCCGATGAATCCAAGACGGTCCTGAACAGTGTGTCCGTTTTCGACTTGCAGGCTGATGCTGACACCGCAGTGATCGTCGAAGTACCTAGGTGGACCAACGCCAAGATGGAGATTTCAAAAGAGGAACCTTTCAACCCCATCAAACAGGGTCAGTCATCTCGTCTACCCATGTCCTTGTCCCACTGCTCTGGCAGCCCCTGACATCTACCTCAGTTCCTTCCTCTTGCAGATGATATCAGTGGCGACGAGCTCTGTTGGTGGCCTACATAGGTGTCAGCCATTTGGGCAGCACGGGACACTGTCAGATTGTAGTGAAGCGACAGCACTGACACACCAGACATCAAGAAGGGCAAATTGCGCTTTGTCCGTAATTGCTTCCCTCACCATGGTACGTGCTCATCACCTGGCCTTACTTCTCCAATCAAGCCTCAACCTGCCCACCCTTATGCACCAGTCGTAATTCGGATACCACCCTAATGCCGACTCGACTAACCCCAGGCTACATCTGGAACTACGGTGCCTTCCCTCAGACATGGGAAGATCCCAACGTCAAACACCCCGAGACCGGCGCCAACGGTGACAATGACCCCCTCGACGTGTGCGAGATCGGCGAGGCTGTTGGATACACTGGCGAGGTCAAGCAGGTCAAAGTGCTCGGCATCATGGCTTTGCTCGACGAGGGTGAGACCGACTGGAAAGTCCTCGTGGTCGACGTCAAAGACCCCTTGGCCCCTCGATTGAACGATATCGAGGATGTTGAGCGACACCTCCCGGGTCTGATTAGGGCTACGAATGAGTGGTTCAGGATTTACAAAATCCCCGATGGCAAGCCGGAAGTGAGTCGTTGTCAGCTTGATACTGGGCCAGCCCGCTGATGATAGAACGTCTTCGCTTTCAGCGGAGAGGCAAAGTCGAAGAAATACGCAGTGGAGATTATTCATGAGTGTCATGAAGCGTGGAGGAAGCTGGTCATGGGTGAGACTGCAGCCAGCAGCGATGCGTACAATCTCAGCATGTGGGTGTGATTTCACTTTGAATGACTCGTCGCTTTACCTCTTCAATCCTTCGTCGTTGCAAGCCCCCACCCCCATCCGTTTCAACGATCCCGTCTGAGTTGTTACCATCATGAAAGAGTGAAGCTTATCTCAGCCTCAACACTACCGTCAAAGGCTCCAAGGGATTCGTCAACACCTCCGACCCAATTTACGCATCCCTTCCTTACGACTCGCGTCAGCCCCCAGCACCGGTGGACCCTTCTAGTGAGCTGGCCAGTTGGTTTGATTCCCAAGCTGATGATCAGTCTCCAAGAGCTTTTTCATCTCTTCCGCTTCTGCTTGAGAAGTGTTACATATGATGGGAACATGCGATGCAGACTGTTGCCTCGGTGCTTCACTACTCTTTTCTCGTATTATCAAAGCTTGGTACAGATATATGCTCAACGATTTTTCTCTCACGATTCAGTTTTATCGATCCCCACTCATGATCACCAGTACTGATTTTGATGCTGATGAAGTCCCGAAAAAGGGATATGTTTGATATCACTCGGTCAACGGGAGACCCCATTCTTCATACACTTCTTTCAAAGGTCGTCGGACTGTCCGGGCGTACTACCTATAAACAGCGGTACTCGGACAGTGGACAACCACATACCTGCGCTATCAACGCCTGAGCCCCATCTTTTATTTCATTGTAAGTGTGGAGAAGGTGGATATGTCGTTGGACTATGGTGCTGGGATCTTTACCACTGTGTGTTAGCCCTCGGCTCGATCTTTCGACTCCCCCCTCCTCCCTCCCCCTCAGAAAAAAAAACATCAGGAGAGTTCTGTGACCTCTCCAATGCATGTGAAGTGTTGTTGTTTTTTTCTGGTATCGCAGTTCAGTAAAGAGCGACAGGAGGACGCATGCAAAACGGACAAAGGGTAAGGTATGGGTACGGGGACTGACTCGAGTTTTACTCGGAGAGATGCAATCTCTTCTTCAAGCTCTAAGATCCGAGGGTTTTCTTTCTTCTTCCCATGACCATCGGCCGAGATGAGATGGTCGAGTGACTGTATTTCAGCGGGTCTGTGGTTCAACTTCCAGCCTGCCAGATTGGCTTCGTGCAAGCCATTTGTTCAGTAATATGCCATGTATGATCTATCTTTGATTTACCTGATCAACATCGCCGAGTCATTCGCTCACTGCTTCAGTATGGTTGCCATGGAAGTCAGAAGAAAGAGAACGCTCAGTAGTGAGACGTGATCAGAGTGAGGATAGAGACGTACGTTACTAGATTGAGATTCAGTGGACATATTCCATCCGCTTCCTTGCAGTCTATCGTCTAATCTGTGTGACTCGTGAGTCAGAAGGGTGAGATGAAGTAACCAGTCAGTTTGAAGGGGAAGAGAAAGAAAAAGAAGAAAGAGAAAGCAGTCGCGTAGATGATGTCATCGGATTTTCGCCTTTCATTCCATCCACCCAGTCGACATTTACGTATTGCTCTTACTTTTTCATCTCAATACAAGTCACATCAACAGAACTCACCTATCCAGTTATTTAGTGAGTATCAAGACGTATGTGTTCGGATGAGTCCACTCTTGGTGGTGGTTCAAGAGGTCAACGAAAGGTGATTGAGTATAGGGACGTAATCCCAGATTGGGAGAACATTTCTTTGCCCTCTGATCATATTTTGAGACATTGTGAGTTCCCTTCAAGCTCATACAGGTCTCTTGTATCGCTCTCAAATTTCTTCCAAGAGTAATAAGTTTTGATTCGAAAGACGGATTATCATATGGTCATCATGATGCTATGGTTTGATGAAGCTGAGAATAGTGACCGACGCACATTGTCATCCTACCGATCTTAACCTGGATGAAGAAGATTACTATCATGTACCTTTGGGAGGGATAGCCTCTATGGCTACTATACCGGAAGACCAAGAGAAAGTAATGACTTTGGCTAGAAGTCATCCGTACCTTTGTCATGTTGTACCGAAAGACAGATCTCCTTCTACTGGACTTCCTTCTTTCACCGACTATATTGATTCTCCGAACGTTATACCTTCCGGTTCGAGAGAACAAACTTCAGCGCCCAGCCAATCCACTACGTTGTCATCATCGTTTTCGAAACGGAATGAAGTCAAGGTAGTCGCTTGCTTTGGTAAGTCTCAAATGTCAACCTCTTTATACCCATCTTTTCTCGAATCTCACTTCAGAAGCGCTTCTTCTCAATATAGGCTTCAGATGGAGGAGCCACCAATTTGGCTTGAACACCTAGTCGAAGAGATGGATTTGATAATTGTGGGTGCTCATACATAGGCTATCACCCATGGTTTGTTCACCGCTATACCCTTCACGATACTCCTCCTGATAAATCCACACACTATCGATCCCTCTTCCTCTCCCACAAACCCACCACAACCCAAGTACAGCTCCTCGATACTCTTCTACCATATCTCCCCGATCCTTCACCTTTTCAACCTCTTCTGAATGGAATCAGAGCAAAATTGGAGAGGTGTAAGAAAGAAGGAAAATTGGTCATGCTTGGTGAAGTGGGTTTAGATGGTCAAGCAAGGTTGAGATGGCCTCCAGAAGCTCGACATTTGTACGTCGAGAAATCTTCCGTGGAGGAATCTTCGAATCCTCTCAACGGTCAGACAAAATTCGATGGAAATGAACAAGCCCGGAGAGGAAAGGATGACGATAAGGAAGAAGAAGAATGGAAGAGGTTGACGCCGTTCAAAACCGTCTTATCGCATCAAAGAGCGATACTGATGGCTCAAATGGAACTGGCGGTAGAATTAGGAATCAACGTTTCTTTACATTCTGTCGCTGCTCCAGGTGAGTGTATCAATCTTGATCACGTCAATGTTTTATCATTCCCGAACAGCAAGTCACATATTATCATCTTCCCCTGCTGGGGTTTACGTCCTCGCAGTTTGGGGGAGAGAGGGACCAGGGATTGAAACAAACGAAAGGTAGACAGGACGGGTATTGATAAGCTAGGTCCAACAGCAGAAGCTTTGTTAGCTTTGAAGAAGAAACACGGAAAGCATTTCACGCATCGTATCAATGTTGACCTTCATTCAGCTGGAGGATGGTCCCCTTCTTTTTGGACCCAAACGGCTGTACGTCTTATAAATCTCCTCCTCTTCCCTCATCATGACACTTCCAAAGCATTTCCCTTTCCCCTCTTTCCCCTCTTTTACCTCCTCCCCTCCCCTCTCCTCCTTTCTTCTCTACCCCAGCTGCAAACAACAGGATTGCACCAACTTCATCACCATTGTCTTTGTTTTCCTCGGCTTGCTTACCTCGCGCATCCCTGTGACCCTCTGGAGTTACTCATTCAACTTGGAAAATGGTGCAAAGCCGACTCCCAGAAACACCTTCCAAACCTCTACGCATCCCCTTCTATCCTCATCACAGGTCGTTCGACCTCTGCACCCGACCTGATCCGCTCCATCTCCCCCGATAAGTTGTTAGTAGAATCCGATTCGCACGACGTTCGTCTTAGCGGTCGGTTAGTCTGGGCCGCATGTGTCTGGATAGCTAGTTGTCGGTCTTGGAGATTGGAAGGATCTACTTCACCCACGACGGGTGTAAGAGGGCGGGATGAGACTACGGGCTCCTATGTCTTTTCTCAGAGTGAGCTACAGTCAGCGGTGAAAAAAGGAGCAGACGATTGGACGGTAGATCCGACTACACCTTATGAAACCGATGGTGATGAGGTATGGACGGTAAGACAGCTTGAAAGTAATTGGAGAAGGTTCATGAGGCTTGATGAATGACACTTTTGTATCATGTATGTTGTACACTTATAATTGGGGAGAATCTTGGGGAATTCTTAGCATAGCATGTAAGGAATGGATCATCTGTATGAATCGGTATCAAGAACAAAGTATGCATGTGTGATTCGCGGCACGATGTTTAGTCTTCACTCTGTCCTAGATGGTCAAGGTCATAATTCTGTCGTCAGCGAGACTCCATCAGAGCATGGGTAAGGAGACCAGTTGCGATGTTTGGTGTATCCGAGAGTCTAACGCAAGCAAGTAGAGTGTGTGATACAAACTACATCGAAGCACGACAGAAACTCCCAAATGGACGACAGACGGTATGCGTACGAGATATCATGGGGAAAGTAAGAAAATACCGGTCAACAAGATCGAAGAAGAAAGAAAAAGGGATGGGTAGAATATTGGGAAGTGGGAAAAGGGTAAATCAAGGAGGTAAGAAGCAGCACCAGCCAAACTCACCCATCAATCACAAAAGCATCCACCGTCCTCCCATCACTAGCACCCTGTCTCATAGAGTTCACATCGTCCGTTTCACCAAAAGCAGCAAGTAACAATCCTGCATCTTTGACAGAAGCTACCAGACTGGGAACTGCAGCTAAGGTAGTGGCGTGAAGTATGACACCTAGCAAGTTTGTGGATTTGGCAAAGTTTACAGCTTCTCGAACGGACAGACAACGTAAGTCGGATTCTTCTTCCGCTGGAATGGGGATGAGGTGGGTAGGGTGGGGTGGGGCTATAGTCGATTGAGAGGGTTTTGTAGGTCGAATGGATTGGGAGGATTGGGCGAGGTCGGTCGTGTGAGTGGGGTGATCAGACGGAGGTGAGGAAATGAAGGGAGAATGGGCTATACCGCAATACGAAGCGAAGAATACCGCATCTATGTTGTCAGTCTAATCTTTGCTTTTCAGTCATCTGCTAGGGAATATAATCCATAGGTCATTGAGGGTTCATGTCAACAAAGAGATAACCTGAATGACGTGAGGAGCAGGAGAGAGGAAAGAAAGAAAGGTGTACTGGAGAAGACAAGGAGAGAAACGTATGGGGAGGTAGGAAGGGGCGGCAAGATACTCACAATTGGGTTGTTTCCAATTCAAAGCCGTGCAAACAGTCGGATCAAAACTCGAAAAAATAATCTTTCTACCGGGATTCTCCTTCCCTGCCCTATATACCACATGTAAAACAGAGTCAACAAATTCGTTGACTTCTCCAGACGGCCCTATTCCCACAGCTCGAGAATCCGTATCTCTGACATATTTGAGCTGAAGGTTGAGTCCGATTTCTGAAGGTACGACATTTAAAAAATCATCCAAAGTAGTCATGACATTTTCCATACTTACATGCCATTCCGTCATTCCTTGAGGTTGATTTGAAGACAAAGGAAGACGACGTTTACTCGTACTTGCCAAAGCGTCAAACTGCTCCAATGTGACATTCGACACCCCAACATTTAATTTTATGTTTGAATTTGGGTCGATGGGAGGAAGAGGAAGTAAATCGTCTGAATAGACAACGGGAATGAGATCTCTAGTGACTTGAACGATGATATGAAGATATTCCCCAGAAAGGGAAGAAGCGGTCACCAAAGCCGATTCTCGAGGAGCAGATGTGGGTGGTACTGTTCCTGGTCTTGGTATAGGGATGTCGGATGATGAAACTGAAAGTGGTCGATACAGTTGATATTGATGAGCATGATCTTGACTAGGTGCGCTAGGTGTGACTTTACTCTTCCAATAAGTCTCAACTCTTCCTCCTATCTCCAATTGAGCACCTTGGAAGGGTCGGATACAACTGACTTCATATATCACTTCACCTATCGCTTTCAGATTTTGATCGAGGAGAGGAGCGATGAATCCTTTGTGATACTTGATATCATGAAATGTGGAAGGATGAATGATTGCTCTACCAATGACTTTACTCCCGAATGTGGGATATAAAGAGAGTTCCAAAGTGAATCGCTCTAGGGATTGAACTTGAAAGGTGAATAATTCACGTTCGTCGGAAAGTGGTAAAATGACTGAATGGGGTGGAGCCGTCATGTCGGACTTAGAAGTCATGACTAGTTTGAGAGATGACCAGAGATGTAAAGAATCTTGACCGGAACGAGAGTAGAGTTTGACGGGTGGTGGTTTTGGAAGAGCTGCGCGAGAAAAAGGGTGACCGAGGGAAATTTGCACTAGACAGCGTTGTGCTAAGAATTCGTGGCCGTACACTCGAAGTCTGGGTCATCAGCAGCCGCCACGCGGATAGTGCGTATCAAACATCGAGGTAAGTGTGTTACACGGTCGGTGGGGAAGACTCACGGGATGATAGGTGGCGGAAGCGACAAAGAAGGAATTAATTCAAATTCATCCATGGTAGCATCCAACTCCAAATCCGATCCAGGTGACAACGAGTCCATCTGAGGATCCGCCGCCAAACCTAGATTCTCCATACTCTCCAAAGTGGATTGTTTACCTGACAATCTCGCCCCTGAGGCGATCAGAAAGTTGAGACACTCCACATGACCATACCAAGCCGCATACCATCCAGGAGATTTCCCATACTCATCCGAACAGTTGACATCACAACCAGCTTCAACTAAAACTTTGATGCAACCCAAATGACGTTGTTCTCCGCCCACAGCAGCGTGATGCAGTGGTGTCCATAAGTTGTACTTGTCTGGTCTGTCTTTACCACCACCTTCGGGACCACCTTGCTCCACCAACAGACGACAGATAGCCTCGTGCCCCGCTTTAGCAGCAAAGTGCTGTGGATATAATCCTTCCGAGTTGGGAAGGACTTTAGCTCCACACTTCAACAACAGTGAGGCCACTTCGACGTGGCCATACTGACATGCCAGGGAGAGTGGGATAAGATCGTTTGACACGGCGGTCGGTTCGAGGGAAATCTTGCGATCGACAAAGATTTGCACAATGGATATATGACCTCGAACGATTGCGTGCATCAGAGGAGTGTACCCATCCATATCTGTCGCGGTCGGATCTGTCGAGTGGAGTAGGAAAGAAACAATCCTCGTATGACCATGTAGAGCGGCGTAGTGTAAAGGTCTTCTTCCGTATGCATCCGGCTTTTCTCGTAGGGAAGGTGATTTCTCCACGCAAATCTGGACGAGTTTCAGATTACCAGCGATACATGCTTCGTGTAAAGGTGTCCGACCGTTGATATCATCCACCATATCGAAAGCGAGGTTGACAGAATTGACCACTAAATCTACGTCTTCTTCTGGAACTTGTACGGCCGCACGCCATAGAACTCGCATGACCCTTCTGTCTTTGTCCTTTTGTTGTCGACTCCTAGCTGATCTTAACCAATTGATCAAACCTTCCCGTCCCTCGCTAAGAGCTTTGGGGAAATTGGCTTCAAGATCGACCAAAGCGTCCATGGCCACGGTTTGTCCCGCTTCGTAATTCGCTTCTCTGTTCATCCCTGAGTCTCCGGATTGCCAGCCAGGTAGGTCGGTGAACAAGCTAGTCGCCAGTCGATCGGAACCGTTCTCCAGATCGAGCAAGTTGGCAGCGACGACGTCTGAGAGTGTGGCAATGAATTCCCGGTTGAAACATGGCTGTACTTCCACTTGACGTTCGAGATACATTTCCTTGGTATTCGATTTACTTCTCTTATCCCATTTTTTGAGGATTTTCCTGAAACCCGTAGCGTTGATTTCGATGAAACCTTGTAATTTACCGAGATCACGTTCGAAAACTCTCCAACCTTCTTCCAGATTATTCCATTCCGCACTTTTTCGTCCTTCCCCATCGACTGTCATGCCCTCGTCACCTCCAGCTTCTCTACCATCGTGACGTGCGGAACTCTGCAACAGCCGTTTTCGACTGGTGAGAAGAGTCAATAATCGCAGTCTGAGTTCTCGCTCTTTGATCAGATAAAAGGCATTTATCTACCATCAACAAACATTCTTCACTGGTGATAATCATTGAACACACCTTTTCTAGCTCGCGTTGGAGAGTAAAGAAGAAAACATCTCGATGAGCTTTGAAGCTCTCCCCTCTGACCTGTCCTCCAGCTACGATTCCAGTCATTCCCTGACTCTGAGTGGGCGGTTCGGCAGTGGGAGGTAGAGGTGTTAACTCCTCAACCGGGTTCGAGGTCAATCCCGTTGAGGCAGCAGGGGTGAGTGAGCTGTCGGTGGGTTGAGCATCTGGGGAAGAGAGAGGTCGTTTAGGTGGTCGGAGACCTAGAGAGAGAAGGGCAGCATCGGCTGCGGATCTTCCAGCAGCGTAAGAGTTGATAATTTTCTTCAAGGCCTGAGAAGTCAGTGGAGCTATAGCGTGGTGACAGGAGGTGAGGACCGACCTTGTAGTTGAGATAATATTCTCCCCACCCGGGAACCTGTTGAGACTGGATGGTCTTCCCGAACTGGACGGTCAGCTTAGTTCAGGATGCCTGTCTAATTAAGCTAACCTTCATCTCAACGAAGTAACGACGAGTTGTTCAAGTAATATCGAGGGCGAGTATCAACGTATGAACCCAACAGGAACAAACACCTGGCCCTTGTGAGAGCCACGTTTGGAGCTCTGCCACCGATCGAGTCCGACTTGTTCCGGGCCCCACAGGGAGTAGTGACAGAGAGAAGTAAGGTCTATCTAGCTGATGGTCGCTGGGCAAAAGGTAAGATCTGCAGTCATGACCAGTCGTTTAGCTGCATGAGGGGTCAACGGATCAACGGGGATATGAAAGAGTAAGTTAGTTGTAGAACCGAGGATGAGCACACGTGCGAGAAACTGACACGGACATACAGTAATCTCCGTCTTCCCCTAACTTGCCTCCACCCGAGTGCTCCACCCTCAACTTGTCCTGCCCATCTCTTTCTCTCCCTTCTGAGAGGACCACTCATCATATCCCACACCATGTCCCCCCATCCACTCCTCCTACAGATATTTCAGTCATCAGGTATCTCCCCCTCCACTCTCACTCAAAAAGGTAATCTCTTCTCCTCCCCATCCCACAATTACATAACTAAAGTCGGTCCTGACATTCTTCAAATCAGAGCGGAAGCGTTCGGTCTTCGTGCCATGTCCCTAACAGCACCAGATCTCATCCCCCGACCTCTTGGGTTTCAAATAGACAATCAGACAGCCGGTTTCATCTCCGAGTATCTACATCTCACTCGGTATGTCGGTCAAGAGAGTCAGAGGGAATTAGGGAGACAGTTAGCAGAAATGCATAGAAAACCTCCGGAAGGTACTGCGGGGTATACTGGGTTGTACGGATTTGACGTACCTACTTTCTGTGGAAGGACGGAACAGGATAATACTTGGGAAGAAAGTTGGGAGGTTTTCTTTAGAGATAGACGTAAGGCGATTTAGTCAGACGCATTGGGGATGAAAATATCAAAGATGAATGGGAGATAATGAAAGAAAAGTGAGTGGTCCACTGATATCGACTTCCCCCCCCCCCCCCCCCCTTTTTTTTTCCTCTCTAATACTATACAAGATCGCATACGACACAAGATTCAAGTAGCTGACTTGATGTTGTATGTTCCATAGAGAATATGAAAACGTGTCAACATGAATTGACTGTGATTGTTAGAAGTTTATCACGACTGATGAGAAGAAGAGTAGTGTCATTACTATTGACAAACTTTTATCCTCCACCAGAACCAGTCATCATTCATGGAGACCTCTGGTCTGGGAATGTGGGATGGGAAAAAGATACAGGTAGACCGGTTATATTTGATCCTGCTTGTTATTGGGGACATAATGAGGTGGAATTGGGTATGACTCATATGTTTGGTGGTGGGTCGAGATTTATTCTTCCTTCTCCCCCTCCCCTCCCAAGCCGAGTCTTCCTACGAGAACGTCATCGTCGTGATGATCCTTGGCCGAGCCTCATGGTACAGGGCGTCTAGCACACCCATCTTACTGAAAAGCTTGGACTCATAGACCACCTCATTTTGACATGTAGGCTTCTCAGGAGAGTTCTACGACGAATACCATAAAACACATCCTCGTTCACAACCGTACCACGAGCAGCGAATTCGGCTATACGAACTTTATCATCATCTAAACGTCAATCCTCTCCCTCCTCTCCTTTGACCTAGCTGACATGCAGCACACTCTTCTCTTTGGTAGCTCGTATCGCTTCAGTACATTGAGCATAATGCGTAAACTCATCGCTTGGGCTGACACGGTGACATGATTTTGTTACTGAATCAGCATGTCATGCATCGAGTGGAACAGCATGGCGCGAAATATGGATCTACACATTTGGTTGTCGTTGCTCGCTTGGCGCTGTATTGGAGCTTTCGTCGAGAGAAGTCGTCATGAGGGGATTTTGCCTTTGGCACGTTTCACGAAACCTGGAGAGATGGCGAGCGGTACAGGTTCTATATACTCAGGCGGGACATCTGTGTAAGAAGGCGGCCCGGACGGGTCGGGTGGGTCTGTAGGTCCTGCAGACCGAGCAGGAGGTCGCGGGTCAACGGTTATACCTGCTTCTTGTCTGATCGTCAGTCCTCCCTTCACGTGTCTAGACTAGGCTGGCGGATGTATGGACATCGCATGGGAAGTAAATGTTCTGATACAGGGACAGTGACGAAACGTACAACTTCAATCGTAGAATAGCATACCTCGTCGCTTCGTTCGTCGCTGTACCAAGCTTGATGGCGTTCATACGGAGTTCGTGACCGGGATCGGGTTGTTTCATTTGCAGGACCTGATATGAGTATTATTGTTTCCAAGCAGCGAAAAGGCGTGGTCATCTCGAACACGATGGTAAGCGTTCCACGGGCAGGATTGAGACGGGAAGTCGCCTTTGAAGCAAAGACGCTGTCGTCTCACAAGATCGAAAGGTGGGATACAAGTAAAACATCTCACCCCATCGATCAAGTCGATCTTTCCATTGATCCTACCCTCCTCCACCAGCTTCTCGAGGTCTTCAAGTAATAATTCAGCCTTCACTCCTAATGCCTGCGACATCATGTGCACACTGACACTGGAGAACGGTTCTGTATATTGTACGAGTGCCTTCGTCCTCACGAGTCCCTGTATCTTCTTACTGTGTGGACTGAGGAAAGGATTTAATAGTATCATCCACTTTTCCCGTCAAATCTGATTCACTTCAACAATGAATGATGGGACTTACCTCATTCTTCTTCATCAACACCTCTACGTCCGCATATCTGGCATCCACAAATGCCGTAACCAAATCTATCACCCAAGCAGACCCATCATCAACCGTAGCTCTGAATGCCATATTGTCTAACACTTTTGTCCTCATCTCCTCTCTTCTCCCCGTCGCTAAGATACATAAAGCTCCGATGAGCGATACATCGGAAGAAGATATCGCATGACCCTCATACTCTCCTAAGCCACCGTCGTCGATGATATCACAACATTGACGTCCGGCAAAATGGTAATCTTGATTATCGAGAGCGACCAGTGTACGGGCGATACGAAGTTTCAGAGACACTGATTGACGTAAGGTAGCATTTCGTTGTTCTCGTTCTCGAGTTTCTCGAATGTCTAGAGCGGTAGTGTGAGCTGCTTCGATTGTACGTGCTACGGAAGCAGGTAAGGCGCGATCAAGGGTGGCTTCAAGTTTTGAGATATGGCCAGGGAGTGATAAGGGCTGGTTGAATATGAGACAGATCTGCCATTAGTTCTCATGTAAGAGATATTCTAGTTTTAACTCAAGGACAGTCCTGATAGACAGAAGGAGTACAACCAAGGATCTCGAAAGACGGTGAGACATCAGATCATGTTGTGACATCTACCCAATATATTTGCAGACGAGAACGACTCACCTCCAAACTTCCCAGAGCATGTTCCAAATGTTGCATAGGACCGGTAGCATATTCTCTCCCATCTATGAAATGATTGACAGCGCTCAATGCGTCTCCTCTCTTGGAAGCAAGTCTGGCTAAAGCGATGTGACTTAACTGACAACGTCAGCCATGTCCCCTTTGTGTCTCCTCACCGGAAGATGTGACTAACTCTGATGCTTTCTCTGATCAAAGTGCTTATATAACCTTGAAGCTCAACCTCCAGTTGACCTTTTTGTTTCCTCTCCTCCCGCTTGACCTCCTCGACCCAATCCCAATCTGGAACACCGTCAAGCTCCCCGCCCCGTCTGGAGCTGGAACCAGAAACCGAATCATCTTCTATGGATTGTCGATTACGAGAGTTAATAGTGGCCAGAGCGTTCATGACATACAGATAGGCATTGTGGTCGAAGGTTTGTTTGATGAGGGGTACAAGTCGACGAAGGGCTGTCTGAGCGAGGGCGACGGACGAAGGTGATGGAGAAGGAGAAGAGAGGGTAAAGTTGACGACATGTAGCAATCGAATGATAAGAGCACGTCCTGAAGTCAACGTTGAGCGGCTAATAACAAAATCTGGCTTGGAAGAGAATACTTATGAGAAGATGGAATGGGAGGGTACCCACCGGTGTAGGACGCAAGGAAAGTGGGCCAGTCGAACGTAGCAGGGTCGAGGTGAGCGAGAACGTCGTTGTTCTCATTGGGATAGTTTGGACTGACAGGCTCGGGCATGACTGTGGGCTACAGTGGTGTCAGTATGGGAAGTGATGTACTACTGTAGTAAGTTACTCGTAAGTACTACAGTAGTAGTAGGTGAGCTTGATAGAGAGGTTGAGGGTAAGCTTAAGGTAGGTCCGAGATTTAAATGATCCCCCCAATTTCACCTCAATTTCACTCATTAGGTCGACCTTACCTTCGTTCTCCCTCCTCTCTCTCTCTTCTCCCTCCTGCTTACCCTGTTCACGTCCCTCCCTCAAAATGGACGTCGAAGATGACGATGCTTTTCTCTACGGAGATCAATCTCCTCCTCCCGAACCCATCAAAGAAGCGGTCGTCCCTCCTGTCCAGGCGCAGTCGTCAGGTGCGCGTTCAACGTCCTTCCAGCCCACAACTCACTAACGATGCAGAATCTGCTCAAGCTGTCAAGGCCAATGTGAGCGCAGCTATGGCAGCGTGAGTCTCTCTCGTCTTCATATCTGAGACAAAACTCTGCGGATGCTGACGCTCAAGATCATTAGCAGCATACGGCATAGATCCTTCGACCGCAGTAGCTGCTCCCGTCGAAAACAACGAAGACGGCGGTGTGGAGGAAGAAGATCTCGCGGAAGACTCCGACTCTGACGAAGATGACATCAAATTGGATTTCACAGGACAAGCATCCCGTCTAAACCTCAGGTTAGCTCTTGAAAGGAGGAAGTTATACTCTAGCTGACAGGAAAGACAACCTCAAACTCAGACTGCCAATGTCGTCGGTATAGGCAAATGGGCACATACTTCGACGGGGCAACAATCTACCCAGCTAAATCAGAATAAACCGAAACGTGCGTCCCTTTCCCAACATCCTCTTCATTCTTCCCCAATGCCTTCTGATCACTTCCGCTGTCCCGTAAATGACCCCACCCATCCAGTTCGCTAACGAAAAGCCGTGGCCATCCTGCCCAATCAAATCACCGAATACACCCCTTCCGCCAGGCCTGGTACGACCCCGACCCCAAGCTCCAACAGTCTAAATCCACCCATCCCTCCCTCAGGAGACATCGGTACCGCCCTCACCCTCCAACCGTCAGCCACCAATGGTGCGCTGGTCAGCACCGGAACTCTGCCCGCTTCAGGATTACCACCCGTCACTGCACCCCCGTCTCATCCCAAAGTAGATCCTACAAACCCGTCAGGGATCATACCGTCCACGGGTCAGTCAGTGTACGACATCGATCTTGCGCAGTTCGAAGGTTCCGGGCAACCGTGGCGAAACCCGGGAAGCGATGTTTCCGCTTGGTTCAACTATGGATTTGACGAGGTGACATTTCCCAAGTTCTTGAGATATAGAGCGGAGATGGAAGCTGGGCCGTCAAGCTCTGGTGAGTGTCCACTTTTACTCAGATTTTGAGGATATTTCAATTGGCAAATCACGCCAATGCGTCGAGCTTGCCCTGATGAGGTTTTTAAAGACCCAACCCCGTATAGAGATAGGACTGACACGCCAGTCTGGTTTGAACCCGATGAATGGCATGCCTCCTGAAATGGCACAGCTTCTGCACATTGGTATGGGTCGACCTGACAACTCCAACTTGATGGGGATGTTGCCCAACGGAATGGGCCATATGAACGGTCTGAATATGGGTCTACCAGGGATGAACATGGGGGTAAACCCACAACAATTGCAGATGATGCAGCAGATGATGGCTGTGCAGGGAGGGATGGGCATGGAAGGAATGATGGGACAACAAGCTCTGCAGCAACCTGGGCAGCAGGGTGTGGGGATGGTGCCGACGCCCAATCCTGGGAACCGTGAGTTCTTCCGTCCGGGATGTCGCTAAACAGGAGCGCTAATGCATAGGCCCGAGACCATCCATCACCCCTGCTGTACAGCCTGAGTCCTCAGAGGATGTTCAGGTCAAACAGGAGGAAGGAGAGGTGAGCGAAATGCATGTTCACGGCAGGGACTGACGGTCAGGCTTCTGATAATGGACAGGATGGGGGTTCAGCGCAAGGTGGCCCTACGGGACAGAGAGGAAGGGGACTGCCGAGAGGGGCTGCACCTACTCGAGGACTTCGTGGGAGAGGAGCGAGTGAGTTTGGTTCCCTAGCTCGCTCAGACTATCCTCACGCTCTCTAACGGCTATCATGACGCTTGAGGGTAATTATCTGCAGAATCCTTTGTTGGAAAAATCTGTCTACTGAAATGAAAGGAATCATCTGTAAGGAAGCTTTACTGATTATAGTCCCCGTCGGTCCCCGGTCTGGTATGCCAGTGCCTACCGGTCCTAAAGCTGGTCGCTTCAAAGATAAAGACCGAGCTACGACAGAAACGAATCCCCTCGATTATGGCGATTCAGTTTCTGCATCTGTTCGTTCTCCTTCTCCTGGAAAATCTCGGTCTCCTAGTCCGAAACGAAAGAGAGCGAGGGAATACGACAGCTACTCCGAGGATAGCAGGGACAGGAGTGAAGATGAGAGGTATTATGAACGTGAGAGAGAACGTAGCAAGTCGAAGGATCGGAGACGGACTAGGGGAAAGGAAACTGAGAGGGATCGAGGTAAGGACGTCGAGAGAGATAGGAGGGATGGGGGTAGGGAGAGGGATAGAGGCAAAGATGTTGAACGAGACAGGGTCAAGGATGTTGAGAAGGACAGGGTCAAGGATAGAGAGAGGGATGAGCCAAGGAGGAAAGAAAGGAAGAGAGACGATGGAACTAATTCTGGTGGGTTGGGTCCTGGGGGATGGGAAAGTGGATCAGAGGAGGAAAGGAGGTTAAGCAGGTGAGTTAAAACACAAATCTTTCTCTATCCTTCGTCCACGAGTAATTCTTGCGGCCAAGGTCAGCTCTGACAAACCTACTTTACTCTATTTTCGACTGAGCTCCCTCGTCAGTAATCGTCGCATGAGTTTGTCCACATGAGCCGCACGCATTCTGGCGTCATATATGAAAAGTCATGGAAGAAATGCTGAGAACAGACGTCGAAGGAGCGCTTCGGAAGAAGATCGTCATCGTACACGAACGAGCAAAAGGCGATAATCAAATCGTACATAGCATAGTGTTGATACCATCATAAGGAGAAAAAATTGCATGCCATGCAAAAACGTCTAAAGCGAACACTTTACGTTTATTGTGTCCAGATGAAGAACAACCACGTCCTCTGGACTATTCCAACTCCATAAACTCAAGGCTGATATATGATTCGATGTTTAGCAATGGATATGATTATCGGGGGCAGGTGCATGATCGAATGACGGTAGACGAAGGAGAAAGTAACTGAGTTGAAAGGATGAGGAGAAGTTTGAAAAAAAAGGCAATCATGAACTATCCTGATTCTCTGAACGTAGACGATCATGTTCGTCTATATCCCCATCACATTCCCAAGGATAAGCCAACCAAACATCAGGAGTATCGACCGCGGAGAAATATTGAACGTCTGGAGGTAATTCCGCTGTTTTCGGTTTCAACCTTTGATCATCAGCATATATTTTTCTCGGGTGGTAGTTCTTCTGGAGTTCTGCGAAAGAGCATAAAAGTATTCCCTAGCCTTCTCACGAAACTATTGAGAAAATCTACGACTTTACTCTTCTTCGTCAGATTTGGGGGGTGTTCCCTCTGCAATCTTGGTTCGGAATGGGTATGAGGAAATAAAGAAGAAGTAAACTTTGACTGACTTGTTATGAACGACGAAAATGGCTAATTTCGTTTCTTCCCTTAAACGTTCCTTTTCATCAGGATCAGAGACGGCTTCTAATTGAACTTTTATATCATGTTGTAATTCTCTTATCGTGTAGCTAGTCGTCAGATTTCGCACTCCTATCTTTCTGTATCCCTTCGTTTCTGCCTCCTGCCTTCCGGCACTTGTACATCTTTCACTTGTCCTAATTGTTGTTCTACCCTTCTGCCCTCCTGCCCTCTGCACTCTTACAGCTTCGACATCTCCCGAGTTGGCCTGATGGACTTCACTACTTTCGCACCGTTTGAATTGATGGGAACTATGATCTCTGAACTCACATGAGGGTTTTACGAGTATCATCCACTTCGTCCACTACTAATATCCTTCTTCCTAATAAACCGCCGTGATTGAAGTTTTTTCCGAGCTGGGAATCAGTGAGGGTGTTTGAGGTAGGTGAGGAGAACATACGGTGCTAAAGTCTAACCATTGGGTACGGACTACTTCTGTTCCTGCTACTTCTTCGATCTGATCTTAGCACTACTCTCCATCCGCCTTTGCTATTTTCCTCTGGTTGGTCAAATATGATTGATGTAGAACTGGATGGTGTGTAAAGATGCAGATGGTCGATCAAGAGTGACACGAGGCAGAAGTGAAAGGGAATTGGAAGAAGGACAGAGAAGAAAAAGCAAACTCACCCCGCCTAAAGATTCGTACAATGTCAATCCTACCGCTTGAATGGGTATATTACGTTTCTTCCCTTCGGTTGTGGTCTTGCAGAACGTACGGAGGATACGAGCGGGTATGAAACCACCACCTCCTATAGCGATGAACAATGTTGGGGCTATTCATCAATATTTCATCACGTTTGATTGGGTCATACTTCGCTCCAAGTCCGACCGCGACTGATTAGTTGTTGTAACTTAGCTATTCATGCCGAGTGTGGTCGGGCGAGCATCGAGGAGAGAGGAAAGAAGACATTTGAATTTGAAACGGAGTTGAAACGGTATGGATGACTCACCAAACTCATCTTTAATCTTGACAGCGGTTTTCTGGATAGCTTTGTGAATATCATTATAGCTCAACCTGATCCTTAATCATCAGTTTGGGGGCTCACGGTTGATGCTGTGGAATGATGTACATTTGTCCTGGTTCCTCCGGATGTCCCATCTTGTGTGACTCGCTGTCTTTGCTATCCTCAAGGTCCAAAAGGGTGAGGAAGATACTAGAGAGATACCTGGGTAGATATATGAAAGAAGATGTGGAGAGAGAGAAAGAAGGAAGGAATAGAAGATATATGACCTTTGCTTATCTGGGTGGGTGGGTGAACACGATGGAAGCGACTTGATCGGATCTTTCTCCTTCTACAATATATACACGGTTTCTTTTGTAATCGGGGGGACATAAAACCACGTGGCATCCCCCCTTTCCCACCGTGACCTACTTAACACTTACACCCGCCGCTCCGCGGCGGTAGGCTGCTAGTCCTTCCTCTTTCCTCTTTCCTCCTTCCTACTCATCTTACCTTTCTCAACTTCACATCTGATACCTACTTACCCCTTTACCTTTGTACCAACCACCTGAGCACACTTCTGTCCTCGCTTACCCTTCACTCGTTTGCCTGATTGGCTCATTGTACGAGGACACCATCCCCCAATCACCCACATGTCAACCCTTCATCTTTACCGATCGCTCCTCCGTGAACTCCGACTAGCCGTGAGTCATGCGAGACCCCTCTCCGAGAGCAGAGCTCATGTCAGTCTAAGCAGCCAAGGAGAATACGCAATCCTGTCGTTCAGCAACATCTGAGAGAGTTGATCCAAGAGCAAAGACCAGACATGGTGGAGAAGATGTTGTCGGAGACTAGGGACTTTTTGAGAGCTTCGAGGATACATGCTGTATGTTCCCCTCTCTCATAAATCGTCCCATGTCATCAATCTTATCAGCTTTTGATACTTGATGCAAGACAATCATACCTGGACTAACACGCAGGAACTTCTCAAACGGTATAACCCTCTACATGACATGACTGAAGAAGAAAAAATTCGTGCTACGGCCCGAAGAGTTGGTCTCAACACTCCAAAAGAATATATCGAAGAGTAGTTAGGTACATTTGCATCGTATCCACATACATCTCGGACGGAGACTCACTTTTCTCTCACTGATTGCCACCATGGCTCTCTAAGAACATGGCCGGTGGCCGTGGACAAGGGAGAAGACGCCTGATGAATGATTTATTTAGAAGGCCAAGGTGAGCTGGAGAAGTCTTCTTTCCTTCCCTCGGTTATCATGTTCTGCCAATGATCGCCAGATACTTAGCTGACTTATTGTAGCCTCATGGGCTGACCAACGTCATCAGTTCTGAATAAGCAATTCCAAATCCATTCGGCCGTGACCTCCCTCATCGAGACTTCCAGCATCGCCTCTCTTTCCTTTGTGTTGATGTGGGTAATACAAAATTCGAAGACCAGTAGACACCTCTGACGCCATTCGAACTTCTAAACTCACGTCATCGGTGACCGATCACCGAAGGTCTCGCGGTGGACCTTGGCGCCAGGGAGAAATGTATACGTTCAACATCAGTGGTACCCGCTCTTCTCGTCGTCACCGACCTCGGTTTCCGTTCGGCTTTTGCTTTCCAACCGTCCCGCAGAGTCACCCGCACGTCGTGTACACGTCTCTACGGAATCTCCAAACGATGAGATAGTACAAAAAGCCAAAGATGGTCTACAGGGCCTTCAATGACAGAATGTCTAAACTTCCCTGGCCCGAATTGATGGAGATGATGCGGAGGGACGGATTGGGCAGCCCCTCACAGATCGAAAACCGTCCTGCCCGAGCCCCATTGCCCCCGCCGAGTAGCAATCCTCAGTCCTTCTTCGATGGCTTGCGCCACGTCACCACTGACATGCCGGCAACCATCATACGACCTCGTAGTACGGAAACCATCGTAGCCTCAGTCAGGGATCAGCTCTTGAGTCCCTCCCCTGTCCTATCACCTACAACTGCTAATTCGTGGAACCCGCCATCTTAGACCCTTCCTAGGGATTCGGCCTCCGCAGGCAACGGGTCGCCTCCTTTGCAAATATCGCAAGCCTCGGGTTTTGTGATGCCGGTGAGGACTCATTTGACCCTGCCGTCCTCTATCCCCCGCCAGCAGGTCGCTCAACCACAATCATCGAGGAGGGATCTGCCCATGGATCCTCAGCACTTCATCAGCTCACTGGAAACCAAGTGGGAAGGGACGAACTTGACAATAAAGAGTAGTTCCAAAATTTACAAGCTTCTTACATGCCCCCCGAACACGGTTCTGATCCACTTGGGAAATGATGGTATGATCTGGGGTCGGGACGATCAAGAACATTGGTCTCACCTGGCCTCCGTACCTCAAACCAGCCTTGGTGGTCGGGTTGAACAAGAGACAGACGTGTTCAAAAATATTTTCGAAACGACGGATCCCACTTCTCCACTCCGGGTTCATATCGGTTTGATCGGGTTGGCCGTCTTCAACCTTGCCAGCGGGGAGGAAGTTCACATGGGTGACTACGAGTTCACACGCAGAATGTCACTACGCAGAATCCTGAGCCAACTTGTGGAGTACAGCCTCTATCCACTACGCAGAGTATCGATACAAACTGTTCAAGCGGTTGCCGTGGCCAGCGGATCGACTCAGGGAGGGCGGATGGGTTCAAATCCCACCACGAATTGACTCAATGATCCGTATGTTTAGAATCCATATCGCTGATTACTTGAGTAGAACAATCGTACTGATTCCGTCCAGAACCCAGAGGACGCTGGGATGTGAGTTAAGGTGATCTCCGACATCCAAGGAGCTTGAGGGAGAGGACGTGACTCGAGGTGCGAACATCCACTGGACCGGTCTTGTGCGTTTCCGATGTGTACGTACTTGTCTTGGCTCTTGTCATATGTGTTCCCTCAGCTGTATGGAACGGTATGACCGATGATACCTCTAATTATAGAAAACTAATGAGAACAATGATACGGACATGTAGACAGATGTGAACATCCCATAGCTTACTCAACATTGCTCATCTGATATGTATTAAAGTGTACACCTGTACCATACTGATTTGACGGACAGGACATCAGATCGGGTTTATCCTAATCTGGAAGCTTTGCCTTCTTGATATTTCCTCTCCTGCGATTGACACGTCAAATCGGTAATCCGCTTTCAGCCCTCTCTTGAGTCCTTCGACCGACACTGAGACATTCACGACCCTTGAAGTCGGTGCTGGAGGATGATGAAGGCATGGGAAGAAGACCAAGTGGAGCCGGCGTTTGATGAGGAGTCGACGAACGTAGCCCTCGAATGTTACTATTGGCCACCTTTGTGAGTTTTGGATCTCACTTAATGCGTGGACTGAGGCGGTGAACATCCTTCCTCGTTCGGAGTTGGAAAAATGATCACCAGCCCTTTTGAGGTCTACTGATCGAACTGATCAAATTCAGTGTGAGTCCGAACACTTTCTCTGTCTGTCGCTTATTTTCAGATATTTAGACCTCGCCACTTGCTCGTTCCCCTCTTTCAACTGCAAGTCGTATACCATGTCCTCGGAACGCTTCAACCCATCCTTAATAGGGGAACAAGAGCCTCCTCAACGCCTCCCAGGGTCAGCGAATACTTTTAATTATAAAAACGTTATGCTGCATTCATTGTCGAAAGATTTTATGAGGATGATGCAGCAGTTCAAGGGGATCGAGCCTCTCCCTCACACTGGTCCTCTCTCGTCGGTTTATCGGCCTCCCTGGAGCGTTCCGGACGATCAGCTCAACCAAGATCCTTCTCATCCCTCTAATTCTAATGTCTGTTTCGCCCGCTCGGTGAACCATCATTACCTCCCACCGCATGCTCGTCCACTGAGTGTATATATGGATCAAAGCCACTGCCCGAGCGTGTCAGAGCATCTATCACGCGTACCCGACAGACCCATGTCACTCATGGCGGAAGATTATACGTCTGGATCACCATCAAAGCTCCCCACCCAGCCCGATCGGTTTCCTTCGTCGAGTTATTTTCATCCTCAGCATTCCCTTGTGTCATCATCATCATCAAATCCAGCTCAACGCCATTACGAAGATGTCCCAATGGAGGCAGACGAAGACAAGTCACCCACTCCGACTCCAGGTGACTATGAACATATGGACCAGACGATGGACATGTCATGATCACAAACGGTGTTGACTCAACCCGACTGGCCGAGAGAAATGTTTTGTTTTACCTTTCGCTTTCCCACTCGTCTCCGATCGCTTCTCTGGACCCTCGCTTCCGATGTCGCTCACGGAATCCTCTATCGGTTCACGAAGGCATGAGTAATGTCACCGACTTCCTATAAGAAACGCCTGTAGCCGCATCCACTGGTTGCTCGGATACCCACCAAGCTAGGATATGTCGTCTTTCGAAGCGAGCAGCATCGACGGTCACTATCCAATGGATCAGGGAGCCATCACACAGGCGGGAGATTATACGGCGGAGGAAAGCTTCTTCTATCCTCTCGGTCTTGCACCTGAATTGTTAGGGCAAGATCCAATCGTACTTGAACATTCAATCCAAGATGTCGGTCTAGGGGGAGATGGTTTCAGAATCTCCTCTTCTCTATCGGATTCACGGGGATCGGACGTTGTCTCACTGCAGCGAACGACGCCTCGGAACTCCTCCTTCCTCCCTTACGAGTTTGAAAACCATGGTGTACACAACCGCCAGAGTATCAAATCGTCCGTCTCGTTCGATCCCGCTTCTCTTGAACGGGCACAGTCATCACCAAATCTCCTCCATCTATCACCTGCCGGCACTCACAATGCTGAGCAACCATCTTCAATACCACAATCAGCCCACTTCACACCACTCCACTCGAACTCAGTAGTCCCATCGGCTCTTCCAGCTGGATCCTCTTCGTCAAACTACCAGGTTCATCCCCAAGGTTCTGCAAGTCAACCAAGAACCTACTTGTTCCTACCTCCCACCACTTTTGTTCCACGACAATCACTTGTCCCACCACAACCCAGTTCCACACTCGGCTCAAACTTCATTCGTTCTCTAAGACTAGAGCGGTACCACTCAGAGTACCACATATGCAACAACAGAAACTCTGTTAACCTGCTTCAATGCCCTCGAGGTACCATGAGGAGTGAAGTTGTGGTAGACGGCACGGTCCGATATACCAAGGAGGATGGGATCTGGTATGATCTTCTCTGCATGCCCCCCAATCATCGACCCTTGTGGGAGGCACTTGAGACTAGAAGACTCTATTCGAGGTTCCAGGCAACTGGCAGGAGCCAGCTTTCCTCACATGTCACTTTGGTAGGCTGGGCGGTGATTGAACTGTCCGTACAGGAAGGGGTGAACGGATTGGATCATAGATCGTTCAGCGAGGCAATATCAAAGGTCCTCCGGGATCTTGGTCGAGATGAGGTATACCCTCTGAGCGAGGGTCCCTTGTGATGGGTGAATGGGACAAGTCATACTGACTCAGACAAAGAGAACCAACTCACGGATTCCAGGGAAGGGAAGAAGATCCATTAGCAACCGCCTGATGTCAACATTGTATTCAACTTATTGGACGCGTTCAAGTCTGCTAGGAAGCAACGAGGTGAGATGACAAAGCTGATTCTTATTCAAGACCATGTAGGGTAATTGTGTAGAGTGCTTGTACTGTCCAAGCCGATATGCAGCCGGATCCAAGTGATTGAAGATGGTCTGTAACTAATCTTGGAAACTCTGATTCCTAATGTCCGTGATTCCTCGACCTCACAATCGGCCAAAAGCCTTGCCTGAATTGCCGACCTCGTATGACAACGACTGCCGGTCTCTGAAGTAGATATTCCGAACCGTGTGAAGTCGTGCACCACCCTATCCTTCATCGGGGAATCCGTGCACTTAGGTGACACAGAGTTGAATAGACTTGCCACTTTGAGAATGTGTAGTCCATTCCACTTGCTTCCTGGGCCTAGTTGCTTGGGAAGCTCAGTGTGAAATACCTTGACGGATCCTTTGACTTGTCAGCCCTCTCGTACCGCAGAGATAGTGTTCTGTTGATCCTACTCATCAAACTCAAGAGTGGTACGCCTCTGATACACCCATAGAACGACGCCCTCAATGGTCGACGAGCTAACAACTGGGTTTCTTTGATCCTGTTCATAGAGCAGATGTTGATATGGGATGGAAGTGCTGGAGTCATTGAGATGAACATTTGTCTTTGGGCTAGGAGACAGATGAGCGGCGTGCTGTCATATCATGTCAGGAGGGTGACAATTTGACATGGATAGATACATACGGTGTCTTGTCATGACGGGACGTTACAGATGTATGGTCATTCGTGCGTTTCCTTTGTCCACAGATACCTCCTCCACAACCGGACTGACTTCCTTGAAATCGAGAGCTATTGCCCGCCAGTGATACCTGGAGCGGGCTTTGCTGCCAATCCTTCCCCTCCGAAACTATTCAATTTGATGATCTCTTCCGTTTTCTTCTCCCCTCCTTCTTTCCTCGGAAGCTGCCCAGTTCGGTCCGCTTCAACAACGGGAGACTTTGGTACACCTCTCTCCGTCTGTCCCAGTGGTAGTCCGGTTTCCGCCACTGTGGGGTGAGAAGGGACTTCTCCTTGATCCAGATACGCAGAACTATGGACTCCTTCGGGACCATCAGGAGAACGAAGGGTTGGAGCTGTACTGGCGTTGGCTTGTAGTTCTTGGGAAACTTCGGTCTGTGCAATGGGTGGAAGTGGAGCAGGCGCGTTGTTGAGTTTCGAAGGGTCGATCGGAGGAGACGTTGGATGGACGGGGACGATAGGCGGAGTTGACATCTCGGGGAATAAGAGCTGAGTTGAGACGGAGTATCAGATAGATTGCGGGGGTTAGGACTGATAGTAGAGTAGGGACTACAGGACTGATGCTGATCTGGCGTTGATGAGAGGTTTCGGGGGTTTGACAAAGGAGAGCTGCGACGTCAGCTCAGATGACGATTGAAACGTATGATGCAATCTCACCTGATTATTGACCGAACGTTTGAGCTGCGTGTTGAAAGAGTGAGACAGTCAGTGAGGATGACAAGCTGATGATCTAGAACGGATCAAGAGATGGAATGATAGAGAAAGTAAGTTAAGAGAAAAGAGATTTGATTGTGGGGCCGAGTTGAGTGAAGAAACCAAAGTGGCAGTGTGGCACTAGGTTTTATTTCGCACGAATTCCTTGAAGCCAAGTGTGGTGCTTTCCCCTGCCAAGCTAACCTGATTCAACGCGACCTCCCGATCTCTACTCAGCTTGAATCACAGCATGCCTGTTTCACAGTGACATTTCTCAGCCTTGCCCCATAACAAGGGAGGAACTCATCACCATTTGACCCAGCCTCTGTACAATATCATATAAGTGTTAAACATCGGTTGATTTTTGTTCTTCACTAGTCAGACCTCATCACCTCCAAAATACCTTTCTAAAGATGTCACAACAAACAGACACATGCTCTTACTGTATGCTCACTATTGATCCCCCTTTACGTCGAAAATGCTGTGAAATTACTGCACCTACTAATTACTTTGCGGTCCATTCCGTTTGCGTGGATGATTTCCTTTCGATATGGCCTGAACATCGTTTGGATCAAGATCGGCCCACCGATATCGTAGGTTAGCACTCACCAATCACAGCTTTTGATACTGATGGTCAGCTCCCCACAACGTGTACCTGGGATCCTGCTCATTCTGTAGACCCTAAACAAGGGCATTATCTGGTCAATCAACAAGGATACCAACTCCCTTCCGTGCGAGCATACTGTTCTCTGAGAGAAGCAACCGGGGCCGCTCACCGTTTGGGCGGGAGTATCTTGAACCATTCAGACGCTGTTGATATGCTGCGTAAGCATGCTCAAGCCAGTCACCGTAGCTACATACAGGCCGTTGAAGCTGCCCAATCACCTCAACACTCTAGTTATGACCTCTCTGGTGTCACACAACAAATGAGTGCTTTGGACATTGGAAGTCAGACATCAGCGCAAGCTTTCAACACACCACAACACAACCTTGACTATACCCTGCAGTCAGGGTATCATAACCAAGCTGAGCCTCCCGATTATGACTGGAACGCTCAGCCTTCGGGCTCATCTGGGCAAGGAGGAAGTAGTGGAGCTCAATGGCATCAGCCTGTTCTGACTCAGGAGATCTCCAACAATCCACAAAGCAAAGGAAAGGGACGGAGCTCCAAGTCAGCCGTAGTGGGGAAGGCATTTGGTAGAGTAAAGGACAGAATCACCTCCTCTGTCTTCCCCAAGAAAGGCAAGAGTACACAGGTTACAACGGACCAAAGTCAAAGTAGCGCAAGGGCATTTCCTGACCCTCCTCAATTTGAGTATCAACCTTCATATGGAGGACCAGTTTATGAAGGCGAGGATCTCCCAAACACCGAGATGGGATGGACAGGCTATGGCAGTTCAATCCCGATGTCTCAGCAGATTATGTCGGGAGACTATGCTCCTGAAGAAGGAAGGATGTATGATCAGGATGCCGTCTCTCCAGGTGGATATGACCCCGATGGTTCTTACGATCCCAACGTCTCTCCAATATGATTGGGAAGCGGCCATAGGTTGGTTATTGCTTGCCGGAAGCTTTCTTGTGTATAGTCAGTCGTAGAGGGAATAATGCACGAGGTCTAGAAGTGAAACGATGAGGTGCAAAGGTACGTATCTTCACTGATAACCCTTGAGAATTGCATGATCTATATATGTATGGCAGCCAAGCAGGCCTCTCTACAATTGTTTCGAATGATTTTCTATAAACATCATTTCAACTCACGCTTTACAACTTCAACCTGAAGTCGGGATGGATATCCCCGACTACTCCTTCGTCGATGAGCCTCTGCCTCTCCTCGGGCGACATCTCCTCCCTCCTCTTGTTGACTCGCTTGAGATACCACGCCTTGATAAAAGTGAAGACGAGGGCGACACACATGAACGCCATGGAGATGGAATGACCGATGTGGTAGTTGGGTTTATCACGAGCCATGTAGATTTGTCCAGCGACGATACCTCCTGCGTTACCCATCATTTGTTGTGTCGCTATTCCGATAGAACGCTTGATTTGAGGGGCTTGGTTGATAATGAGCCATGTCATGTTACCTCCGTCTGCGACGTAGAGTCCACATCCGACCTGGTAGGTCAGTCATAAAGTCGGTCTGATGAAGGGAGATTACTTACCAAGAAAGTCATTGCGTACTTGACGTGATAGTGTCCATCTCCGACGCCGATCAGAACGGCGTATCCGATGCTTGCTAGTCAACAAAGGAAATAGGCAGATGAAAGAAACGTACATGTTGACGATAGCGGCTGGGATGATAAACCTATGTCGGTTCTCAAAGTGATCCATACCGAAAGCACAGATGACGTAGACGACGGCGGCAGCCGCATAGACAGGGACGGTGAGAAGTTGTGCGCGAACTCCGGTGAACCCTTTGCCGAGACCGCTGATGATGACGGGGAGGAAAGTAGAGAAGCCTGAATGTTAGTCATATTATCAGGAAAAGAGAATTGAACCTACCGTAGAGACAGACGTCGACGCTGAATTGTATCGCAGCTGATAGGTAGATCTTCGGATCCTTGAAAGCTTTGGTGAAGTCAATCTTCTGGATCTTGGCGTGACCCATGTAGGCGGCACGTTGAGCGTCGCGCTTTTTGATAACAGCTTTTTCCTCTTCGTTGAAGAAGTATGCAGTTGCAGCGTTGTTGGGTAGGAAGATGAAGACGATGATGGCCACGGCAAAGGAACTGGAGGTCAGTCGAGCCAGCCAACGTACGTGCGTGCGTATCACAGTGGGACTCACATGACAGCCTCCATGAGGTAGATCCAACGCCAGCCACGTCTCCCCTGCACGCCGTCCATCTTGAGGAAGCCAGAGGCGAAGAGACCGCCGACCGCACCCGAGAGCATGAGGGATAGGAACAAAATAGCAAATCTTCGGGACTGTTCTCGACGTTTGTACATCCCAGACCTTGTTTTGTCAGTCCCAGGACGCCAGGAACACGCAGACACTCACAGGTAGATATTCAGATAGGGGAACAATTTGTCAGTCCCAGGACGGCAGAGACAAGCAGAGACTCACCAATCCTGTGTTGTCAGTCCCAGGACGGCAGAAACACGCAGAAACTCACCAGCCTCGCATAGCCCTATCATGAGGCGGGTAACAATGAGGCCTGCATAGTTGGTCATGAAGCCAGATCCGACCATGACAAACGCCCAAACTGGGTCGTTAGTTACTTTGTGCGAGTCGAAAAAGAGCACACTCACTGCACATGACACCAGGCATCATGAATCTAGCGGGAAATTGACGACAGAGCATAGTCCTACTGGTCAGTTGCAAGAATTGCATGGAGATAGAGAAGAGTGGGATAAACTGCCACACGCGCCACGGAAGCAAAAACCGCCACACCCGCGGGTCACACTCAAGTAGTAAGATAGACTCACACTGGGATCTCTGCGCATACATAGGTCACGTAGTAGATGGAAACGGCGACGTTGAGTTGGTTCCCAGTCTGTCAGGTCAGCGGGGACAAGAGTCGCTGAGTGGCTGTACCTACCAGGTGAAGATCTGTGCTCATACCGGCAGCGGCGGCATTTCCGATGTTGGATCTGGTCGTAAGCATCTTCCAAAACTCATTATTGTCACGGCTTCCATCCCCCTAACACCCCTCTGGATTGCTGACTTGATACACCACACGCGTACAACCGATGGGATGGCATGTCCGGGCCGCTTATGATAATGGGCGCCAGGGAGAGACGTACCTGTCCAAAGCACATATAATATAGATGACACTGCACAAGTCAGCCAGGGCATGAACACCTGTGGATTGTGGATACGTACAGGATGAGAGGAGCAATGTGTATGTCAAATTTCCTAACGATCTTGGCTTCGACTTTGGGGTCGATATACAGCTCGTCTCCAGGAAGGTAATCTCGTTCACCATCTAAAGTAGCATTGGTGTCGACCGGGTTATAGACGACGTCGGCGGGTACAGCCTCTTTTTCTGAAAAACTTTCGCTCATCGTGCCAAGTCTAGTCGATGAGACCAAATGTCGAGGTGTGGAGAAAGTATGAGAGGACGATGGCGACAGTCCATGCTATTTCAATCATGTACTTGGTGGAAGGGGCGTTCGTGTCAGACAAGGACCGTGGAAGTTGCATTCACTATCCACAGTTCAGCAGGAAGATTGAGAAGATAAGCGACCGGCGATCGGCAGGCGGAACGACGGAACACATTTCCTGTCGGATCATTGGTCAATTTCAAGTCACTGCGCGGCCGCCGCCCTTTGAGTCAATGTCTCACGTGGTGTCGATTCATGTCGCCATTTGTGGTGAACATTGTGTGAGTGACATAGTCGAAAGTCGGAGGGAGGGCGTTGATCTTCGCGCTCTATGCGGATCCGTGGATGGTTCCTTGTTGATGGTCAAACATCATCAATTGATCAGCCGTCAATCAGAAACGGCTGCTAGTTCGGGCCCTACTCTACAGTTCCTGCGGGCGCGGCCAGAGCCCACCCGGGGGTCCGGACTGTACCGGAGTTGAACCCCTTATCTCTCGCACCTTCCCCAACTTGAGCTTCACCGCTCTCTCGGAATTGGCAACCACTAGCAAAACCAATTATGTTGAAATTCCGGGACCCATTTCAGAACTTCCGGAGACTCAGCCGCCCACTACTGGACTTAAGGGTCCAGTGACTAAACTCGACAGTGTGTTCCCTGACTCCCCGGTCGGATTCTCAGACCGCGCCTCCCAATATCCAACTCAGGTACGGGTTACTATACTTTGTAGCCCGTTTGCCACATTCATTGACCGAAATAGCTTCCGAGATCCCAGAGACCAAATTAGACAGTGGGTTGGTAGACTTAAAACTGGTATTTATTTGACAGCAAATTCCACACCACTATTGACCATAGCATGACTGAACCTACTCCATTCGGGCTTCTCAAGCTTGGTCGACAGACGGTCATCACGTTCGGGGCAGTGGGAATCAGCATTGCAGCACGTCAGCCAGTCACATCAGCACGGGCCACAAGCATGTGTTTCATCAGTTCTGATCCCATCAGACCGGGGTCTATTATGCCGGCCTACCATAGATATGCTCTCTTACTCACTATCTTACTGATCTTCAATCTCTTCCTATGCCGCCCTTCCAACCCCGTGACCCGCCTACAGGAGTCGTTCCGGCGACAGTCATACTTCGCAAGATCAACCCAAGAAAACGGGGTCGACCTAAGAAGATGCCGCTTGGCCACTCCTCTCAGTCCTCCCGAGTTGAGGGGCAATCACAGCAGTCTGAACAGCTACTCGTCACACCCGTCCAGCAGACAGGTAAACGTGGCGCCCCCGACAGTGGAAGACCGGCGAAGAAGCGTAAAGTTCCACTGGGCGCATCATCCACCGGAAACCTGCTTGCGCCTGAACCAGGAGTCAGTTCACTTCATCACCAACCAGCTGCCGAAGACATGACATCACCTCCTGACTCAAATATCCCCTCACCTCCGCATTCACCTAACTCCCAACCTGATTTGAGCTCTGGTTCACGACGTCCGAATTTCCGCCCTCCCGAACATGTAGATTATGAAGACTGGGTTGCCCGTTATCATGACACCCCAGACCTTCGTCTTGTTAGCGACCTTACGGGATACTGGCCGCGTGATGTGGACGATGTGGAAGAGACGTTGGAACCTCTCCAAGAAGCCGCCAAGACTGCCCGTTTGCATGTTAGCGACAACTTCCTTCGATCTACGCGCATCAACCTGAAAGCCGAGAATGGATATGAGAGAAGGCAGCAGAAAGTGAAAGATCTGGCTCGTTTTTTTGAGCAGCTAGTGAATGTCTTTCTTTCATGAATTATAGCTTTGCTGACGCTGAAGCCTCACGACTACAATCTCGACCGTCACACCATATACAAAGGGGCAAAAATCGATTGGACTGACGGTCCTGGGCTTCATCCAAGTGACGTTCGGGCTCGGCGAATGGACATTTCTATAAATGAAAAGGACTTCCGCACTCATCCAGATCGTCTCATTTGGCGAGTGGTGTTCTCCTGCAATGGTGCATGTGCAACGTCTTTTGGAACAACAGGCGTCCCATCTGTTCCGTCTTTATCGACTCATGACCATACTGCCGACGAATTGTACGCTTTCGCTAAAGCCGCATCTAAGCGTCGCTCGGTGAGAGTAGAAGCAATGAAGAAAACCCAACCCACGCTACCTAATCCGATCGAAGCGGCTTCCGAACCAGATGACAGCCAGTCTCACGGGATGGAGTGGGGAGGGGCAGGTCCTCTTCCTGTCTCTGAGAACCGTTCGAAGCGCACAAATCGTTCACGTAAATCTTGGTCGACTGTCTCTCAGAACAGGCGAAAACCACCTGGAGACCACAAAGAGACATTATCCCCGAAAATCTCTCAAACCACCCCCCGGCAGTCCACAATCAGAGAAAAGGTCCTTGGTCCTGGTGTTCCGACCTCCAAATCCTCAAAGCAGACAAACACCGATGAGCAACTGCGAGAGCCTGAAGATTCACATATATCCAATGTGAACGACCGTGAAGCTCATTCGGACTGGTTCACCTTTGTTCCGGATGGCGTTGAACAAATTACAAATCCGGTGAAACCAGCTGAATGGTCACACGGACATGACGACAAGGACCCAACAAGCACCACTAGTGAATCCGGAATCAAACATCAACGTGACATCAACCAAACTATAGTTGATGGTGCACAGCAGCCCAAGCCAACAAGCGTCAGTCAAGCCAAACAAGCGTTTCAGTGGGAAGGAAGGATGGCAGGAGAAGTCAGCTCAGATGAAGATGACAGTGGCTCAGACGAGGGTGACGGAGGGACTGATGACGGATCAGCCGACCCAGGGAGTGATACAAAACAGGAGCACAAACACCCAGGGGAGCGACCAGGAACTTCGACTAATGTCAGAGATGTCAGAGACAATATATATGAAGACAAGCATGATAGTGCAAATGAAGAAGTAGGAAGAAGGGATGAGACTGAGGACAAAGACAAGAACAATGATGCAGACGACAATGATGACGACAATGAAGATGACCATGAAGAAGACGATGAGAACAACGATGAAGACGACGATGAAGACGAAGGTGAAGAAGATGTTGAAGAAGATGGTGAAGAAGATGGTGAAGACGAAGGTGAAGACGAAGGTGAAGACGAAGGTGAGGATGAAGGTGAAGACGAAGGTGAAGACGAAGTTGAAGACGAAGGTGAAGACGAAGGTGCAGACAGAGGTGAAGACGACCGTGAAGACGAAGGTGAAGACGAAGGTGAAGCAGATGGTGAAGACAATGGCAAAAATGAGGATGAAGACGACGAGGAAGATAGTGAAGATCAAGAACAAGATGAAGAAGAAGAAGAAGAAGATGATGATGATGAAAATCATGATGATCGCAAAGACAATGTCAACGACAGTGACAATGACGAAGCCAGCAGGAGCCACAACAATCAGGACACTGAAAATGGCACCCGAGGCAATGGAGGTGAGCATGATGGGAACGAAGACACCGAAGAGGACGCAGACATGGAGAATGAATCACCCAGTCTTAAGAAGGGAGGAGATAGAAGGAAAGATTTTCCGACGGCTAAAAAGAGTGACAAAAATCAGCTTGTTCATCCGAAAAGCAGAAGGAAGCGTCATTGTGATGCTTTTGTAATTGTTCGTGAAACTCCTGGTCTTCAGCCGTCCATAGCTAAACTCAGGTCGAAATGACTGCCAAGCAATGCCGCGAGGGAATGTGCACGATAATTATGAAATCTGAGGATTTTCATCCGCCGGTCTCAAACCTGACGGACCTCAGAATATCTCCATATCTACGTCGTCTACTCCACGAGGCTGCAATGGGATTCGGTATGACCACCAGTAGACTCCAGGACTGTCAGTCATCTTTAACATTGTCTGTTGTGACTAATCTTATAGGGTATTCCCGCTTCGTACTTACCACGGATAGCCACGCAAAATGGATACAGAAAGTGTGTCCACACCGTTCTGCGCGGTACAAAGACTTCAAGCAAGCTGTAGAAACTGCCAGTCAAGCGGCCAAAGTTCACGCCAGCCCACTGGCAGGTATGACCATATTGGCAAGCAGACACCCAGAGGCGTTCATTGCGTCAGTATCCATATTCATATCTGATACTGTGATGACCCTTCAGTTCTGAATTCCCATCCCTTCTGGGTGATGAAGCGATTCTTCGGGTTGAAAAGGGATCACGCTTCCAATGTGTTATCGCACCGCCTGCTGCTAGAGTGGCGGCGATACTTCAAGTGTTTGCCAAGGGAATGTATATGGACTCGTCATGGAGAAACAAAAACTCCTTCAAGTGTCCATTGACCATGCTGGTCACTGTCAACCAGTATCATCGTATGATTCCTCGTGAGTAATCAGTCTCTCCTCTCACACTATGCTGAGTAACATAGTTGCTGCTATGATATCCAACTTTGCAGATCACAAGGCATATGAATTTCTCTTGGCCTCGTTCAACAAGGCAGTTCGTCAAACGGCTCAAGATATCCTGAGCGGTCAATTCAAAACGAAGGTTCCCGGGGTTTCCCAGCGCGAATTACGCCGGGCCTGTCAAGCCGTTGCTCAAGATGGATTGACTCCTCGGTTCATGATGATCGATGGTTGTGATGCCGAGCGCAATGCAATCCAGACCGTCTACCCGGGAGTGGCTCTCCGAGTCTGCCAGTTCCACATGATGCAAGCCTGTCGATCCAAGATACGGCGTATATTTGGACGTAGCAATCGCGCAGAAATCATAACCTCAGGAATATTGGATGCCATTCGAGAGTGTCAACGGTGCGACGATGAAGAACACTGGGAGCGATCGTATGAAGAGCTGGAAGCAGAGGTCAATCGTTTGGCGGCTGATGAGGGAGAAGCCTGGGAGGTGTTGAAGGAGTACCTCGACCGTGAATGGTTCAGTGATCGGTGGCGCAACTTTGTTGTGGACTATGGTATGCCCTCTCATATCACTAGAGATGGTCCGTGGTCCACAAACAATTACTCAGAGGCCGGGTTCCGAACGTTTGATCGGGTCTTCCTTGGTTGTCGTTCAAACAAAAGGTGAGTGTAGTCAAAACCTGCAAACGTCACAGTCCAGCTGAAGTGATGCAGACTAGACCGATTAGTCGCAATTATCATCAACGCATATTTCCCTTTCTACTCCAATACCCCACCTGACAAGCCCAGAGCAGATCCCCATTTGCAACGTCATCTCTTTGGTGGACTTCACCTTTGGGAGACGGATACCATCCATCCTTGTCCTATGGCTCTGGTTCCGGAAGCTCATCGAGTTCTCTTTGACCCCACGACTACTGTTTACGCTGTTCTTTCACCTCGCCGTCTGTCAGAGACAACCTCCTCTCACTTCTGCGGCAGAAAATCCAAAAGTGGACGAGAAGTCTGCACCTGCCGCTATCCAGTACTATCAGGGAAGCGCTGCAACCATCTATGGGCCATGAGCACTTATGAGCTGTGTGGACCCGTATCTTCTTTTGAAGAGAACGCTGCCTTAGTGGAGGACTATTTACGGGAGCGACCTGACTTGTTGGATCTTGGTCAGGTAACTGCTGAGGATGAGGATCCTTACAAGCAAGACCGGCTTGACTTCGAGAAGTACTGGACCGAAGACGTTGCAGAGCTATCCAATCTGTCTGTTATCAACCTCCAGCCTGAGCCACCATCCCCGTCCAAGAGAAAAGACAGACAAGCTTCAGTGGACGGGCCGGACCAAGCTTCATCGTCGATGCCATCTTCACCTGTGCGATCACGACGAGAAATAACTCCGATAGGAAGGCGCTATCAATCTCGTGTCACCTGGGAGAAACCGGAGTATCGAACAGAACAGGGGTATGATGACACACGTTATACTACCGCAATCCCAAGCAATTCGAATCACAATACCACCAGTCACACGAGCAGAAACCCCAGCGCCGCACCCAGACAGCCTTCTATACATACCAATCAAGCCGGCGAGTCTCCCAGTTCCCCTAGTGGCCCCGAATGGCCCTCGAATGGCCCCGAATGGCCCTCGAATGAGTCCGAATGGCCCGTCAATGCTGCCGAATGGGAATCAAATGCGCCCGAATGGAAATCAAATGCGCCCGAATGGGCATCAAATGTTCCCGAATGGTCATCTGATGCTCCCGAATGGCATCCCAAACAGCTAGACCTGCCAAAAACCTCTCACATCCCAAAATCCACTCGTACCTACACCTCACAGTCTTCGCCAAAGTCATCTGTTCCAACACCACAGGCGCCCGCCAAGGACCAAGGCTGGTTTCAATACCCTTCAGGACGGCCACGAAAGAATGTGCCACTTAATCCGTCTCGCAAGTCTGGCCCAAAACCCACTCCAAGCTCATTACGGATTTCTGAGAAGGTTCGAGACTCGTTGTCTCCGCCAACTGGTGCTCTCAACACCGGAAATGATTGTTACGGGATTTCCCTATTCCAGATTCTTATCAGGCTTGCCAAATGGATGGAGATTCTTGAATATGTGGCACCAATTGGATTAACTCCAGCAGATCCAGTCACACAGCTTCTCAGGCTCTTTATTGAGTCCTTGAAGAAGTCAGAACCTTCCTCGTTCCCACACCTGCGCCAAATTCTGAAAGGTATGCACTTACTTCATATGACTTGAAAGGAGCACCAAGTTGATGTTTGTAGCCCAGGGCCTCGTGGACCACGAAGCATCACAGCAAGATCCTCATGAAGTATTCACGAGATTGACGTATTACTTGGATAATCAATTTCATACCAGCCTCTTCAGTCGCCTCTTTCAATTTGAAGTCGCCAGTAATGTGAAATGCCCCTCTTGTGGCCATTCTTCGGTAACTCAAACCGATACCGCATTGCATCATTCACTCTTCATATTTCCTGGGGCGACCCCTGCCACCACTACCCCTGACCTGGCTTCTATGATAGACTCAGCTTTGCAGCGAGTGTCATCCGGAAGGCAACATACCTGTCCCCGTGCTCCTTGTGGACACGTTTTTCACGCCAAATCCGTTTCAAAGATCTCTTACACTGGTCCTTACATGTGTATACATGTCAACTGGAACGCAGAGACGGTCAGTGGACAAGTAGCAGTCATAAAGAGACTGCATTTCGATATACCTCGAACTACAACCCTACCTATCACTGCCGCTGATCCCAACGTGTCAGATGCACAATGGCAACTGGCAGGAATCGTATGCCGCATTGGTGGAACTATGGATGGAGGGCATTACGTGACCATTGCTCCTGGAGTAGACACTGAGTGGTGGCTTTTGGACGATGAGCGGGTGTCTTACTGTGCGTCTCCGGGAATGGAGGCCTTTCGAGCTGGAAGGTATCCAACAATGATCTTCTATCAACTGTCAAAGGTCTTGGGAGACGAAGGTCCTAAATACATTGTCCCGGACCCTGTGGACCGAAACCAAGATCAACCTGCGAAGGCACACCCAGCAATGATCCATGCTCCATCCGTGCCATTCAAACCAACATCACTCAAGGCAATTCTCAATGATACTTCAGAACCTGGTATTCTATCCATGCCGCATAGTGTCCCTCCAGGTATGTCATTCATGATAGCTGTAGCTCTCTGCTAATGTGGTAGCTGAGCAAACTATCACTGTCTACTCTGACCCCATCGGAGATCACCATCAGGCATTGCCGTCCAATACCAGTCGTCAGACAGACACGGTCAGAAGTACTGCAGTGGTGCGCCCAGCTCCTGTCACATCATCACAACTGCCTGTCAAGACACCATCTTTTACAACGACGCCTTCCTCTATCAAATCTGAGGCACCTCAGGCTAGGGCTGTTCCAGCAGCCCTGTCTGAAAACCCTCTTTCGCAGGTGTCGCCGATTGTCGTGAAGACAATCGATGGACAAAAACACATGTCAAACACAGGGTCTGATCCTATCAGCCCTTCCGCTGTAGGTTTCATGGATCTGCTCGGGTCTGAGCAAGCTACTGGTATCCGACCACAGCCAGTCATCAAGCTAGAAGCTTCTTCCTCTGTTGGCATACCGGAAAGTGCCCATCCTCCCCTTGCCGTACCCGATTCAGAGGTGAATGTCGATTTACTCAACTTCCTTTTTGGTACAGCGCAGGAAGACCCCTTCACGGGGAAAAGCGCAGAGTCAGCAGTGGAAGAAAAAATAGTTGATGTCACTACAAATGAGGTCACAACCACGGCTCAATCCCACCACGCACAAATTACTCCTGTCACCAGTGTCACAGATCAGTCGTTCAATGACCCACCAGGCAATGCAGCTACCATTGCCTCCGAATACGCAAGTCCTTTCGGACCAGACTGGTACACTATTGTGCCATTAGGCGCAGATCACATGTCTGGCACCAATGATGGGTTCAATAGCTATAACAACAATTTGGAATCCCAGCCTCTGTCCTTTGTACCGGACTCACATGACAACACGTTAACAACTCCTGGAGACCTCTTAGGAAACACAAGAGACACTGTATGGTCTTTGCCGGATACTGAAGCTATTTCGACAACCCGTGATCCCCACGCAGGAGTTCCAATAGATCAACTGACCGATGATCAGCTCGTAGACAAGGCTTTGGCAAGATATGCTTCATTGAAATGGGATGTTCCAGACAACAAAGCCCGTGACATCAACTGCATAATCATGGCTGTGAACAAGTTTTCCGAATGGATGCCACCACCGCTGTCCAGAAATTTCTTCATACGACTCATGAAGCGACTCCATGAGAAGCCAGAACGTCCAGGGATCATAGACCAGATGATTAGAACAGAGAATCCTGCGGTCCAGGTGTCGAGTCCCACTTTCTCTGGGTTAAGATCTCGGGAGCAGTGGTGGAATAACTTCTGGATGGACGCAGTCTGTTTGGCTGCTCAAGACCGGGTCAAGCGGAAGTATCCTGATGCTCCACGCACGGCGGTCGCCATTGTACCCGGTCTCTTCTCATGGAAAAGGAAGGATGGCGAGATGGTGCCAAACCTGGATACGAAAATGTCTCTTCCTGGCTTAGGCAAGAACTCTTCCTGGCGGACCCGGACCAATGTGGCCATTGTTTCCACAAGTTGGAACACCCATTTTGCTACTGTTGTCATCTTTGGTCCCCAAAAGCTGATGATAATCTTTGACAGCGCTGGAGGTGGTCATGATTGCCAGGAGTTGAAATCAGTAAGTAGACACAATTCTTTGCAGAGGTTATCACCCTGCTGACTTCACACAGAAATGGCGGACAATGCTGAGAGACCGTATGACCTGGGAGCGCAACAGAGGCTGGGTCGATGATGAGGCCAATGAGGACTGGATCTTTGCTCCAAATACGCCTGTAAGTTCCACCGAAAACAGTTTATATAGATAATCATCTAATATCACCAGAAATTGCGAGAGGGTCTTGAGTGGGTGAATCAAAGCGACGCATACAATTGCGGCCCGTTATCGACTGCGGCGGCTATCATGATTGTGCAAGGTATTCGACCGTGCGCTTCCAATCTGGGTCTTAGTCAGAATTCATACACTGTCAGTGAAGCCATTCTGTTGCGGGATTCGATTGTGATGGTTTTTTTGTCGGAGAACTTGGGATGGACGTTCCAAAATTGGAATGGACGATCAACTCCTACACCGTGGATGATCGATCCTATTGTGATCAAAGAGTTTACCGCGTGGAACAAGGCTTTTGAACGGCGGATGGCAGGGGAAACAGAATCTTAGGTATAATAATCGATTTGAGGCCATATAAGAGATTCATAATTGATCATCCAGTACCGACGGGTATATCTTGGGCATGTATGTACATTATGAGTCACACCGATCAAACAAACCAACAAATGTCCTGACAATCACTTTACACATCCAGTGTGGAGGGAGGTATAGTCTGGGTCATAGACTCAGCTTCCTGCTCACCCGTCTGAACTGAATCTCCCGTGCCGATGGGCAAAATCTGCTCTCCTTCCTTGCCTGCATCTCCAACATTTGAGGTCGTATTGTCCACTTGGGGTAAGTCGGACTGTGCTTCGTCAGCCGTGGGAACCAGGGGTATGGCTGTAATTGGAGGGGTAGCAGTTGTGACGGTCGCAATGGGAACTGATGGCGAGATGCATTGCTTGTTCGAAGAGGAGTGGGGTGGAAGACTGGTTGACGGAGTATCTGCAGGTGAATGGGTAGAATGTTCTCGAATCAAAGCCGTGGGAGAAGCTTGGGTCGGCGCGATCTTAAATCCCTCGAGTTTGGTATTCGCACTGAGCAACTGAGCGTGCAAAGACGCAACAGTTACCTGTGATTCCTCCAGCTGCTTGCTAAGCTGCATTACTTCTCCCTCGGCATCATCCATTGCAGCTTCTGCTTGCTGCTGACCTGTCTGAGCATCTACTTTCTCCCTCAAGGCTTGATTCGTCACTTCAACCAGCTCATCAGCTCGAAGACGAGCAGTATCACGTTCCATCAACGCCTTCTCGCGTTCCATGACCGCCTCCTCAATCCGCTGTTCAATAGCTGCCTGTTCCCGTTGAAGGCGTTCATACTGAGTCTGAAGGAAATCGAGCTTGCTGGAAAGGCTCTTCACTTCTTCAGTCTTCTTACTGACTAATTGAGAAGAGTGAATAAGTCGAATGTCCAACGTACGGTGACTCTGACGCAGTTTGTCCCTCTCTGCACGAACAACTTCAATGGCTGCTCGATCACGCTGAGCCTCCCCTGCAATCTCTTCGCAGAACTCGAACAATCTGTTGAACGATGAGATGGATCGTTCTTGAGTCTCCGTGGCTACTTGGAGTTGGTGGCGAGCAGTTTTCACTGCAGCGGAGAAAGGCTCTTCAGCCTCAGCACGTAGCGCTGCCAGAGTCGATGACCGGGTAGTTGGTTGAACGACGATCTCGGCGGCAGCAGACTCATTTGAATCTGTCTGTGGGGATGATTGTGGAACAAGCACAGGCGGATTCTGCGAAGCAAAAGAGGTAGGCAGGGGTGACTGCGATGGATGTGGTGGCTGTGATTGTGGTTGTGCTGGCGCTTGCTGCTGAGATGGTGGTGGTGGCGGAGGGGGTGGTAACGGGGGAAGTAAAGGTGCTTCGAATGGTTTCGAGGTTGACAGGTGGGTCTGAGGTTCTGCGGAGCGAGCTTTCAGTCGGTACTGGCGCCAAAGACGAAGTTTGGGCGGATCCTGCGCGGGTTCAGCTGGAGGATCTGCGAATGGAGCCTGGGTTTCTGGAAGTGTGACAGCAGAGACTTCATCTGACAGTGGGAGTGACAATGGGAGAGATGCTTCAGGGGCATGATGTGGCGGTGAAGGGTCATTGGCGAGAACATTTGTGTCGGAAATGTCGGCCAAGGGTAAAGTGGAATTACCACGGGACGGTCGCTTGGGCGTTGGCGACTCTAGCCCAGCTTCGGTAGAGGTGCGAGTTCGGATGATGATACGGTCCACCGGTGGATTGTGGGAACGAGATGCTGACTCGGTAGCGGGTGCTACCTTGGTAGTGGCAGCCGAGGAGTTCAATTTGGACAGGAAAGATGGGTCGATCGGTTTGATAGCAAGGGATTTGAGTTCGCAATGTGAGTCGACTTGGGAATAACAAGACCAGCAGGTAAGAGGCTGCAAGACACCAGTCTTCCCGAACTCCCAGCGCCAGAGAAGAGTGGGATAGTGGCGCTTCTGTTCTGCGGTTTTGCAAGTAATGTTTTCCATCCTGCTGGAGTGAGCATGGGTATGGACTACAATATGAAAGACTCACGTGTACATGAAAGCAGGGAGACATGGTCTATGACAAATAGTGTTGGTCTTCCCGTCAACAATACACACCGGGCCACGGCTTTTGACGGGAGCAAGCTTCTCCGGTATCCACCTTGTAAGGCCAAACTTCTCGGCGACAGTGGGAAAGTATTCAACAGGACAATGTTCGTAATCCTGGATAGAATTCTCGATCTGGAGTTCTATGCGACGAAGGATCTTCTTTGAGGAGAAAACTGGATCGGTTGCTCGATCACGGGTCTTCCATTCCTCGGCCAGGAGCGCATATGGATTGGTCTTAGACAGTTGTTCGTTTTTCTGAGACACCGGAGGCAGAGGGGGCGGAAGGGGCGGAAGGGGCGGGGGAAGAGAGACAGTAGAAGGCGAGGTACTTGGAATGCGACTTTGAGATCGCGTGGGGGTTCTTCGACCGGTGGGTTTCCCCTTTGCGGGTGTCCCTGAGCGAGGCGGCATGAGGAGATGGAAAAGTGAAAATGGTGCAGCGGCAGAGAAGATGATAGAGAGGATGATAGACAAGACGATGGAGAGTACAATGAAGAATGAGGTGAAGTACCAAACGAAGAGTAGTTATCATGCTGGTGTTGACGTGTAGGGGGAACATCAAAGGAGGTCCGTGGTGGTGTGTCATGTTGATGGTCATCAGTGATCTGTCCCTGTGCTAGCTACCTTCCCGGGAATCTTGGGGCTTCTGATACACTGATTTGTCTAAGACTCGAATGAGCTCCCGAGTACCTCAGGACGTCCGAACAACCCCGAACGGTTGTCAGAATGACATACAGAGACCGAGGGGAAGGTTGGAAAGAGCTTGGGGCAGATTGTAGCTATTAGCAAAGAAAACGGGGAGGCCAAGAGTGTAAACCGTGAGCACAATCTGAAAACCGAAAGCTCACAGAGAAAAAGCACTGTCAACGAGGCAAAAGGGAGGTACGGACTAACAAACAACACCCTTAGGGAAAATGCGGAATCCTAAGGGAGCAACAGGATGCCCAAGGGAGCAAGAGGGGACCCTGGAGGAGAAAATGGGACACCTAAATAGGGAAAGGGGAGAAGTTCCGAATGTAGACGTACTTCCGGGAACTCCGATGATGGAATAAATGGGCGCGCCAACCACTACTAGTCTTGGTGTGAACAGGTCACCCTTTCATCTTTCTTGAGGAGGTCTCGTCCGCTCGCACTCAGCCGTCAGTCTTCTCTCTGAGACGAATCACTCTGCGACCCCCGTCAATGGAGTCCCGCACACCTCTTGAAGGTCCGGAAGGCACAGAGACAGCCAAGCGGAGAAAGAAGAACGTCTCTAGAGCTTGCATAGTTTGCCGTAGACGGTAAGTGTTCACCTGCACTCAATCTTCCACTTTCAGTCAGCTCACGATCAGTCGGACTAAATGTGATGGTCAACCACGATGCGCCACTTGCAAATCGTTTGACGAGGAATGCATCTATGATCCGGACCAAGATGGACGTAAACCAGCGACGAAACTCTACGTCCAAGCTCTGGTAAATCGTGTCAGGACTCTTGAAGAGCAGTTGGCCCTTGCCACTGAGTCACCTAGTCCTACGCAACAGGCGCAACGTTCGGTCGGACGAAGCAGACCCATCGATACCAGAGAGTCTAGGATCAATCTGGCCGGGACGCTCATAGTGAGTGAGCGAGATATAAGAGAGAGATTAAGCTCATAGTCAGGTGGAAAAGGATTCTTTCACACACCATGGACCAACTTCAGCTTTCATGCATTTACCAGATTCCTTGGTTCGTGATCGTAGAGACTCCGAGGGACCGAGTGGATCCTGGAACCCTAGCTTGTGGCCGCAATCGCCAGGCGGTTCAGCCATCGATTGGGTATCCCTACCATGGGATCGACATCTTCCCAAGGGGATCATTCAAACGCCTTTTGTGCATGAAGAACTGCTTTCTATCTTTTTCAGGTGCGTAGTCTCGTAAGGGTCGTGTAGACAGGAAACAGCTGACACTCAGCTACCTCAACGACTGGTGTTGGTGGACAGATGAATCGGCCTTCCTATCCGGACTATATGCTAGTATCACAAATTCTTCACCTAAAAATATGCACTACTCTCCACTCCTTCACAATGTCATTCTCGCCCTAGCTTGCCAACTCTCCCCTCAGACTGTATCCCCCAGCACTGATCCGACCATAGCTTGCAATGTCGCCGAGGCTCTAGGTGAACGGGCAAGGGGGTATATCGAGGAAGAAGCCGACACTCCCCAACTCTCGACTGTGAAAGGAATGATGTTACTTGGATCGTATCACTGGTCCAGAGGAAAGCACTCTCTAGGGTGGTTCTACGAAGGTATGGGAGTTCGGATCGCTCAGAGGTGTAAGCGGCTTTCTTTCGTATGTAAAAGAGATCTGGCTTACCTTCAGTGGGATTGAACGCCGATTGCAGTGCTCTGGTCGCCCGAGGTCTTATCACAGCAGAGGCCAAGACTCATCGAGATCGAGCCTTCTTCACGGTCTATTGTCAAGACCAGTGAGTCCGCTCATGTCAACTCACTCCATCGAATGTTTTGGTTTGTATTGACACCCCAGGCTTTGGTCTCTCGCTGTCGGAAGAACAGCTGGTCTGACGACGGAAGACTTTGTCACTCCTCTTCCAGAGATCGACGCCGACATCGATGCTCAACCGTGGATAGACCATTACGCTCGACTGGAACGTCGTAAAGGTATCCATATCCAGGGACCTCCCAGTTGGACGAGCACAGTATTCAACTATACCTGTCGGCTCGCGCTTCTGTCCGACCGTATGCACTCGATTTTGTATCGTATCCGCCCATCTTTGGATCCTGTCACGCAACAAAATCTCGTCTCTGAACTTCAGTCAGTTCCCTACTCTCCTGTGTCATGAAGTCGCTGACGCATAGTCTGGACCTACACGCATGGCTAATGGAACTCCCCTCTCCCCTTCGACTCGAATCATCCCCCAACCCACCCCCTCATATCATCAACCTTCATGCAACTTGTCGGTATTTGCAGATACTCTTACATCGTCCAACGTACACACAGCCTTTCTCCGAAGGTGACCCGGATCGAGACTTGGCAATACAGACATGTAATCTGGCAGCGTCAGTAACTGTATTTGAAGGAGCGATGGAGCTGACGGTGAAGAGCTGAAATTCTGCGCCTACTGCAAATGTACAGCCGATCCCCCGGTCTTCGCTATTGCAGCACAACCATCTGCAACGTGACCTTTACCGCTGGAACCATCTTCCTACTCGCTGCTGTCAAAACGACAGAAGGGTGTAAAGCCAATTCGCAAGCCCTGTCCGACGCCGCCAGTTGTATCATGTACCTCCGCGAGATGTCCTGGCCCGCTGCACATCTCGGTGGGGATATCCTCGCACATATGAAGGAAGATTGGTGTCCATCTGCTCCTTTACCAGCTTTGTCACAACCATCTCGACGCGAAACACCCTCCATATCGGACAAAAGTAGCTTGGGATTGCTGGGTAACATAGAGGACTTGAAGGATAAAAATTCCGAGATTGCTAGGTTCTTGACGAGTATGGGCTGGCAACCCCCTCAAGAGGATGTACAAATAAGTGGGATTGTCTCCGGGGATGACGGAAGGGGAAATGGGTTCCAGAGTGTTGAGAGAGATATGCAAGTGAGCATGGCGGATATGGGTCAGAGGAGTCCTATACCGGGATTGGAGTTGAGTGGAATGATGGGGTTGATGCCGGGTAATCTTGGTCAGCTTTGGTCATCACAGGAAGAAGCATGGCTTCCAGCTTTCCCGGGAGAGGACTGGTTCCAGTGAGTTCTACACAAAATCTTCCATACAAAGACAACGCTGATGTGCCAGATTTACAGGAAGATAGAGAAGGGATTGTGCGGGATTCGAATACAATTTTGATGGTAGTACCTGTATAGCTTTTGATGGGAAGGTCCGTGTGTGTATCATCAGATGATGTAGAGTACCAGTGTTTAGATGATGCGATGCAAACTTTCACGATGCTCTTCGCAATAACACCAACAGTTCCAGACCCAATATCATTCATGACCATCTACAAACTTGACCAGGGGATATACAACCGATTCCAAATAGTATCAACTCTTCTACTCCCTACTGGCACACATCCTCAATCTTCAAATCAAGAACCAACATCTGTCCCGGCTCGTGACTCATGTACACACCTGGGAGTTCACTATCCATGACTGCTTGTTGAGGACTGACACCACATCCCCAATAAACGCACACCTCTCCCTCCTTCAAGACAGTGGGATCGCCCCAGGTAGGTTTCTGCCCATTGACGTCCTCAATTCCCAATTCCTTTGCGCCTTCCGGACCCCAGCCGACAGGTTCACCATGAGTACGAGCATAAGGTTTGGTGATTCGTACGATCTCTGGTACTTTCTCGAGTGGGTAAGGACGCATGGATACGACCATCTTTCCCTTGATAGCTGACTCATCAGCTTCTTCTTGCGTCTCAAGGTAGAACGAGAGAGACTCACGTCCTGATCGCATGAGCGGAACCGAAGTTCTATAACACGGAGTCATATTGTTGAGCTCTTGGTGACGCAATCCGAATCCACCTTTGATTAAAGCGTCCTCGAAAGAGTATGAACAACCGATGAAGAAAGCGACGCTATCCGGCTGCCATTCGTCGATGATGTCCGTTTTATTGGCAATACGCTTCCCATCTTCGTAGATGTTGTAACGAGCGCAATCGGTACGGATATCAGAACCTTTTGCGAGATGTGAAGGAACGGTTGGATCACCAGGAGCTGTTTCTCCCAAAAGAGGGCAGGGGACGGGATTACGTTGACAGAATGTACGGAAATCGTCGGCGTATTTCAGAGGAAGGACGACGATGTTAGCTTGAGCGTAACCTGGTGCGTAGCCGGAGGTCTGAGGAGTGGGAAGTTTGTTCTCTCTGCAAAGCTGGCGAACCTGAGCGGGGGTGAGAGAGGGATCAGGTTGGTCGTGAATGAATGGCATCTCGTATAGTCGGCCGTCACTGGATCACCGAGAGATTCTAAAAGTAACAAGTTAGTGGGTAGTGGGGGGACGATGAGGGTGAGTCAGTGTTACGGATTGAAGCAGTTGAAATGTCCAGACTCTACATCTTCGGAATACATATGCTGACGATAAGGCTGACTGACGCACGACCATGGCCAACAATAGATCAATGATCAAAAGAAAAAACGGATAGGGCTAGGACCAAACTTCCACGGAAATACTCCCCAGATAACGCCATGACGCACGCCATTCCTTCCTTCCCTAGGGTCTGTCCGGGACCCGGAAGTCATGAAATGTCTACCACAAAGTATGAACCCGTGCAGCCCCATCTTGATCTTCACGTCGAGCTCGAAAGGATCTAGTGGCAAAGACGTGGTCTTTGTTTTTTTATGTGCAGTGGTCAAGTCTTCATCTTGCGACAAGGATAGTAGTTCTTCCCCACCGTTGACCCTTTATTCCCTCACCAAGTCTCAACGCTTGAGGTAGCTTCAACATGTCTGACCTAGTCCGAATTGCTATAGGTGAGTCCTTGCTCCTTGTATTACCTTCCCAGAGCTGACGGTGTCAGATGTAAGTCGTCAAGTTGACCAAGGATGCAACTCATATCGCAGCGTGGCGGGACTTTCACCGATGTTCATTGCTCTCGGAAAGGTCATGAAGACATTGTAATCAAAGTGAGTTCTGAGTATTCCCCATTCCAAACGAAACCTAGTAAAATCACTTGACTGATGTACAGCTTCTATCCGTTGACCCGGCAAACTACGCCGATGCTCCTACAGAGGGTATACGAAGATGTCTCGAGATGACTTCTGGAAAGAAACTTCCGAAAGGCGAAAAGATTTCCCTCGAAGGTGTAGAATCTATACGTATGGGAACCACCGTGGCTACCAACGCTTTGCTCGAACGTCAAGGTGAACGATGTGCTTTGCTCACTACCAAAGGTTTCCGAGATCTTCTGAAAATTGGCAAACAAGGTGAGATCATCACCCTCTCCCCGTGGTGTTTCCCCTACATTATCGGCTAATCAACGGGGATCACAAGAGAGCTCGAGGATAGGCTGACAGTCTAGCTCGCCCAGACATCTTCGACTTGACAGTCACCAAGCTTACTTACCTCTTCGACACAACGGTGGAGATTGACGAAAGGGTCACCATCGAGACTTTCCTCATGGACCCGGATCCTCAACCTATCGATGTGGAAGCCGACCCACAATTGGTCAAAGGAACCACAGGCGAGATCCTACGTGTGTATAAGAAACCCAGTATGGTCGAAGTCGGTGCTCAACTCGATGAGCTATGGTACCAGGGTTATCGTAGTGTAGCCATTGCGTTACTTCACTCTTGGACTTTCCCCGATCATGAGGCTGAGATTGCCGCTTTGGCGAGGAGGAAGGGTTTCAGCGTTTCCGTTTCTCATGAATTACAACCTACCGTGAGATACCTCTCTCCTCCTTCACACCTCCTCCTTGCTTTCGAGCTTTCCTTTCTGTTCTTTCGTAGATCAAGCCACTGACATTTCCTCCATCTCGCGGTCATATCAGGCGCTAGAGAAGCGCTGCTGAAGGACAATCGCTCATGTGACCAGATCAAAATACTTTCTCGTGCCAATTCCGCTGTCGCCGATGCCTACCTCACCCCCGTCACCCGCAGATATATCGAATCCTTCGCTTCAGGTTTCCAAGGCGGTCTCGAAGGTCTAGGCGAGAAACTTCTGTTCATGCAATCTGATGGAGGTCTCTGTCAATGGGATCGTTTCTCCGGTCTCCGTGCTGTTCTTTCTGGTCCTGCTGGAGGAGTGGTCGGCTACTCGAAAATCTGCTATGATCCGAAAGATGGTACACCTTTGGTTGCCGTTGATATGGGGGGCACTTCGTAAGTTGTATACTTTGACACAGAAGAGTGTAATGAGCTGATAAACAGTACCGATGTTTCACGATACGCAGGATCTCTAGAACATGTCACTGAAACAACAACCGCTCAAGTCATCTTGACTGCCATTTCTTGCGATATCAACACTGTAGCCGCTGGTGGTGGTTCCCGACTTTTCTGGGCAAACGGAATGTTTGTCGTGGGTCCTCAATCCGCTGGTGCTCATCCAGGTCCAGTATCATATGGAAAAGGTGGTTATCTGGCAGTGACAGATGCCAATTTGATGCTTGGAAGACTTCTCCCTGAACAATTTCCAAAGATCTTCGGACCAAATGAAGATCAACCTCTCGATGTCGAAGCTACCAAAGCTGCTTTCAGTCAACTTGCCAGATCTATCAATGCGGAGAAAGAAGGTCATGAATTGTCAGAAGAGGAAATCGCTTCTGGTTTCTTGGAAGTTGCCAATGAAGCCATGTGTCGTCCCATCCGAACGTGAGTGATGTTTTCCCGTTTCACAGGTAGAAATATGTGTTGATGAGACAAAAGTCTGACAGAAGCTCGTGGATTCGATACTGCCAATCATAATCTGGTCATTTTCGGTGGTGCAGGTGGACAACACGGTTGTGCAATCGCTTCAGCACTCAACATTAGACGTATAATCGTACCCAAATTCTCATCGATCCTTTCCGCTTACGGAATGTCTTTGGCGGATATCGTAGAAGAGATACAAGAACCTTCGGCACTTACTACCCATCCTGATAATCTTGACGCTTTGTACGGTCGTGGTTTGGTACTTAAAAAACAAGCCATCGCTCGATTGGTCGCTCAAGGTTTCACGGAAAATCGTATCAAACTTGAAATCTTTTACAATTGTCGATACAAAGGTGCTTCCACTGCCCTCATGGTTCCAATGCCTACGGATGGAGATCTGGAGAAAGCTTTCATCGAACAACACAAGACGTTATTCGGATTCACTCTTGCGGATCGAATTGTTTTCGTAGACGACGTACGTGTTAGAGCTACGGGAATGACGGAATCTCGTGTTCCTCCAAGTTTATACGACGAACTTAATTCTGTCTCTCGAAAGGAGATCACTTCCAACGAAACGAAACCGGTTTATTACGGAGGTCACGGTTGGTTATCTACCAGTATCGTTGCTCTTAAATCCATGTCATCAGGTCAAACCATCACTGGACCTGCATTACTATACGATGAGACTCAGACAATATTGGTTGAACCTTCTTTCCAAGCTATTGCTCTTACCGACCATGTAGTCATCGATTCTGTCGGATTGAAAAAGGCAGAGGGTATTTCTCTTGATCATTGGGATCCTGTACAATTATCTGTTTTCGGTCATCGATTCATGTCTATCGCCGAACAAATGGGTTCGATCTTACGACAAACTTCTATTTCCATCAACATCAAAGAACGTCTCGATTTCTCTTGCGCTTTGTTTGATCCAGTTGGGAATCTCGTCGCCAACGCTCCAGATATGCCTGCTCATCTAGGGGCCATGTCTTCAGCTGTTAAATATCAAGCGGCATTATGGAAGGGTAAAGTGGTAGATGGAGACGTTTTCGTTTCTAATCATCCTGCCGCTGGTGGATCTCATTTACCAGATATCACAGTCATAACACCCGCTTTTCATAATGGAGAAATTGTTTTCTGGTCAGCTTCGAGAGCTCATCATGCGGATATTGGTGGAATTCGAGCTGGTTCTATGCCTCCTTTCTCCACTGAAATCTGGCAAGAAGGAGCTTCTGTTAAATCATTCAAACTCATCAAACAAGGAGTTTTTGATGAAGAAGGTATAACCAAAATCCTTTATCACGATCCTGCTCAATATCCTGGCTGTTCAGGTACTCGAACTCTGAGTGATAACATCTCCGATCTCAAAGCTCAAGTATCAGCAAATTACAGAGGTATCACTCTTATCAAAGCTTTGTGTGATCAATATGGTATTCCAGTTGTACAACATTACATGCTAGGTATTCAAACTGCGGCGGAAACAGCAGTGAGGAATTTGTTAAGGAGAGTTGGAGAGAAGTTCGGTTATGAACCTCTTGAAGCTGAAGATTATCTCGATGATGGTTCTACGATAAGATTGAAAATCACAATTGATAGAGAATCCGGTGATGCGACTTTCGATTTCACAGGAACGACAAAACAAGTTTATGGAAATTATAACGCTCCTACTGCTATCTTATATTCCGCCATTCTTTACACTTTGAGATGTTTGATCAATGTCGATATGCCTCTCAATCACGGTTGTTTAATCCCTCTCAAGATCATCGTTCCTGAAGGTTGTCTCTTAGCTCCTTCTGAGGATGCCGCGACCGTGGCTGGGAATGTTGAAACTTCTCAACGGTGAGTCAAGATTGCCATGGTCATTCTCCTTCTCTATCATATTTAAACGTAAAAGAGAGTCACGACTGACTCTCAGAATGACAGACACCATCTTTAAAGCTTTCCGAGCATGTGCAGCATCCCAAGGTACTTGTAACAATTTTACTTTCGGTTACGGTGAAACTCTTCCTGACGGCACTTTCCGCGGTTTCGGTTTTTACGAAACAATCGCTGGTGGTTCTGGTGGAGGAGCAACATGGGAAGGTCAATCTGCCACTCATGTTCATATGTCTAACACTTCCATAGGGGACGTGGAACTTTGTGAACGTTTGTATCCCATGATGATCTCCGAATATTCTATTAGAAAAGGAAGTGGTGGTAAAGGTCGTAAACCCGGTGGAGATGGTTGTGTCCGATCGTATCAATTCACGAAGAAAGTCGATGTAGCTATTTTGAGTGACAGAAGGACTATTGCTCCTTATGGTATGTTGGGTGGTGAACCTGGTAAGAGGGGTGAGAACCTTTGGGTTAGATGTAGGGAGGATAAAACGGCTATCATCAATTTGGGTGGGAAAAATCAGATGACTGTTTTACCTGGGGATACGGTTATCATCAGTGAGTCAATCTACATTCTTCGAGAACGTCTTCTCCTCACCCTTTTGTGAATACGGATGAGATATGACGCTGACATTTAGACACGCCTGGTGGAGGTGGGTTCGGCGTCCCAGGGTCAGAAGACGATGGAACAGCTCTACACTACATCACAGAGAAGAACTCTAAACCTCAGCGTCATGGACAAGGTACCGTTTCTCAGTTCCGCGAGACGCAAATGACCGTCTGAGCGAGAAGATGAAAGGTGAGGGTGGACCACGTATAGACAGTGTATAGACCTGATGTATCTTTGCTCGGATACTACAGAAACATCGACCAGATAACGAGTTGCATCCTTAGTCATCAGGCGTCAATTATGATACTAAATCACATTTTGCTAAACATCCTAGTGGGCGGGAGCAGGACAGGAACAGATTGTGGAAGCGACCCAATGTTACGATTGGTCGCCAGGAGAAATTCTATTGTATTATGTGTCTTTTGCCAATTGCCAATTCATTGCGAGAAAATGTCGGAAGGGTCGGATGTATTGAGACTGAGCCCGCTTATCTCGCATGATTGGTAGGATTCGCTACCTTCGCCTCGTCAGCTGCATATCTTTGACAAGGAAGAAACTTGAACTTGCATGGAGTGGATCTTCCCTTTCGTCGAGGGGAGTGTCAAGACTGCCATCCCCACCAGCATACGTCGGGTATCCCTCCTCGTACGGAGCAGCATACTGTTGGGCCTGCGAAGGATCGAAATAGTATCCCTGAGTTTGACCTCCACCAGGTTGCAGACTTTCATACCCTTGTCCAGTCGGATACCCTTCAGCGGGATACACATGTCCTGCGTTCTGTGCGTAAGGATCATAACCACCCGCTTGACCGTATGTCGCCCCATAGTTGTTGTACTGAGCCATCGGTTGATTAGCTGCCGAAGGATAGGACTCGGATGTGCCAGCTCCGCCTGCGGATGAACTGCGGAAATCCTCATCCAACGGGGATCGTTGAGAGTGGGATTGACTGGCAGCGACAGCGGCGGCAGTGACCTCGCGATCGAGTCTTTGACGTCTACGACGACGGAAGCATAAGAAACCAAGAGCGATAATGATTCCCACAACGACTAGACCGACGACCACAAAGACACCGGCGACGGCACCGTGATTGTTAAAGAAGGCATTACTCGATCCGGACCCAGAGCTGCCTTGGTCAAGTGCGCCAGAAGGATTGTGGATAATCTGAGTGACCGTGATTTGCTGTCCATCTGACGTGATTATGTATGACGAGGTGAGCTCTGCAGGTGTGGTCGTGAAAGTAGAGCCTGAATTGTCGGTCGTCAATACACCAATAGGGGAAGTCAAAGTCTTGTCCAGGGGAAGAGTGGAGGAACCGGAGGTGACGAAGACGGTTGAGGTTCTGAGGAGTTTAGCAGAGGCGTTTGATGAGAGGAAGCCAGCTTACGTAGTGCTGGTGCCAGGATCGCTGAAGGAACCGCTTGAAGAGGGAGTTGAAGGTGTCGAAGGGCTTGCAGTAGAACTGGTGCTCGAAGGTGGGACGGTGACTATAGTGGTGCTTGTACTAGTAGGAGCTGATGTTGGGGACACGCTGAACAGTCAGCGAATGTTCAAGGTCAAGCCAACGATGATGGTGGTGCACAGACGCCTTTGTATGATTAAAAAATCATCAGCGTTCGTGCGGATACCACATGCGAGTGGGCAAGATTTGAATGTATGGAGTACAGTATGAAGCGGTCAGGTTACCACGCTGATGTGACTGTCAACACGAGGCAAGAAGTGGTGTGATGCAAGTCGCAGAGGGATCGGACTCACGACGAAAGCGTCTGACTGCTGCTCGGGGGAGGGCTAGACGTCGGGGCAGCGCTAGAAGGCGGTGACGAGCTACTGGGAGGTGGAGTGGTCGAAGAAGAAGACGGGGGAGGCGAGGAAGACGGCGGTGGGGCTGAAGAAGGTGACGCAGAGGATGAGGGAGGAGATGAAGGTGAAGGTGATGTAGGTGATGCGGAGGAAGTGGGCGGGGTAGACGAGAGAGCGGGAATCGAGGTCGAAGGTGCTATGTGTTAGATCTGGGCGTATTGACAATGACGAATAGACACAAGGGGAAAGCTAGAGAGGTAAAAGTACTTGGAGGTCAATGGAAACATACACACCGGAAGTAGGGGCGGCTGGGGATGTCGGAGCTGGAGAAGACGCTGGGGCAGTGTCAGAGCTGGGGGTCACCGCGGGTTCAGAGCTTGACACATCTTGCCGTCTTGCGAGTTGAAAGGGAGAGGCCTGTCGAGGTGGAGGTTGAGGGACTGTAGCCATGTTTGAGTGGTATTATTGGATTCAAGTGTGGATGGAGAAAGAAGAAAACGGTGACGAGGAAGTGAAGGTAATAGCGAGATCCAAAGGATGGATGGCCAGTCGGAGTTTGAGCTCTTTTGTGCTATTAATGTGTGAGAACTTGGGGGGGTATGACGACGAGCAGTGGTGGATAGGGGGCTGTATGGTTTCCTGTACGGTGAGGTGTACTGTGTTGGTCATGTATGAGTACTCGTAGAGTAGTACTTGTAGAGAGATGGCTATGTCATGTTCCCTGTTGCACTAGCGCCATGACGCAGTCCGGAAGTGTACAGTACAAGTAAAGAATTTCAACCCTGACCTCCACATCGGGATGAATTACGTAAGATGCCCTCTCACCTTCTCTCTCTCTCCAGGCGCGCAGCTCTGCGGATCTGCGGTTCGTACGCCTATTTCCCCACTCACCCCACCCCCAACACTACTGGCCTCTTGTTCTCACTTCTCAACATCATGTCCTGTTATGCCATCGTTCGACCCCTGCACCGTTCCCTTCTCATCACTACTCCTCCACTCGCCGCTCGTCCCCACAAACTCGCTAGCTTTCACTCCTCGATCCCCCACCATGGTCCTCCCTCAGTCAAGCATCAGTTACTACGGATGGCAGAGCTTCAACAAAAGGTGTCCGCTGTCAACTCCAAGAGCCAGAAAGAACACATCATTTCCACTTTCCCGGACCTTCGAGAACTTCTCGAGCAGTGAGTCTTCTTGAATGGCTTAGCGTCATCGCTGAGGTTGCCAGAATGTATCACCCTAAACATCGTACCCATCTCGCCTCAGGCTCCATGCGCAAGTACATCTCCGCATATCCCCTTCCATGCTCGCACAAAGCTCTCCCACGAAGCCTCAACCAGCTCTTCGATCTGCTGGCCTCTCGTCAAGTGACCGGTAATAAGGCCAAGGATATCGTATGGGCTTTTCTACAAGAAAACAGTGTCGGCACGAACGGTCATCTCTACGAGACGTTTGAGAGATTATTGGACAGAAATCTCGTCGCTGGATTTGGAGCCAACACTCTCAAGAACATCGACTGGGGAGATCAACTACCTCAAATGAGGCCAATTCGATCCACTGCCACCACTCCATCGCCCTTGCAAACAGACATACCACCAGTCGCATCTCCCGCCCCCAGCAGCACCCCGACGTCCCGACCGCCGAAGAAAAGTCACTCTCTCGAAAAGTTCACGTGTGCTCTTGGGAAGAGCATCGAACCACCTTTCAAAGAGCTAGCGAAGTTCCCCCGGTGGTATGCTTCCCGCAAGCTCGACGGAGTACGCGTCATCACCTTCGTTGACTTTCTTCTTCCTCCCTCCGGCAAACCTCAAGTCATATCCACCCAATTCCTCTCTCGAAACGGAAACCCATTCAACGCCCTGTCAAAGTTAGCAGCCGAGTTGGAACATTTGATATCCTTCCCACAACTCACAGATTGGCTCTCCCATGATCCGGTAGTGATCGAAGACAGAGGAGAGGAGGGCGTTGTCAAACGTCTGGTCCTAGATGGTGAGGTATGTATACTGCGGCCTAGAGCAGAAGGTGTCAAGGGGGAGGGTGAAGTTGACTACGTGGAGGATTTTCAATCTGTGGTGGGGGAGGTCAGACGGTTGGGGCATGATATCGAGAACCCTGCTTATTTTCTCTTTGACGTCATACCGTTTGCAGAGTTCGAAGCGGGGACAGCGCTGCCGGCTCCGTTGGGAAAGACTTTTGGGGAGAGAGTTGAGGACATCATCGCGGTTGTATCATACTTGAAGGAAAGGACGGGTGGAGGGGTAGTGAGGGAACTGGAGCAGTGGGAGGTGAATGGGAAGGAAGATGTTGAAGATAAGGTGGGAAGGGCGGCCGAGAGAGGGTGGGAAGGGTTGATCATAAGGGCTGACAAACCTTACAACGGGAAAAGATCGTGAGTCCTGTATCAATGTCACTTTCTCCTCTCTCTAGGTACGATACTGCCTCGGGGCTTTGGTATGGAATTCTTCTGCGTAATCTTCATCCACCGAGCTGACACGTAGCTCGGACTTGCGTAAATTCAAAAGGTGGCAAGATGCCGAGTATGTCGTCAAATCTATTGATACTGGCAAGATGCGATTGGCAGTGGACGGAGTGTTCGGTGAACATCTGGCATGCGCCAACGTATGGATAGAACACAAGGGTACACCGGTCAGCGTTGGTAGCGGGTTCAGCGCTGAACAGAGGTTGGCATATGCCAAAGACCCCGAGTTGATCGTGAGTCTTTTCATCTATAGTCTGCTCTGGCTCTTGCACCATTCCTCTTCTCGTTTTAGCGAAAAGTGGTGACATCGTCTGAAGGGGTTTCAAAGCGGCGGAGAGGCAACCGAAGTTGATTACAGGTCGGCAAGGAAATCACCGTCGAGTATTTTTCAGAGAGCGAAGCAACCGATCGGCCTGGCAAGATGAGCTTACGATTCCCAAGGGTGAAAGCGGTGTATGACGGCAAGCGAGATATTTGAATGCGTCTCGAAAACTCGGTGTGTAAACCTTCGAAATTTGGACACCTTTGTGTGTGGTCGGAGCGAAAACAAAACACCTCGCTTCGATGCGACAGGTGTGTGATCTTCCTTTTACTTCTCAAAATCCACAGAGCCTGCTGGCTTTCAAGTATATCTCCGACCCTCCAGCGTCTGATTATTTGAGGGAAAGGCTACGTCTCTGCATCTCCCACATCAATCTCAGGAATACACTTTCTCCACTACCCTCACTTATACTGACTAGTAGAATACTTAGGTTAATCGTACACCATGGCGACAACTTACGGTACATGCTCTTTCTGCGGTCAAAGCCTGAACGAACTTCCATATGGCTTGAAGCAGAACTCCAACAATATAGACATCTCGGTTCACACCTTATGCGCAAAACCACTCCTCTCTGCTTATCCCGTATACGACGACGAACAAGCCCCTCAAACTGTGGAACTCGTGGGTTTACGTCCTTTATGACAGTCGAGGAGATTCATTGACTGCTAGATACCGTCTCGATGCGCAAAGGGAGGCACGGCTCATGCATCGACGTACAGCCCTAACACTTGCTCGGTGTTGATCTCTCGAACGGGTGAGAACCAGAGCGTCCCCGTCGTCCTTGCGTATTGCACCGAGGACGAGGCCAAGTCGGTCTATGAGCGGGGTGAATATTTATTCTACTCGCCGCCGATGGACAGAGAAACGGCGACGTTCAATTTGTGGGATTATCAGGGGTATCTGAGCGGACTACATAGTGCTAGGACAAAGCAAACGGCTGCACCAAGCTTGCCGAATTACTTTAAGGAGTGAGAGTAAAGTGCGTGATAGTGGCAGAGTAGAGTAGTAGTAGTAGTACAGTATATGCCACGTGGAAGCCGATGAGATAGGCCAGAGCGAGACCGGATATTGCCACAGCCGATCGGGTCGGACTTGTCAACCACTCCACTCACAGCTACTCGTACTCTCTCCCCCCCCCCTTTCACTATCTTCTTCTCCCTCACACCAATGTACACCCTTCCCTCCACATGATCATCCCCGTCAGACTCGGATTATACACTTCATCTGTACGTATAAATAGTATAACTACCCTGCGACATCTACTTGTCCCCCACCGCACATCCGGCATCACACCAACTCGCACCATGGCGACCGTCACTCAGACTCACATCCACCAGATGCCCATCTCTACTCAACCTCATTTCACCTACACACCCTTACCACTTCCTCCTCATGTAAAGGCAGAGGCCTTCAAAGATCTAGGAAGGGAGGTAAAGGGGTACGATCCCGCCATTGTCACCCCTGAACAGATGGATGAGATTATTGAAATGTTGTATCGGGTATGTCTCCATAGCGCCCCTTTGAAGGGTCTTTTTACAAGCACTGACGTCTAGTATTCCATATTGTTATTCAAAAATGTCAAACTCACCCCTAAACAACAATACGAAATGACACTTGTATGTCCATTCTTTACTCCCCGCGACACCTCACTTTCGAAGCTTGGTTCGGGCCTGTTGATAGATATATACGTCTTTCTCATGTCCGATGTGAACGGATATGCATGAGATATGTATTTGTGAACGCTGACATAGAAGGCCTTTGACCCCGCTGCTCAAAGCTACGGACATGGCAACAACAAGACTGGGAAAGAGAAAGCATCGATACTCCACCCGGACCTCAAAACTATCCCTCATCAACCTCAAGTCCAACTTATCGGGAACGGTAAAGTCCCGGGGATGTACGAAGGTTTAGACAGCGTGAGTCTTCGAACTGGATGAATATCGCTCAACTGACGCCATAGCCTCAATTGAAACACCCTCATCATAAGACATTTCATAAAACTCCTATCTCACAGGAAGATGAAGATGCCGGAGCTACGAGGTTTTATCGATGGTGAGTTTAGTCTCAGCTTTTGGCCGGTGAGGTGACTTACCCAAAGGCACATCGATGCTGCTCTGTACGCCCTTTCACCACCCAAGGTCACCACACTATACGCTGTATCGGTGCCTAAGGGTGCCCCTCAAATCTGCCGATATGACGATGGGACAGGAGACGAAGTGACCGTACCTCTGGGGGGAACAGCTTGTCAGTATAAATCCTCATATGGTACCGTATGCGACACTGACTCTCAGTCGTGAGCGGTAAAACCATGTTTGATATCCTTCCCGCAGAGCTCAAGTCGTTGGCCGTGAGAACCAAGGTCAAATATGTGAGTGGAATTTTGACATGAGCGAGGTAAGGTCTCATTAAGTAGGCACCTCATCCTTACGTCTGGATGTCAAAAGCCCACGCCTTACCAACTGGGTTGGGTATCGAGAATGAGGGTTTGGAGCTGAGTCTGGACGAGTTGCCAGAGTGGGAAGAGTCCAAAGTCAAGTTGTTCCCCATGGTATGTTGTCTTCACCGCTAGGAGTCGGAGCTGATGTAGTTCAGTGCTGGAGAAACCCAGTGACCGGTCATCTCCATGTCCAGGTTCATCCATGTGGCGCTCAAGCACTTCACATCGACCCTCTCCCGGCGGGTGCGGATAGAGATCACGCCTTGTACCCCGATGGAGGAGAGGTGAAGGATTTGAAAGAGGTTCGTGAGATTTTGTACCGTATCCAGCGACCAGGTATAGCTCCAGAGGTATGTCCTTGTCGTGTCCGTCTGTGCCGAATCTGATGTACAGCTGGTGTATGCGCAAGACTGGGACGAGGGAGATCTGGTCTTGTTTCATAATCGTGGCTTGCTCCACTCGGTCGTTGGAGCATTCAAGGAAGATCAGTTGAGGATGTTTCACCAGGTGAGTTGAGCCGAGTAAACTCAATCCACAGCGACTGACGATCAGTGTAATCTTGCCGCATCTGATGATCCTGTTGGGCCAACGGCAGAAGATGTGGAGATGTACGCATGAGAGAGTCGCACTGTAGTACTGTATACCTATATCGCCATATCATCATCAAATGCATCTAAAACTGCCATTATCGTCACCTCATGCTCCCTTCATTTGATGCAACTGAGACGGCTCTAGCCTCGACCCCATCTGATCATCTCTTGACTCCTAACTCGTTTGGTATCCATCATGATCGGCTGGAATGATTCCAGCAAAGGACAGCGACGTGATCCTACCGACCATCACTTGTGAACAAGGCGAGCATGTCGGCCACAGCGTTCAGAGGTCTTGGAGCCGTTTGGTGCAGACGACGTGACGCTAGAAGCGTGTATGGGTTGGGTGGTCAAAGTGAAGGAATCTTCTCATACACCTCGACCGGCCGGCTACCACTTGCCTCGATGTCTGGCTTTCGTCCCCATGCAGTGCTTGTTCCTGTAGGCGACCGGGCGACTCGAAGATATATATAAGTAGAGGTTCACTCTCTCTTTCGACTGTCTCGGTCCATGTCTGCGCCCTCGCCTCTGATCTTTCCTCTTCTTCGTATCCCTCTTCGTTCCAGGTTGACAACTAGGTTTCGAATTCGTCGGATTCCATCTTCTCTGATATCTCCGTGACCATCGTGTCAAGGTAAACACGACATTCCACTTTCTTCTTTCCCCGCAACGAGTCAATTTCCAACGGGTACCAGATCTCTTCAAAATCTTGTATCCTTCCCCATCGACGACGATCAACTCTGCATTTTCCCCTCAAGCATCATCCACAATTCCTTATTAGGTAAAGTCGAGTTGTTCTTTGCTCGCAATCGCCAATCACCTTCCTATCAATCCCCTCTCGATAGACCACTACCCCCAACTCCCACGATGACCGATTCTGGTTCTGACACCGAATCAGAAGGAAGCAACCGAACCATCCGACATACCTCTACAAATAACCCTTCTCCTCACATCCCACCCAAAGCTTCTTACTGGTCTTGCGAAACATGTTGGACCAAAAGACCTGATTCACAAGATACATTCTGCTATTATTGTCAACGTGACACAACCACCATAAGACGATGGGAGAAAGGAAAGAAACCAGCAGAATGGTCACCCGTGATGGAAGATTGGATCGAAGGTGAAGACGTTTATACAGATTGGGAATGTTGCGATTGCGCCGAACAAAAATTATTCCTTGGAGGTGATACTTTAGACGTTTTAATGTTTGACGGTTGGTGTGCGAATTGTAATCGATGTACCGATACAAGATATAAAGATCGTCGTGAAGCTTTTTGTTGTCAACAATGTCGTTTGGAAAGAGAACCGACAACTACGAAATTGGATAATGACGGGAGACCTGTTGGATCTTTTTTCGAAGCTTATTGCGATTTTTGTGATAGTATCACACCGACGGGGAAAATCGATATTACCAATATGGTTTATTATTGTTGTTTGGTTTGTAGGGATCATAGGGATGGTGATGATTTACCGGATGATGAGGATGATTTTACTTATTGTAGATGGTGTGATGAAGATACACAGACGATTGAGATTGACGAGGAGCCGGAAGAGGATGAACCGGAGGAGGGTCAAAGGGGGTAGCGGGGTAGGGAGTAGGGAGTAGGGGACAGATAGACTACGTGGACCGGAAGGGAAGGACCAGGGACGAACTGCGATATGAGAGAATAGTGGGAAGATGGGACAGGAATAGGGAATGACGAGTCGGTTGAAGTGGGAAAAAATAGGTAGGATGAAGGATTGATGGATATGGTCATCTTCGATGGACGGAACGAGATCTTCAAATGAACGATGGTTTGGATAAGCAAAAGGTTGATAGAGACGTAAAGTGGAGAAGGATGTGGAGAAACATTGATGGATCGATAGTCAATAGTTCGAGTTTTGATCATAGGTCTGTCAAAATCCTCGAGACATTGTTCTTCCTGACCGTGTCATTGATGCTCTGGGTTCACCGACTGACACCCCGAGATCGCACCACGGAATCGACAACGAAGTTCGCCGATCTCGGACTAACATCGCTGATCAACAAACCTGAACAAGTCAGCCGACGACTGTTTCACTTGAAACTTCTCGGTAATGAGACTCAGATTATCTTCATCCCTTCGAGGTATCCGTCACAGATCTAAGGGGTTGTGACGTGAGGGGGAAGGCAGGAGGGTGAAGCAGATTATCAGATATAAAAGTACGTACAGTACTGAAGACTTGAGAACGCCGACTGACCTTCACGTAATGACTATATAGGTAAATCGGGAGGTTTGACATCTCACACTGACGTGAGAACTCGTGCAAGTGTCGAAAAATACGCGATGAGAGACTCGACAGTTCCACCAGTCGAAGAAATAACGCATTGAACACTTCTGGTCAGCGAGAACAACTCGGATGGGACCTATGCACCTGATTATACGCTAGTCAATCGTATAAACGGATGATGGACCGGCCCGTTGACGACATTCGTAACGTATGATGGCGAGTATCTGAAAAGAGTTGAAAGCAGAACTCCTGGTCGAGCCAAAATGATGATGTCGAGAGCTTGCTTTTCTACCCTGATGAACTGTCGATAGAAGACTTGATATCAACGTTACCACACGCACAGGACTTTACGCTTAGCCTTACGAGTGAAGGAGAAAGCGTGGCGAGAAACTGACAGGGGAAATTCTCGGACAGGTACTTACCGCGGCCCAGTCACTTGGGTCGAGGGAAGAATGTCAACACGACTTCATATCCCAATATGGCAACTTTGAAGCTCGAGTATAATCTCATGGAATTCGGAAACCATCCAGAATATCCTTCCTTACACTGAGAGGATACTTTGTATAACAAGGTCATTAGATAGGTATGCAAGAGAGAAGGAAGAACAAACCACCATCCTGGATTGGGATTCTGATCAGGCACGATTCCAATGTTCACCCAAGACCGGCAAATGTGGAAATGTCGAGACACAGAGACTGACATTTACTCGATGGACAAAAGCAAGCGACCGCACCTCATCAATTCACATGACTGACTGACTACATTTGCATCCAAAATCATATCGTTACGCCAAACTCACTCAATCTTGCTCGATTCATTACGCTTGACCCCGGCTACACATTGATAATTCTTAGCAATTCCTTCACAAACCACTCAGAGCCTACCAGAAGCTTTAGCCGAGGTAGCTTCGACTTCCTCAGTTTCAACTTTCCTCTCCTCAAACCTGACACCCGCAGCCACCCTCTCTCTTTCTTTCCTGTTAGCAACGATGACCCCGAGCTTCTTCCTGGACCCCGGACCTATGAGCCAAGTTGGGTTCTCCTCGAATAACACATCGATGTCTTCCAAGGCGGCGTTGGCTGTCTCGGGAACTACACATGTCAGTCATTCCATTCGTTTCTAAATAGATAGATCGACTTACCAAGTAGATAGATCATCGGTATGAATACGAAGTTGGTCCCACACCATAAAATGTAAGTTCCAAATTTGATGTTGCTGATAAGAACGGGTGAGATCATGACGACGAAGAAGTCTGATTCACATCAGCATTCAAAGGTATAGATTGGACATGAGAGATACTCACTGCAAAGCCAGAAACAGCCAGTGGCTATTGAAACGGATTTTGCACGGGTTTGAAGTGGAGTCACTTCGACAGGAAGAAGGAAAGGGATACCGTCAAATCCGATGGCGAAGAAAGTGTTGAAGACAAAGAGCATAACGGTGGCTACGTATCCCGCACCTTTGCTATTCGGATAGGCGATAGTTCCCGCCAAAACAGCCATGGTGAGACATTGACCAATAGCAGCGAAAAGCATGAGAGGTCTACGTCCGACTCGATCGATCAAGGGGATGGGGATGAAAGTAGCGAGCCAATATTCTAGACCATTCTATACTGTCTCAGTCATGATATTTCTGTGGGATGAATCGACTCACGAATCCGGACACCAATAGCGAAGTGTCTCGATTCAAGCCGATGGTGTTTTGGAACAATACAGGACTATATATCTCATCAGTGATGTTGGCGAAACAAATGAGGAGCAAAGACATACGCATAATAGGTGATCAAGTTGATACCAGATATCTGAAGCATACACAATGCCATGATGGCAAGAAGCATACGTTGTAAGAATCTCTGATGACCTTGGGTGAAGATATCGTGCCATGAAGCATCTGTCTCGGCTTCTTCAGCCAACGCCGTTTCGATGAGCAACATAGTCCTGTTGGTGTATTCTTCACGCTCTATAGGATCGGCTTCGGTTGATAACATGTCTACGACATCACGAGCTTCGGCGATGCGACCTTTCTTGATCAAAGCACGCGGAGAATCAGGCAAGAACAAAGCGAGGATGACGGTCATTGCGGCGAAAACAATCTGGAGGGAAAGGGGAAATCTCCAAGACCAATCGTTGTTTGCGGTCGCAGAGGACTTGTTGACTCCATAGTCCACCCAATAAGCAATGCAGATACCGAGGATCTGCTCAAGTCAGGAAACCCTGGCATGGACGCAGGAGAAATAAGAACTCACATTTACGTTCAGTTGCCAGAGCACGAGCTTCCCCCTGTTGTGTTCTTGAGCACATTCACCATTCCAAGTAGGCAAGACGGCGACGGCCATGCCATTACCAACTCCGGTGATGATCCGTCCGACGATCAATTGAGCGAGAGTGTAAGAAGTGAATTGAACGATGGCGCCAATACTGAGGATGACTTGACCGACCATGACCGTTACACGTCTACCGAAGCGATCTCCGCCCATGATGACGGAGAGTGCCCCGATGGCACAACCGATTTCGTATACCGCGACCTTGTTGGTCAGCATGTCAACTTGGCGGTGATATAGGAGCTCACGGTGAAACCTTGCAGAGTAGCATTACCATTCGAGATAGATGGAAAGGTCCTCTCGAAAGGAGGACTGGTTAAGAAACCACCCATGACACCTTGATCATAACCGAAGAGTATATTTCTAGAGAAGCATATCAGCGCGTGAGGATTTGAGAGACGCCAAGACCTACCCAATTCCACATACCGCAGTGATGAGGTATTGGATATAGACACTCTTTCTGCCCCTACCCCTCAAACTGTCCGTGAGGACAGTATAAGGTGCTGAGAAGGGCTTCATGTTGACAGTCGCACTTGCGGTGAAAGTACTCGAAAATGACTGGATGGAATGGGATGGGAGGGGGGTTGTAAGGATGCAGTGACTTCTGTCCGATATAAATAGACTCTTTCAGTGACCATGACCATGAATGATCGAGGGAAGAATCGGTGGAGGTAGGTTGAAGACATAATACCGAGACGAGCATAGTTCCTTGAATCCTTGAATCCTTAGAAGGATGATTCCGATCCGGGTCGGGGTATCCATGGGTCCCCGGGTTCATTGGCGCATCTTTAGGAACGCCATAACCACACCGATACCGACCCTGAACATCCACCTTTGAGGGGGCCCCGCTCAACGGCCGTCAGCGGATCAACGGACTCATGGTCACAAGACAGAGTAGCGAGTAGAGTATACGAGTGTCCGCGTCTTGTACGAAGAAGACCCTCTGCATCGTGTTACCCAACTACAACTCCGGAGCTTGTACAACGCCTTCAAACCAAACCCGCGTCCACGGCCGCTTTGAAGCTCTTCACGATAGGGACCATTCCACCTTCATCCGCTACGAATCCGAGACTGAGCGGATAAGAGAGATCAAAGTGAGTAGGCCATGATCCTACAAGCCTCCTGTTGATGGGATCGTCCTGTAGATTAGCCATCAATCATCTTCAATTTCTGATGGTGATGTACTGACCTTAAATTTAACCAACTTCAACGCTTCTTCCCCTGCTACCTCCTTCAAAGCGTCCAATTCTTCTTTGATCGTTGTTGTAAAGCCAGGCAGGTAAACGGCCCTGGTATGTGACAAGAACTTCTCAGCGGGGATATGCTTGGCGATCACAAAGTTCTTGATGGTCGTTTCCGGACTAGCGACCCACGTTTGAAGTTCGAGCTCCGGACTGTTCACATCGCTTCCAATCGGACATACAGCTTCTTGTCCATGTAACGGCTCTCTGATGATACCAGAGATAAAGGCCGAGGTAGCAGCGCTTGGAACTCCAGGTCGGACAACGATTGTAGGAAGACGAAGACTACGACCGTCCACGAACCCACGTCTGGTATACTCGTTGACCAAGAGTTCGCTGATGAGTTTGCCTGTACCGTATGCACCCTCGGGGGTCGCCATGGTAGCTGGAGTGACGATAGGAGGAGTCGGACCACCATAAACCCCGAGGGCTGAAGAGAAGATGAATTTGATCAACTGATCATTGAGACGAGGAGCATGTCTCGCTGCGTCCAACATGAGTCGAATGGAATCGATGTTAATCTGTTCATATAAGCACTGACTTTTGACTCAAAGGAGTGAGAGTATTGTGACGTACCTTGAGACCGAGATCAAAATTGTCTTCCGATCCCCTGCTCATGATCCCATGGAAGCAATAAATGGTATCGGGTACTCCGTACTCGGTTTTGAAGAGGTCTTCAACCTGGGCTTTGTCACTGAGATCCGCTTCAAGACAAATACAGTGTTTAGCGTTCTTGGGTGCTTTGGGTAGTACGATGTCACATAAAATGAGATGGACGTTAGGCGTCTTGGGATCTGAAAGAAGTTCACCGGCCAGCTACTTTGTAAGTTTCATCTCGAAGCGATCTCCTTGACAAACTCACGATGTTACCTAACCACCCGGCCGAGCCCGTGATGAGGACGACACTTTTGGGAGTTTCACCGTTGGTAGAGACCATGTTTGGATAGATTGCAGCTGATTAGATGATTGACAACTAGAAGAGAGAAGCATTACTATTGCTGGCATCTTGACATTCTTGGAGGAGAGACTGTGCAGCGAGATGAGAACGCCAAGACTTTAGGAGGTAGGATAGGTCCGGATTCCAGTATCAGGCCGGATACTTCCGGGGGAGTGCGGACGAGGATACAGTATGTCATGCTCCAGTCCACTTCACTCGTACGGTCTTTACTTGTCTAGTAACTGAACAACCCGGAGTCCGGCCAGACCGGGACGTCTGATCTTTGGAAGAAAGAGACAATACGAGTAGAGTTGACAAGAAGGAAATCGTTGACATAAGACCGGCAGGCACCCCCGCTAGATGATGGATGTTCTTCCGGTTGAAAGACGGCCACGGGACTCTATCGTAACCCGTTACCTTTCCTTTTCTTTCCCCACATGAGGCGACTCGTACAACTTCATTGGCCATTGACCATTGTACTCTACTCATGTAAGCGAGGATGCGCACAAATGTCGTGTTCGTCTGTGCGTCTCCTCACACCTCAAGCAGGTCTCGTTAGATTAAGTAATACCTCTTCCATTGTTCCATCAACCCATTCAGACTCCTGACCCTAGGACGAGAAAACATCTCGCCAGGAGCGCCAGCCGAGGCATAACACCTTTCGAGCCATCTACAATTCCAGGTATCTACCAAGGATAGATCCGCTGGTCTGAGTCATGCACAGTCGTTTCAACAGCGAACGCGATGGCTCCCATGAACTGCTGCATCATGTAAACTCGTCTCGTCTCGTCACGTCTAGACCCTCCCTAAATACTTATCCACCAAATCGGCCGCCTCAAGCCCTACTCCTATGCTCGTCTGATATCTGACAATTAGCGCTGATCATGCAAATGTAAATGTGGGACTCGCCCAGCCGGTCCGATTCCATATGCATGGACCACTCCGACATCTTGTCCGATGACCTCTTTGACATGAGCCGGTAACATTCCCAACCGTCCTTCCATACCCTGACCGATCTTTCTTTCCTCGAGCTCCAACCTGATACCTCCATACCTCGCCGGTCGAAGACCAACATTGTGCGATACAATGTCGATATTCTGCCAACCATTACCGTCTCCCAAAGCTGTGCATATCTCATAAGCTGTTTTGAGAATGCGTTCACCCGTCGCTGGATCCGGCAAGGTGGAATATTCGTTCTCCAAATATGTTCCGCCGAGAATCAGATGACCATCAGGTCCAGGTCGAGGGATAATATATGCCGCTTGTCCCTTCGGTAAACCTCTTTTGATGCTGATGCAGGCTCTGACATCTGGGGCTCTGACGAGCACTGTTTGTCCTCTGACAGGATAGACAAGTGAATCTTCTACTCCGAGTAGTGTCCGGCTCCCGAGACCGGTGGCGTTTACGACTAGCTTGACGGGACCCAGGGAGGGGAGGCAGTAGGCTTCATCTAGAGATGAGACACGGACACGGATGATAGGTACTCCAACAGCTCGAAGGTTCTTGGCGAGATGACCGATGTATTCAGGTGGATTGAGTGTATAAGAGGTGAATGTGACGCCGGATTTCATACCAGGAGGAAGGTCTGAGAGCTTCAGAGGTCGGTACTACCAATCAGCAAAACTGTTATTCTCAGTAACTCGTACTAATGAGTCCACAGTTGACTGTTTTGAGAGCTTGAACATCACAGTAGTACGAGTACTGCGGAGAGGAGAGGTGAGGGGAGGGGAGGGGGGGGGGGGGGACGGAAAGAGGCGTACATCAAAGACGATGTCCTTGTACCACAAGTCGACAGGAGCATCCTCGATACTGTAATACAGATACTCTGTCCGAGTTATGAGATCCGGTATCTCTTTCGATAATTGAGCAAACGCATTGAAAGTGGTGATATCTCTTTGAGCCGTAGCGGCCGATGGTTCAAAAGGAGACCAATTGGCACCCTACGGATTCAGCATCTCATCCACGGATATAACAACGACAACGCACCGCCCAAGGACTGGCAAAAGCCGTCGAATGAACGTCCTCGGGAAGATCTCTTGCCACTATGGCGACTCTCACACCACGTTTAGTGAGCTCTGTGGCGATAGCCAGACCTTGAACTGGACGTCAGACTGTACTTTCTAATGAGGACAAGGGATGGATGTACTGTACTGTATCATAACTCACTACCAGCTCCGAGTACCACCACGTCGGCCTTACCCTGCGTTGTGAGACAGCTCATATCGGGACGATATCACTCGTTGTTGACCCCGTATGGACGGTTTGAAGAGGACCAGTGAAAGGTAGATAGAAGAAGCAGAAGTCGACCTGTTTGGATGATAGACATGCTTCTTTTCTTGATCAGCGTTATCTTCGGTCTTTGCCGGACTGATTGGCATCTGTCGATCACGCCCATCAACCATCTCCCCATCTGGCCATGGGGAGGTGTGTGGAGTGATATCATAGTATCATCAGGTCACAAGACAAGAGGTATCGGATTGTGACCTTTCGAAGTCAGAATAATTACATCAAAGTTCAGACCTGCGGGTACCTTGAAAGGTTGCAAGCTTACTCACTACTCACACGCAACTAACTTGCACACTGCCACAGAAAATATGGCTGCTTCCTTCCATCAACACGTGATACCCTTGCCAGCAATCGACCTTCCCCTTCTGATCAACTGGTCCGCATACGAGCCGGTCCCAGGTGTGAGAGGACAGAGGTAACGAGTGCATCTTATAGCATCGAGATAAAGGGGAGGATTCCCAATAAATCCTACCCGTCGATCATGTGACATACTCTGTACAATAATACTTTCTACTAATTGGTCGATGCAAAGATGCAGGATGATTAATGTGTACAGAAAAACCCACAACGGTCACAGGCTGATGTAATATGACAACAGGAATGCCTCACGATATTACACCATCACTTCTCTTCGACGTTTCTATTCGTTTCTGGCTCTGGCTCTGGCGTCCCGGTATCTCCTACTGGCGACCCTTCTTCATTCATCTCCACCCATCCCAGCACGCGCTGACCAGCGATTCGTACCTCTTCCTTTCCTCTCTCTACAGCCCGTTGCCCACGTTGCTTCATCCCCTCCACCATGCTGATTATCCTCTCCCATCGTGCCTCAATTTGTGGATCAACCATGTCATTGTCGAAAGAGTCATTTCCTTCCTCCTCGGCCATGATGGACATGATCGATGGATGCGATTCGGTGATATTAGGAGAGGAGGGAAGTGATGGAATCGGTATACCGCCAAGAGAATCTCGCAGCGCTCTTCGTAATTTGAGGATCTCTGCACGTTGACGGGCTTTTGTCGCTTCCAAAGATTTGTTAATGGCTAAAAGGCTGGCATTTGAGATTTCTAAATCGGCTATCTGAACTCATCAGCCCGTTACAGATGAGTCAGGGCGAGATACTTAACTCACCTTTCTGTTGATCTTTGCCTCATCCACTTCCGCATTCAGCACAACATTTACATCAGGATTCTCCAACTCATCCGAGATTGCGAATGAGGTATCATCACCAACAGAACTTTGTTGCGCCTCCACGACAGCAAACTTGTAGCCTGATTCGCTGCCACTTGCACTCCCAGCAGCGAGCGGCACAGATCTGTTCCAATCTGTCGGTGTTTGAAGGGGTGTAAGCACCGGCAGGTCCACCAAGCGGAGTTGAGGGCTGTGTGGTGGAAGTGGGAAATGTGGAGGGTGGTGAACAGCAGGATTGACTGGCATCTTGCGAAGTTTTATCCCGACACTCAGCTGCGGACTTGTATCAGCAAGTGGTGTGACAGGGCAAGATGCAGTAGGATGTTGTTTGAGATGGCCAGCTGCCATATTCATCAACGGTTCAGAGGATAGCGAGGTGAACGTCGTCCGGGGGGATGACTTTGCTGATCTTGAGGTTATGTCGGATAAGAGACTCTTCGTAGGTGAAGGCGATCGAGCGACTCGTCCATTCAGAGGAGGGGACAATAGAGGTGAGTTTGCTGCACCTGGAAGAGATCGCGACGAGGTGATGGGCACTGAGGGAGAGGGAGTTGATGGACCGGGACGTACCCGATCCCGGGTAGTATCTCCAGTCGCAGGTCTTGACCTTGAAGCATTGCGTGGAGGTTGAGTCGATATGTTTTCCGTGTTGGACTTGGAGGTGAAGGAAGTAGAGGCTTGATTACCCTTGCTCAAGGTGTTCGCTCGAACTCGAGTCACCGGGGGGATTGTTTCTTGTTTGAGAGGGGATGAACTGACATCTCGTTTGAAAGGTGAAGATCGTCCAGACAGAGAGGGAGACGCGGAGTTCGTTGTAGAAGTCACAACAGTCCGGGATCTGACGTGTGCGGAAGGTAAGGCAGGTACAGGAGGTGTTCTCTGGCCGGCGGACGATTGAACTACGGATGAACGCAGAGAGGAGGTCGATGGATGGTTGCGCAGGTTAGGTCGGGAAGGTTTGGTTGGATCCAGTCCCAAGGATGAAGGATCAATCTTAGCACGAGGTCTGGGCTGTGAGAGAGGGGTAAGAGGTTGACTGGAGGGTGAAGGAGAGGAGAGCGAGTGAATGACCTGACCGGTGACCTGGGACGGTGAGCTCTTTGTACCGTCTGGGAACACACCGGTACGGCCGGTACACTGGCTTGATCACTCACTCTAGGACGAGGTTTGAGGGGCTCTGTCATGACTCTAGGTGGCTGTGAGCGGAAGACATTGAGGCGACTTGCGAGGTCGGGAGGAGAGAGAAGATGTTCTAAGTTTGATGACGAGGGGGATCGGTCGGATGACATGAAAGCAGTCACGTGTCACAATGTGCGGCTATACTGTGGAATACCCATAGTCACTCGTATGTATGACTGTGCTACAAGTATGCGAGGAGAATGCCTACAGTCGATGCATGTCAATGTCTCTCAATGTGATGTAACGCGTTCGCCCCCCGCTGCTTCATCCTTCACCACTCCAGCTCGCAACCGATGGCGATGTGATCGCTTGCCGTGATGCCCTTGCGAGGAAGTCCTTCGCCCAGTTGTTCGCCCGTAGCAGGTTGCAGAAGTTGAGTCACTTCTACTTTCATTTCACCCGGTAGGACAAAGAGATAATCTATCCGTGAGCTTGCTTGCTTTGACAACACCCAAGTCGAGACATACCCAGGGTGAGCTTCCACAAAGGCGTGAAGCAAGTGTAGCTCGGTTCATGAGCTGCACATCTGTCCAACGCCTCTTGTTGCTCGCTTCGTTGACCAAAAGTCTCACCATCCCACGTCGATGCACCATATACGCTCCTGCAGCCAGAGCCGAGGAGCGTGCTGACCAGCTCTGCCAACTGTGAAGCTGTGAGGATCCCATCTTCAGGCTGTGGGGATCGAGTGTTTGGCAGCGAGCCTTGGCTAGAGTTTGATCCCTCACCTTCGTGTTCTTCCTTGACTTCTTGTCCGTTTGGCCGAGGTTCTGTATCGACCTGGTCGAGGACGGCTTGAGGAATAGGTTGAGGGAGGACGGGGTCAACGGATTTGTGAACAATACGACTTTCATTGATGCGTAGAGACATGGCTTTGGAGAGGGGTAGCGAGGGTTGCGTGAGTAGCTGATAGGTTGGTTCGGACGGCTGAGTGTTTAAATCTGAAGGTGAGTACAAGCCCAGAGCCGTGCATGCTCACGTACCACCGGACAGTATAGCAGGCCAGGACTTATTCCCATGTTCTTGCTGGAATTGACGGATGGCTCGTAGCAGTATGATACATTGACGTATGCGTTCATAAGTGAATCTGGCCGTCAGCATTAGTCATTTTGATCAGGTTGTCCCTGTAGCTTACTTGGGATGCCAGAATCTGTTTGTCAGCCAAAATAATTTTCAGCAAGTCCTCGGTAGAAGTAGCTCACAGATGAGTCGTGGCAACGTACACGCCTGTACCGTCATTCCGCTCCAAGGCCACCACCAAACCTATATTCTTCGTCAGTCTCGTACCTCCTCGCCTTTGACGGCCGCCGTCTTCACCCAGACTGGGCGGAGAGAGACTTAGTTCCCCTTCGTCCAGATGGATGACCTTTTGAGCCTTGACGCGGAATATAGACCGTCGGTAGAGGGTGACGAGACCATGCGATTTGCCATGACCAAAAGCTTGAACTGCTTCGTGATGGGGAAAAGAAATGATGAGATCGTTTAGACGGTCACACTCCTGGGTACAGATCAGCGTCATCACTACTCATGGTAGACATGTGTGCGATGATCATCACTCACCTGGAGGCAGATGATATCAGCCGACGCATAATACGCCAGCTCTGAGAGAAGCAACGACTTTCTCTCTGACCATTTCAAGCAGTCAGACCCCGGGAAGAGATCTCGCCCTGATCATGTCAGTCACACCAGCTCGGGTCATGTCACGCACTGACGAGAGTTTGGGCCAGGATCTGAGAGGATAAGCTGGGACAACGAAGGGGAAGGAATGACTCGCATTCCAGGTGACTATCTTGAGCTTGTGAGGAGAAGAAGTAGTGGTAGTAGTAGTAGTGTCGTGAGGGAGTGGGATCCAATCGCGACGAAGGAAAGATGGAAGTGCTTCCTTGTTGGCATGATGTTGAGTTGTGAGTGTCTCGCACGCTTGAACCCTTTGAGCATCCTTGTCAGACGGCGTGGCCTCCTTGGGCTCTGAAGGAGTACGAGTTGAGATGGGCATGATAGGATGGTAAAGTGATGATGATGATGATGATGATGATGATGATGTGAAAGCGACATGAAATGTAAAGGTTATTCATTCCTCTTCATCTCTTACAATTATTGTTACATACATACTAATATCACATAGCATAAGTGCTATACTTAAGACCACCCCTCTCTTCTCCTCCCTCGCACTAGCCCTGTCATGCCGATACTTTCATCTTATCTCGTGTCTCATGTGCATTGGACGATGACTCAAGCTCGCTGTCAGCCCAACGCCAAGTTACCTACCGTCGGTCTGGCCTCAGAGCAGTGAGCCCCCCTTCGTACCTTCGTAGCCTTTAGGGCCAGTGTCCTCCTCGATGACACCGCCAACGCTATCATTCCAGCTATGCAAATCTCGACCCACCCCTTCTCGTAATCTCATACCCGAGCATGAACCGAACAACTCCTAGTGGATCCGAATTCAAGCCGAGGAGAGGACACCCACATTTCCTCCACACGAGACTCCCATTCATGGACACCTCTCACATCCTGTCCTCGTAGCTTCCATCTCAGTCGTTCATACAGACAACTCAAATCCACCATGCAAGGCCGACCTTCCTTTACGAGACGGGCTCAGCCTAACGCCAACGTATCGTCTTCTTAACGAATTGCCACTTTTCTCTCGTAAATTTAATTGCTTACCCCATCCAGCGTCAAATATGCGACATTGATCACCTAAAGACATGATGAATTGTTCCCTCTTGTTGACGTTTGGTGTCTCAATCGATGTCGTCTATATGTTGTCGCAACCGAAGATTCGTCTCTCCTTGGACGATCCGTTATCAAGCTTTCAGTATATAGGCAGCACCAGCAATATTGCCCTCTCATCTGATCTTTCTTTCTTCATTTCTTTCTCCAGGCCCGGCCGTCTGTCTTTCATTTCTTCTTTCGACTTTGAACTTACTTCGATCATTCCATAAAGCCTTATAATAATCATTTCGGGCATCATTACATAGACCGCTTCAATATCCTAAAATGCGCTTTTTTTCGTTGGGAGCCATAGTCGCTATTTTGACCAGCTTGGCACGAGCAAACCTCACCCCGGCCCCTCATCAGAGAGGTCTTTCCTTGACGACCGACATCTGTGCCTCCATCTCCATCACAATACCCCTGTTCGCCGATATCAAACTTCTCGGGATTGAGATTTTGATGGCAAACATCGTCATCTTCGATCGGTGAGTGGGTGTTGGACGATCTTGGGGGTTCGTGGCTGATAACGTAGCACCTGTCTTTGTATTTCTGCCAGCACCATGACGCAGTCCACAAAATTGCTGCTAGACGAAAAGTTGTCCGTCTCTGTCGGAGCCAGTATACTCTTGACTGGATCGGGTATGAACGTACCGCAAGGTCACACCCTGCGACTCATGACTCATGCCGACTTGTACGAGCATGTGCGGTTATCGATACTTGACCAAGTGAGTTTTTTGAGACCGTTTTCGTCAGGAAAGATTACTCACACTGCAAGCTGCATTCTACTCCCTCTCAATGCCAATATCCACGAGGTGCTATCCCTGATCAGTGCGGCGGATGTGGACACAGTAAGTCAACCCCACCACCCCTCAAGGCTGAATCACACAGCCGGAGGCTTCTCAGCTGACATTTCAGGCTGCCCCGCAGGTCAGCAAGTGTGTAACAATCAGTGCACAGACAAGTCAGTCGCGTGCCAGTCGAATGTGCCAAGAAGGAGGGATCAGCTACCTCTCGGTGGAGGCAAATGGTGTCGAGGTCGCCAACAATTATGCCTTATACCCGGGTCTTCCGGTAATGATCGAGCCGACTTTGAATGCATAGACACGAAGACGGATTTGGAGTCTTGTGAGTCGCGTCTACCGCAGATTCACCGGTCGGTCAGTGATTTCATACGCTAACGTTGTCAGGCGGCGGGTGCCTGTACCCTTCAGGTTCTGAACAAAGGCCAGGAAAAGACTGCTCGAGTCTTCCTGGAGTTCGAGCCGTCGCTTGTATCTCTGGGCAATGTTTCGTCCACGGATGCCTGCGGGGTTGGACGACAGGACCAGACAGAGGCTCTTGCATCCCCAACAACGGTACCCTTCTGGTCAAGGTGACTTAGTGACAGACGATCCCGACGTGTCTCGAGGACAAGTGGGATTTATCTATAGGACAATTTCTCTCGGAGGACATGAGACTGTTTTGACTTTTTTTCTTCGCGCTTACGGAATTGATGCGGCGTAATTGGTGCCAAGCTTACCAATTTCGATTATTTCGACAGGGTAACAGCGGCAAGTGAAAGATGACCTGCAGGGCGTTCCCCCCAGATGCCACTGCCGAAATGCAAAGACGCAGGTGGCTTGTTCTTCCCGACAGCTTTTCCAATCCTCGCTCTACTACTCTAGCCGGCTCCGTCTTTTTTCCATCCCCAGTCGCCCCCGTTTTCACCCGCCCTCTCTTGTTTCACCTTGCAACATCTTTACTCGTACCGTCGAAAAGACTGGAACTCGCTGAGCCCCGTGAAAACCCCGTGGGCTGCCCCGCTTCTCCCCAGGAAATCCCCAGTCTGGGGCATCATCACAAGACGCAAAATCCTCGTCGACCTCTTCACTGCTGACACCCCGCTTATTTCTCAGACCGAACAGCATATCCGTACCTTCAAACGGGGTTCGGGCCGGGATAGACCGCGGAAAAGTCTTTATATGCTGACTGCTCCGACAGCAGACTGTTTTCTATCGCCTCTCCGCACTTCAACAAATTACGCAGCTCACATGATGAGCAGCGGCAGCATGACACCCCCCACACCAGCCGCCACCAAGGAGGACAGCTCATACAAGACTAAAGACATTCGACACATCGAGCGTACTGGTTTGGAGAAAGAACACTATGAACATGTGATGAGCCGTAATCTCAATGTCTCTGCAAAGTAAGCGTTCAAATCACTGGACGATGAGACGAGCAGACGGGTGCTGATTAAGTGAGAATCCAAAACCCCCTTCTTGGTGTCACTCGACCCGGACTTCAAGCGCTGGTTGACGACTTCTGCGCGGAATACGGCTTTGAGGACAAGGATCTCTGGAATCGGGCTGCCATTCTTGCACAAAATCCCAACGACTATGATGGAATTCCCGAGTTGTCTCAGGACGACAAATACTGGGCTAAGAGAGAGGTCACTAGTGAGTTTACCGCTGATCGAGGAACTGCGAGGTTGCTGACAAACCCAGACAAGTGGGATCTCACTGGCCAGATGTGGTTCCTCTGTTTCGTCGCTTCATTGGGTTCCGCTATCCAAGGTTGGGGTGAGTCATTCGAGTAATAATGGATCACTGGCAGCGCTGACCAATCAGACAGTACTGGTGCAAACGGTGCCAATCTGTCCTTCCCTCGGGAATTCGGCATCGAAAACAATACTTGGCTAGTGGGCATGGTAAACTCTGGGTGAGTTGTCTTGTCGATACCGGTTTGGAAAATCTCACCTGACGACAGTCCCACTCTCGTCACCGGTCTCTTCTCCGCGATGCTCTGCGACCCGATGAACCACTACTTCGGTCGAAGGGGTACCCTCTTCATCTCCGGTTGGTTCTGTATCTTCCCAGGTGAGTCAAGCGCGTTCAAAATCTAACCGCCTTTCACTGACGAGTGCAGTCTTATGCCAGGCCTTCACCCACAACTGGTACGAACTCTTCATTTGCCGTTGTCTGTGAGTGGTCTCATTGCTGTATCCGTGACCAGTGGCTAAGAGCGTAGCTTGGGTGTGGGAATCGGAACCAAGATCTCCACTATACCGATTTACACTGCCGAGTCTGCTCCTGCTTCAATCCGTGGAGCGGTATCTCTTACCTTCCAGTTCTGGGTTGCCTTTGGCTCTGTGAGTCATCTCTATCACTGCACTGCGTGTGCTCAGCTGACGATCCCCAAAGGTCCTCGGTTTCTCCACCAATCTGATCTTCATGCGAGTCGGTAGGCTTGCTTGGCGTTTCCAACTCGCGGCTGCTTTCATCCCTGCGCTCGCCGTCGTGCTCTTAGTTTGGTTCATTCCCGAATCGCCCCGTTGGTTGATGAAGCGCAACAACTATCCCAAGGCTTTCCGAAGTTTCCTCAGGCTGCGCAAGTCACAAATACAAGCCGCAAGGGATATGGTGAGTGCACTTGGTTCTCATAAGCCGGACCGGCGCTGACGAGTGCTAGTTCTACGCCCACTGCCAAATCCAGGAAGAGAACGAAGCTTTCCACGGGACCTCCTGGTTCACTCGTATGCGTGATATATTCACGGTTCCTCGACTCCGAACTGCCAACCTGGCCAGTTGGGTCGTCATGATCTCCCAGCAATTGTGCGGTATCAACGTCATGGGTGAGTTTTGATGACTTTTGGTGATCCGATCAATGCTGACTCCGACAGCCTACTACTCCTCGACCGTCTTCGTACAAGCTGGATACACGAGCGAGCAAGCGTTGCTTGCCAGTTTGGGCTTCGGGTTGGTCAACAGTGTCTTCGCTATGTGAGTCACTTGTCATCACTGAGTGTTCTGTCGGCTGACATAGGAGCCCTGCGATCTGGACCATTGACAGCTTCGGTCGACGGAACCTCATGTTGTTCACTTTCCCTCTCATGAGTCTCTGTCTTTGGTGGGCCGGATCAATGTTCTTCATGGATTCATCGAATCCCGCCAGAGTACCAGTTATCGCCGTCGCCGTCTACATCTTCACCGCTCTTTACTCGCCCGGTGAGGGTCCTATCCCCTTCTTGTACTCGGCCGAGTCATATCCTTTGACCCACCGAGAGGTCGGTATGTCATGGGCTGTTTCGCAAAACAACCTTTTCTCCGCCCTCCTTTCTCTCACCTTCCCGTCGATGTTGTCGACTTTCAAGCCTTACGGTGCCTTCTACTTCTATGCGGGTACCAATATCCTTGCTGTCATCCTCATCTTCTTCTTTGTACCTGGTACGTCCATTTTCCTCTACCATCCAGCATGACTTACTACGCGTGTATCTGTATCTAATTTCAGATACATCTCGCAGGACGCTAGAAGAGCTCGACTTCATCTTCGGTGTCCCCGTTCACGTCTTCGCCAAGTATCAATGGTCCACATGGCTTCCGTGGTTCTTCAAGCGCTACGTTCTCTTCCAAAAAGACGCGTACCTGAAGCCTTTGTACCACCTCGAGGGCATTGGCGGGACCTTGCCCGATGTTGTCGGTGGACACTGAGGGAGATTGGTCGAGATGTGGGGCGAGTGACGTATGTGTTCCCCTTGGGTGTTTTAGTATGAAAGAAGTGAAATGTAGGAAGTAGTAAATTTGTCTAGGGTTTATTTGATGTATGACATTCCTCTTGCCACGATGCGTGCGTGCGTGCGTGAGTGTAGTGTGTATGTACGTGTGAGCTGATTCCTAACCTAGCCTACTTGGAGCCTGCATAGTTATCGTTGTCGTGCACGAGTACCTGTACTCTACCACCCAGCACAGCGGTGCAGCGGTCGGGATAGAGTGAGGTAGAAGGGATGACTCGGCCGAAGCCGGTGAGGCAATACGGCGTGCTCGGCCGGTGAGTATTTTACCTGGTATCGAGTCCACTTTGACCTGTGTACTCATTCGTCTTCTCGCTCATCACGTCAGGCATGCAGAATGGCCATCAAGTAGCAGAGCAGCCGTACCAGTCCAGGACTCACAACGCGGAGCAGTTTGAAGAGGTGGGTCTCAAGTCACTCCCCTAGTCACCGGTTGTAGCGGTTGCTCATGACAGCTTCTCGATGCCGTACGGGAAGAGTTGACACCTTTCATCCGTGCCGCAGACCAATCGTCCTCAAACAAGCATGCTCTCTCTTCTAGTCGTACCCTCGTGAACCCGTTACAACCTCGCGCCTTGACAGAGCAGCTGGATTTGGATTTACCGCAAGTAGGAACTGGCACTCCTGGACTTCTTCAAGCAATACAAGATGTGCTCCGAGGAAGTGTTAATACTTGGGATCAGGGGTTCATGGACAAGCTATATGCCTCCACAAACCCAGTGAGTCACTTTTGACTCTAGACTTCGTAGGTAAGGGAACTGACATTCTGAGGTTGGTGTCATCTCCGAGCTCGTTTTGGCAGTTTTAAACACCAATGTGAGTGTTCTTCCTTCCTCCAAGTCACCATTGACACCAGCGCAGGTACATGTCTATCACGTCTCTCCTGCCCTGACATTGATCGAGAAGAAGGTCAGCCGGGCTCTAGCGGATCTCTTTGGCTTCAATGGTCCTCATGGTGGTGGTATCTCTCAACCGGGTGGTTCAGCGTCAAACATGTCATCCATCATCGTGGCTCGTAACACTCTGTTTCCCCATACGAAGAAACGAGGTTTGGTGGGCTTGAAACCAGTCCTCTTTACTTCTGCCCATGGACATTATTCACTAGAGAAAGCCGCCCAAATCATGGGATTTGGAAGTGATGCTTGTCGATCGGTGTCATGTGATGAAGATGGTCGAATGATTCCTTCCGAGTTACGTCGTCAGATCAAGCAAGCGATACAACAGGACGAAGCACCTTTTTATGTGAACGCGACAGCCGGTACCACCGTACTGGGAAGTTTTGACCCTTTGGAAGCCATAGCCGATATTTGTGAGGAATTTCATCTGTGGATGCACGTCGATGGAAGTTGGGGAGGGAGCGTCGTTTTCAACTCTTCCATTGGACAAGGTAGACTGGACGGAATTCATCGTGCCAACAGCATCACCATCAGTCCACACAAGATGCTCGGTGTCCCGATAACATGCTCTTTCTTGCTTGGCAGAGATATGCGACAGTTTCATCGAGCCATGACGCTTCCCGCAGCTTAGTGAGTTCATCCTGATCAATCAAAGAACATGATGTTGACACACAGTCTCTTCCACGAAGACGCCAACGAAGATGGTAAAATATACGATTTGGCAGATCTGACACCGCAATGTGGACGCAAAGGAGATGCTCTCAAAGTATACCTTTCATGGACGTTCTACGGAGCTCAAGGATACTCGGACAGGATTGCAAGAGCATACGCCCGGGCAGATGACTTTGTCACTCAGTTGGAGAAATCCCCGAATACATACTTGGTGTCTCGAAGACCGCTGCCCTGTTTGCAGGTGAGTCCACTGCTACGTCACGTATGATACTGCTGACTGATTAGGTATGCTTTTACTATACCCCGGGAAGACTCCTCTCTGATAACGTCACCAATAGCCGGCGTACCGAGGACATGGTGAGAAGGCTGCTACACAGAGGCTTTATGATTGACTTTGCGTCTGGCAAAAATGGCAAGTTCATCAGAGTCGTGATCAACGGGGATACATTGCCCGGCACGGTCGAGGCTCTGCTCGAGTGCATCGAGGAGGAAGGTAACAGGTTATTAGATCAAGAGATGCATCAGGGACTCGTTTTATAAAGATTGTGAATTAACGAAAAGTTAATGTAGGTCTAATTGAAGGTCTCGCTAGCCATAAATTTCCAAAATCAACATACGTGCTCCAACATCTGATTGTACTCGATATTCTCTCATAGATAGGCACTGCGTCTGGCCTTGCCATTGGGCACACAAGATCTACCATCAGAGCTGACAGTATGATAACGATCACAAGACAGTACTAGTCGCGTAAGCCTCGAAAAACACTATCGCCACTTGACTCACCGAGACATTTACTACTACGACATTGGACTTCGTTCACACCGTCGATTGAAGTGCAATCAACTGCTTCGGCTGACATGGGGCAAGCGCCGCAAGCTACTGAATCAGCGAGAGCTACGCCACACAACAACAGACCTACCAGTGACATCGCTGGCCGTGTTGACACATTCAAAACCCCCTCTGGAATAGGCGCGACAGTGAGAGTGACCGGCACTGCACATCTGCCGAGCGAGCAGAGGTGATGGTGCGGCGCGGGGCAGACCGTTCTTCAGGTTGTGCTCCAGAGCACGTCGGCGTCGACTCGATCCACTAGGGGTCGGTCCATCTACAGGGTTCACGGTGAAGTCATTTTCGATATTATACAGAGTGGGTTTGACACCAAACCGAATTGTTATGCCCCCTAGATCTCAGTACCAGTTGTCAACCACTGCAAAATTGTACTAACAGTCTGGATCGCCATCTTCAGCGGCCTGGGCAAGCTGGCCTCTGCGATCATCAGTGAAAAGTCTGACGGAGACATCGAGACACAGATGACTCACTTGGTCTTCGAGCAAGTACTAGTGAGACTGCCCGAGGAACTGAATTGGACGATAGGGCAATTGTAAAGGAGACCTGCATCAAGATCTGTGAGGTAGATGCTGTTGACCGGAACTTGAGGGTTGGTGCAGGCGGAAGGTGAATACGAGTACGTGACTGAATATCCTGTGGTGTCCGTTGTGCTGTAGGTTGGATTCAAATCGAATCCCACGATTTGAACGGAGTTGCCACAGGCCTGAATTTGAGCCTGAGTCTGAGCCAGAACAGGGGCGGTGAAACCGAACAATAAAGGGAGGAGGTGAAAAAACATGTCGGCGAGGCGAATGATTAGGAATTCGGGGTGGTCGGTAGAAAGTCGAGGATGATAAAAGAACGGATGGGCTGTCGACGAGTGGCAGCTTGTTTTGAACTGTTTGAAAAGAGAGAACGTGGGTGGAGTCAACACAATTCTGTGAGTATTAAGTAACCAAACACTCTCACGAAAAATTACAAGTTGTCAGCTTAGTCTAGCTGGCGTAAACTATGGCGTTCCCTCTCGCGATACGCCGATCTAGTAAGCATGTGCATGGTACCCCGTACGCCGAGAGACTTGTTCTGATGCCAGGCGTCAGCTGCACAGGTCGCTTGGCTGGGTGACCCTAATCGACTAGAAGAAACAATAAGCAAAGTGCAAGTTTGACAATGACAAAGTTGGAGCGACGGACGAGGGGCTGAGGTGGCGTTGACAAGTAGTACCGTACATCCGAAAGAACGTCAGGGAGTACGACGCTCAATCGCTGAGACCATTAGCTGAATCGGAGGGAATGAGAAAATAACGCTCACTCAGGCACATACAATAAGGTTTTCCCGTGTCTCTCGTCTCACGGGGTAAAACCCGTCACATGTCTGTTAGCCAGGATATTTCCGGGAGTCTAAGTCAGGAGGCTTCTGGCGATTTTCGGGCTCCGCTTTGAGAGTCTGCTTTGAGAGTCTGATCTTTCTCTTCCGATATGGTATTCGCCACAACCGAGGGCTCAGACTCTTCGGTTCGGATGATATCGTGAACAGGCACTTCGACTAAGCTTTCGTATGGGGGCCAGATCCGGCAAAGGATGAGGTATACAGCAATGGCGACTTCGGGGTGAGACAATGACCAGATTTAGCAATGGGTAACTCACACGTGTCGCCCGAGATATTGCTAACCATGTAGATGTACTTGATGTTGCCAATCGAGATGGCAGGATTGATGGCGTTGATCATACCAGGCAAGTTCGGACCCACAGCACATGCCAGAGCCAGGTACGACCGCCAATTCCAACCTGGGCCAAGTTAGCCCATCTTCCAAATACGATTCGTACCAACGAACCAGCGGTGAAGTGATATATGCCATCTGGCCGATACAATTCGTAGATGTCGACTTTTTGCTTTTTCACCACGAAAAAGTCGATAGCCAAAAGGACTGCAATCGGAGCAAGGACGACCGAGTAGGATGACATGAAAGTCAACTGCGATGTGGTGAATATCACGCTGCATCAAGCACGAGGTACTGACAAAGTTCTGTGCCGATTGGAGTACTTTCCATGGTGCAAACGCCCAAACACCTAGAGACAATGAGATGAGCTGACCACGCTTGATGTTGATCCACTTGGGGGCTAAAGTGGTCATATCATTGGCGGCAGAGATCGAGTTGGCGGTACTGCGGGATGTCAGTGTCAATGACAGAATCAACGCGGGAGACATACATGTTGGTAGTCACGCTGGCTAGGGTCCATGCTAAACTTGCTAGAAACATAGCTGTTCTGCCACCGGCGCTCGTGTTCCACTTGCCGACAATTTCGTACAACTGATAAAAGCTATCGCCGTAGATGGCGAAGCAGCAGGCTGCCGTGATCCCAGAGAATACCGACAGGCCGGCAAACAGAAGTGGAACAGCGATGAGCTGAATATATGCCGCAGAAGGTTTCTTGCAGTATCGCGAGAAGTCTCCGATGTTCAGACCTAGTCCAATGTCAGCAAAGCGAACCTGGAATGTAGAAACCACCAACTGAGCGTCGCCCAGGTTCCTTGACAAGCGGTCACGCTGTACATGAAGGCCTTGAAGCGAGGAGCACCCGGTGGTAATCGGTTCGCCGGATGATTGAGAGCCGCTGAAGCGCCGGATCCTGCTTTTGAGACTGCCTGATGAATGAGTCTACGACCAGCAATGGAAGGTTGAGGCATACCCAGATCAACGTGCCCAGCGCGACTATCGGCACGACGATGGCTTTTGTGTTGAACAGCCAAGCTAAACGGGATGGATGAATGAAAGCGAAGGGTAATTGTAGCAACCTCGTAGTCAGCCATGACCAGCATTCACACGGGCTGGGATATTGAGTGAATTTATCATTACACGTACCAGTAGAGGAAAAATGATACGAATGATAAAGTTGTCGCACCCTGCGAGGCCGGGATTGAATTGTGTATCTTTGCATATTGGGGCCAAATCGATTCGATCATGAGGGCGACAAATCCACCGCCTCTGCCAATGTCAGAACTCGCTTGTCAACGAGCGAAACTTGAGCCGTTACGTACGCCCAAGAGTTGATGCTCAGCCTGTCCGTCAGCCTCGATGACCAAAGGTGAACACCAGGAAACGATATGAGGGTATTCTAGCTTACCAGAAGATAGCCAGTACCATGCGTGAGAAAACGACAAATTTGCTACCCCAATATCCAAAAACGGCTCGCGAGGTAACGGCGAAGGGGGTGTGAAGCTATACCGTCAGCCATGGCTCTCTGTGGTTGTCGGACGTATCACCTTGGCACCGACTACGGCATTGGCTGTGCATGAGTACAAGCAGCGATGTCAGGCTGTAGGAGAACTCGCCAGTGATCACAATAGCCACTAGTACACCACCAACTGATCAGGTCAGCGATGGAACGTCGTGTATCTACGTTGCGAGTGATGGGATTCATGCCGAAAGGAGGCCTGACAGATTGCAACGACGAATCGAGGGCTACACACATCGTGGTAAGAGCTTGCAAGTCATGAGAAGAGGGACGTACTTACCCAATATCGCCAGGGCCGACTCCCACCATGTAAGTCCCAGACCGACGAACGAGGCCACGGTCGCCCATGTTCCCGGGTTGATGAGATCCGACACCCAATCTATACGACTGTGAGCTCTTGTTCCGTACGTAGACAAGCAAAAGAAGTAAACTCACAGGCGAAAAACGTCCAGCTTGTCCAAGTACGTTGATCTGGTGGACTGGGGTCCATATCTACGTAGCCGTATCAGCTCAAAGGACGTTGGAATGCGAACGATTAATCCGGACCGACCTTTGTTACTCCAGACATCCTCTGGAGCTATGCAGCTGTCTTCCTTGGGCAGTTCCCACGACCCAAGACTGGTCGTTCGATACCTCAGCGTAGATAAGACGCTCATGACGATGAGATATTAAGAGGAAGATGGGAACGACAACATTGCTGATCAAGCTAAAGCATACATGGAAGAGCAGAAATAGCATCGGGCATGCATGATCAGGCGCAGAGTAAGCCCGCTGCCTGACGGACAGTATGGTCCCTCTGCCCTCATAGATCATAGATCTGTGACATCCGTGATAGGCCTCCCTACCTAGACGAGCCATTCCTTGACTTTGCGGTCCGACAAGGCGACTTCCCAACCACCCTTTCCCTGAGCGACCGAGATGAAGCTGTCGATCTCTTCACCTTTGAGCCAAGGACGGTGCAGGTGTGCGCAAACGTGTCTTGGTGCTTGTGCCGTGAGCATCGTACTGTTCTGTCTGATGATATAGGGTTGCAGGAGCGGACACGAGACGTGAGAGGGATGGAAGAAGATGGCGGAGACCTAAGTACATAGTGACATGTAGGCAGTCGGTGAAATGGACTGACCGTTTTGGGTAGAAGATTGACCGCTACCTGGTAGCCATTCAATCTTCCTCCACGCACTCAACCGACCAACGTCCATCCTCAATAACCAGATCTGAGGTACGTCCTTGAAGAAGAGCTCGAGGGTGTCGAGGACCTGCGGCCCGGAGGATGTGTGCACAAAGCCATCGTCATGGTCGAGCTGAGGGAGGGTCATCTCGTGACTGGAGGGGATGGGTATGGGGAAGGTGAATCTGTGTCAAGAGTGAGCGTGACCGGGACGGGAAAGAGAACAGAAACCTTACTTACCTCGGGTCAACAGATGAATGTGGTGTGATCTTGTACAGATACTTTGGGAGAGACATTGTCGCTGTCAACACATTCGCAGTAGCAGAAGCCTTCATCGAGAGATATGAAACAACGTGTAGATGATACCCCTCCCGGGTAGCTTCTTCCTCCACAACATGACGTACTTCGTTACTCGAAGGCTACAGTATCTATCTGACGGCCCCTCACGGCGCTCATGCTCAAAACTGAAAACTCGTCCTGGTATGACCCGTGCTGGCATGCTGCATGCTGCACCCCTGTCAATATCCTTTGCCAACCTGGAAAACGTTTGCATAAGGTCACACTATTCAACGAAAGAAGCGGCAGAGCGAATGGACGATGGGCTGCTGATAGCACCAGGGACGAAACGGGAAGAGGGTGGAGTGGAAAGAAAGGAAAGAAGGAAAAAAAAAAGGAAATCCACATCTATAGTCAGATCACTCGTCGAATCCGCCCCGAACAATTCTACACGCCCAACCTCTTGGCCTCTTGCACGCTCACCAGTCCGGCTGTTGTCATGTCTCGGATGAAGGCCTTGAGTTCCTCCAGCTCCTCTCGTTGCACGCGACTTTCTTCTTCCAGCTCGGCAATCTTGCCCTTGAGTCCGTCCCTCGTACGCCGAGCGCTCTCCGCCCCCTTGTTCCGTCCCTCGTCAATCTTCTGGCCGAGCTCGACAGTGGACATGTAATGCGTGGGCTGCGTGCTCTTGACGTGCGCGAGGAGACCAGCAAAGGTGGGGAAGGATAGGATTTCTTCGCGTGAGAGTCCGGTAGCCCGCTGGGCTTGATCCGCAGTCCAGAACCGATCAGGTATGACTTTACCAGCGCCAGAGCGTCGAGGGGCAGAAGCGGGATCATCTACGATCCTCGATCCCAAGGTAGGCGTTGCTGGTTGATTGGTAGTAAAACGAACCTTGGGCGGTCGACCACGACGTTTTGGAGGAGGAATGCAGTCGTCTGATGCATCCGACGCCTTTCTCTTCAGAATAGGCGACGAGGAAGTCGTGAAGGGCGGGCAGCCTTGCATGAGGGCTGGCGATATGGAGGCAGGGCTGGAGAAGAGACCGGACAGCCCGAGAGACTCGGTCGTGAACGACTTGAAGGAAGGCAACGAGGCCCAGTCGGAGAATCCGGGAAACGTGGCGAGCATCGTCGGGTCGTTGGCCTGAGCAGGCACATCCAGCCCGAAGATGTCGGGATATTTTAAACTGCTCGTGACCTCGTCCAGACCCGGTTCAGCAACCGGCAGGGTGAGGGATGACTCGGAGGCTGTCGACGACGGAGTAGGGGAATCATTCGCGAGGCCGAGCCAGGCGAGGTCATCTGCTCAGTCAGCTCTACCTTCTGACGTTCCAACGGCAGACTCACTCTGACTGGGTATGTCGAGATAGTATTGCCAGTCGTCAGGATCGACCTCGCTGGGGAAACGCGCGTGTTGGGAAGACATGTTGCTACCAGATGGCTGAAGGGCGAGAAGAGCGGTAGCCGTTGGCGATTTGATGCAGAGAGGAATAGGATATGTAGGTACTGAAGAAGGCAATGCCGTTTGAGGCAATGGTGGCGATTTCAAAGATGCAACGATGTTCGTGCTTTTCGGTTTTAGTTGAATTGGGCTCGTCTCAAGCGTGATCGCTGACCCTTTTGGTTTGATAATTAGGTTTCGAGGTGTGTTGGAGGTCGGCCTCGACACCGAGGGAGTGCGCCTGAGGGGAGGAGGAGGGGGCAGGCTGCGGGGTAGGAGAGGCGGACTGCTTGGATGAATGCATGATGAGCGGAAATTGATGGGAGTGAGAGTGGACAAGAGAGGTCAAAGTGAATGCGAATGGGGGGGGGGGGGGAAGACGCAAAGAGGCAAGAATGCGATCAGCACCGAGCCTCGAACGATCAATGAAGACACTCACGAGCTTGTTGCTGTTGTGGTTGTTGGGACGGACAAGAGGGTGTCAGGTAGGGATGACAGAGTAAGGGAGTCATGTTGGGTAGAGTTGGTGTCGAGAGCTGCTGAACAGTTGGCGACATGATCATCGTGTCGACAGTGAGTGGAGTCTTCCTGAGCAGGAAGGGAATTTAGGCGGAGAAGAACATTGCGAACAGTGTAAGAGTAATTAAGGTAGTTATCGTATGAAAGCAGGGGTGCGGTGACTACGGGTCACGATTGAGTGAAGGGAGAGAGCTGGATGAGCAAAAGACTTGGTAGTGAGATATGAAATGATGTGATGAAGATGATGGACAAGAGGGGAAAGAGAAGGAAAGAGACGGGGGTGGGGGTGTTGTGGTGTCAGGGTACGGGGCGGAGTTTCCCTTTGTGTAACACCGAGTGTGGCGGATTGGTCAGTGTAATGACACGTCACCCCTGACCGCTTATCAGCCCTGTATAAGGACTCTACTACTCGACTGGTACCTTACATGGCACATACTCCACTCGCTCTCCTGTAGCCTACTCGTACCCGCAGCAATGCTGTATGTCCAACAGCATACCCTACGATCGCCAACGGCCAACGGCTTACGATGGGCTGACGGACAGTCTCTCTCAAGCTGCGTCCTGCGTCATCCCGTCCAGTGTTCACAGGCCACAGGCCATCATCTCTCACTCACGCACGTTCGAATTCCATCCCATTGCTGTCACGTTCTTGACTATTCTGACCTTGTTCTCGGTCTCTCATATCCCTCTAGTCCCTCTCCTGTCCCACGGGTCAAGTGTCCATGTGAATGCTACTGTGTTTGGAGTTTGGTGGGGCTTGCCCTCAGGTCACTCGCTCTGCGCAACGACAGAGGCGGAACGTGCAACGTTGCACCTATGCACCTTCCGACTTGAATGCGAGAAGACATGCCTATCTAAGAACCCTACAGGCCTACGGCTACTATCTATACAAGGGCTTGCTCACCGGATCGGATCAGAAGATTTCAGGTGGGACCATGTATCAGCTGGCCTGCAAGGAGGAAGGACCGCGGACCGCCCTTTCAACCTTCATGAACGTGCCAGGTGACATGTGTCCTTGGATCCTTGGACAGTGTTTGTGGGACAACATTCCAACGTTCGTGCGCCGTTTATGCCGACCCGTCAATGGTCTGACCGTAACCATCTACAGCTACTAGCTACTTATTTCTTCAAACACATGTCGGTCAGTCACAGGCTTTGCGGATCTGCCGCCTCCCGGCTTCACAGACTCTAACATCGGCAACATCTTCCCCTTTGGCCACTGGCTTGTATCCTCTCAGGTCGTCAGGTATGTACATATACCAGCATCGTTCTTCGTCAACACCCGTCGATAGATCGCCCTTGGAGTTTGTCGAGTCTCGCTTCACCCAACGTCACACCCAGCTTTCGATTCGGTTTCGTGTATCATAATCCCTATCCTTATCCCCAAGCGTCGAACGATCTTCTCCCTTGTGATACTCCTGGTGTCCCGCCTCCTTTGATTCACTCCTGTGGTTGACACAGGTGACAGAACGATGTCCGTCATGCCAAGTGCATTGTTGACTCCACCTCGATCTCCGCATATGGAACCCTTATCATTACCAGTGGCGCGGACGACCCGCCTGGAAATTTCAGAGAGGGACCCGGTCATGGCTCAGCCTGGAGCACCCATACGTCCCCTACCACAAGGTCGCCACGGGAAGACCATGGACCACCCCTCAGTGACAACGGAGTTTGATTTTGGCAGACGAGCAGGAGCTCTGTGGTCGCCTCAGTCGTCATCATCCTCGTGCGCAGACGGGTCTCACTCCTGGCACCCGCATATGTCACCGCGCGAGAGGGAAGAACGCGAAGCGTGGCTTAGTCAAGGTTGTGGTAGAGCAGGTCTGAGGATTGTCATTGTCACGGGTGAGTCAGCTTGTGTCTGTGTCGGATCTTATTGACGAGACAGAGAACTTTCTACCCAAGGTCGATGGAGTAACGCGCACGTTGGCTCGACTCCTGGAGCATTTGGAACGCGAGGGCCATCATTGCATGCTCCTTGGTCCGGGGACGGGGATGAGCCACTACGCCTCTCATCCGCTGGTTGGTACGGCTGGGGTGCCGCTGATTCTTTATCCCGGGTTGAAGGTATGTCCATCTCTTGATGAAGAGTGTACTTGTCATTGGCAGCTTTGTCTTACTCGAAGCTCAACTTTCTTCGCCCCAAATTCTTGCGGGTGATACGTGACTTTGTAAGTGCATCTCCTGTCTGGACAACTGGAGCATTGACCAAATAGCAACCGGACGTCATACATTTCGTAGATCCCATATGGTTGGGAGCTCAAGTATTGATGGCTATGGAGTTGGGGTGGGCCGGGGAGTGAGTATTGTCAATCTTCTGAGAACTCGACTCACAAGCAGGGAGTGGGTTGGAGAAGATGGACCAGCGCTTGGGGCAGGTATCACGGGTGCCGTGGTTTCTTCTTATCACACGTGAGTCACGGTGCTTTGTGTCCATCAGTGCTTCGTTGACGCTCTAGTAATCTTGCGACCTACGCAAAGCTCTTTGGGTGGAGCTGGCTGGAACCTATCTTGTGGCGATTTCAGCGATGGCTCTATTCCAAGTCGGTATTCCTGAGCCGACGTAAAACGTCCACTGATTCCCAGGACGCTTTTGACACTTTGCCCTTCACCATCTACTCTCCAAATCCTACAAGATCAATCGTTTCACGGTGTTCGTCTCTGGCCACGCGGCGTAGACGTGTCCCAGTACTCTCCTAAGAGGAGGTCCGACATGCTGCGTTCCTTTTGGGGAGTATTCGAGCCCCCGAGAGCTACGCCGCAAGTCGTACACGGTCCCGTCGCTCAATTCATCGATACGATGCCGCAGGTAGGGAAGATCGAGCACGACGGGTGCCAAGTGGGTAGGGGTTGGGATAGCAAATCAGCTCTGCCACCGACACCTCCTGAGAGTCCAGTGATGGCCCCCGTTGACTCCGCATGTTCAGCAGGTGTAGGTGCCCCGTCGGATCGCATCGTGATTCTGTACGTAGGAAGAATGTGAGTCCAGTGTTTGCCGAACGAACCATCTGATCTCAAGGTCTTGGGAGAAAAATCTCAACCTCCTGCTCATCGCCTATGGACACCTGTCTACCCTGATCCCGGATTGTCCCTCTCCGAAGCTAGTCTTCGTTGGCGATGGGCCTGCCAGAACCGAAGTCGAAGCTTTCTGTGCGGAAAGGAAATACGACGCCGCCTTCATGGGCCATCGTGGCGGAGAAGAGTTGGCGATGTGTTACGCTAGTGGGGATATCTTTGCATTTCCTAGTTTCACAGAGGTGAGTTTACTCGTGTTTGAAGGGCTTGATCCTCGCCGCTCACAGACAGACTTTCGGACAAGTAGTGCTAGAAGCTCTGGCTTCTGGATTGGTCAGTACTCATCATGATCATTAGTCTTGACCAGAGCTAATTTTCAGCCGGTGGTCGGGCTTGATGCGGACGGCACTCGAGATCTGGTCAATGTTGGAGCAACTGGTCTTCTTTATCGTCTGCCGGGCGGCAACTCGTGGTCTCGAATCTCCCGTCAGTCCGAGTCAGTCGAATTTCAGGAAGCAGCTTGTGGATTTGCTAGTTTACTCGCGAAGGTGATATGCGACTCGAAGATGAGGCGAGAGATGAGCGCTCGAGCGAGTACAGAAGGCGTTCGTGGCTTTACCTGGCGGGCTGCGATGGAGGTAGGTCGTCATGGACCTCTTGATACTCTGCTAAGACCACAGCGTTGTGTCGATGGGTATCGAGAGTCTATGCGTATCGCTCGTCAAAGAAGAGCCATCATGGAGGGACGCCCGACGTCCGACGCCAATGTCGAGGGACAGCGAGTCTCGAGCCCGACTGCCTCGAGAATTAGGCGAGTCCTATCGGCGCCGTTGTCACATGGAGCTTCGTGGAGTCTTCAACAGGGATCAATGCCAAGCGGACTTGACATCCGTCCGAAACCAGTCACCCATGTGGTTGAGTCTGTCTGGCATTTGAGTGAGTGTTGCCTCCATCTGCAATAAGGCTTGCCTCGAACTCACGCCATCAGAGAGCTTGCTCAAGATCGTGGTGATATTGTACGTACTCTGGGTGATGTACGAGCACCACACGAAACTAGGTCCGGACGGCGTGCTCGGCAAAAGGGCAAGAATATGGAGTTGAGGATGACACTAAGAAAACGGATCGCGGCTACGGATTTGTCCAGCGGCGGCTGGCGGGAGTGTGTCCGCCAGGGTAGGTTTCATGGAATATCATGTACTAGCAACGTATGTACGAATAAAGTGCCTTTTGTCACGAGATAACGACGGATGCCATGAAGCAACCATGACAATATATGATGATGTATGCTATGCAAATGGTCCAAGGTGTTTACTACCTTCGGATGTTTTCGGCAATGACGGACGGACTGACCGGCAATCGCGACTGGACTGGTCCAACTTTTCAAACTTTTCTCGACCAAGCAATTTTCAAAGTTGATTACTTGACTTTTACATCATGACAATGTACCATCGAATCACTCTTTTCGACGAAAGCAGCAGCCATATCATCCTATAGAGCTCCGACTTGCATTTCCTTTCCCTCACTTTATCTCTCTTTTCCCTCCACCCGCCCACGAGCTATCCGCATACTCGTACTGTCATGACTGAAGCCCTTCCCGATCCTCATCAACTTCAGCACGTTGACGACCATGTCGCCTCGGATGGACTTTCCCCAGACCAACCATCCCAACATGACCAGCGTGCGCTACTCTATTCTCTCTTGATTCTCTACAGCTGACACGTATAGCCTACTTGGTGATCGTTCGACTCCCTGCCCCCAATCATCCCAGAACCCTACCGAAAGCGGCAAGTGTGGATCAGTTCAGCGAACTCCGCTGCGAGGTTCAGCCGTACGAGTCCATCCAGGATGTCAAGCAGACTATCAACGACTGGGTAGGAGGGTACTGGCTGGGTCCTTACTCTCTCCGTCTACGGAAGCAGCAGCACACCGGTCAGGATGGTCACCTCGGCAGCGAGTCCACCGACCCTGAGGTGAACGAAAGGTTGTCGGATTGGACGGAAGTGGGAAACATATTCGGACCAAATGATGGATCCGAGGGCTACATTTTGGACGTTCTGCGGGGTGAGCTTCACATGACTGCCTCGACGTGACGCTGACCGTTCTCCAGAGCCTTGGACGAATCTCGCTGCCCGTCAGGCAGTCCTTCGACTGGTGGATATCATCGCTCCTCCCGGCTCCTCGACGCATACATTATCGTGCCACATCGCCCTAGAGCCGGGTGCAACCATCTTCGAAGCTGTGGAGAATGGGACCGCCTACTTGTCCATCACCGATCCAGTCTTTCGGGACGTTTCCGTACCTGTTTCATCGAACAGAAAGAACAGAGGAAGTAGGAAGGAGACTGTCAAGATCCGACGAGAGATAACGGCAGACGATCATGCCTTTGCCGACTGGACGGCCGAATGGCGACCTCCCAAGCTGTCCAAGCTGCCCTCGTCAACACCGCCCATCCCCGCCCAACCTTGCCTCAAATCCATTCAATTATCATCTTTCAACCCGCCGACCCCAAACCTACGCCATGTTGGACACCATCTTTATCTACAAGTGACGATATTGGAAGGAGAAACGATGATACTCGTTTGTACCACCCGGGGTTGGTATGCTTCAAAATCAAGCCTCACCCATTTTGACCCTGCTCCTCGTCCTCGTCCAAATGGCTCAGCCTCAGCTTGTCAACACTCTCTATTCGATCTCCTACATGACTTATCGCCCATCTTCACGGCTCGACTTTTCTTACTACCGCCATTCTCCTCTCACCCAGCGCACAGTCAGTCACTAGCGACTATCCCGATACCCCAGGCGGAACCCGCATACCCTTGGCTGGTTGCTCCGCCCAAAATTGAAGTGATGCCGGACTTGCTCCGAACGCAACTCGCCTTTCTGCATACAGGATCAACCGCTGTTGATACGATGGACACTTCCAGGGACTGGAATGAGGAGTTTCAGAATATCAAAGAGCTTCCACAGGACAGCGTACAGGAGCGAGCTTTCCGTGAACGATTGGGGCAGAAGACTTGGGGGGAATTTACAGCAGCAGCAGCTCGCTCAGTGCTCAATATAGCGGTCAGTCCGCACAACAGTTTGAATGACCATTATCTCACTTGACAGTGTGGCAACGTCCCTCCGCTCAATCCCGAGGAAAGACCGCGAGCGCACATGTGGCTGGTGAACAACATCTTCATCACCAAGGCACTCGACTCTTTGAACGCGTATGAGCATCTGGGTGGTGATGCAGCAACTTGGGTCTCACACAACAAGGATTGTTCCGGCGTCAAAATTCTCAACAAGCTTGACATCAGCGGAGTTCACGTGTTGGGACAGGCGCTTGTCGACTGTTTGGGAGAGCGTTGGGTCTGTCAGAGTGTTTTGCCAGGTATCTTCATCCGAAATCATGAAGAAGAAGACGAAGAAAAGCAACAGTCCCTTCCCCGTGACTCACAGCCTAGCCCAAGTAAAGACGAATGGATTGCGATTCAGTCGCCACCGAAAAGCTCGTCCCACTCTCAGGAAAACGATGCCACAAGACAAGAATTGCTCGAAAACGACTTGATCATCTACGGCGTCGACACGGAACAACCAGGATCATTACACTGGGATGCGTCGTCCCATCGCGTCCTTGAAAGGGTGGCAATGGCTTGTCACCTCGCTAAGCATCCGGTAAAGGATGGCCGAGGCGTCGAGCACGAATTCTGGTCGAGCATCGAAGTCAAGGCTTTGCGCGGTACAGACGGTCGACGATACTTGCTTGATCTGTTCCGCCTTTCTCCTGTTGATGTCGAATGGCTGGAGCGCGACCTGAATGGACCTACTCTCGGCCCCTCCACATCATCCGACACCCCGGAATATCCACATCGGATCACCCTACTACGAGCTGAGCTCTTACAAGCTTTCCGAGGGCACGAACTCAAGCGCTGGCTTCAAAGTAAGTCGAACCAAAGACGAGTCTCGGATCTATCAACACCGTTGACTGGAACCGGAAAGGATGATGGTCACCTGTCAGATGATCACGAGTCACCGACCAGGGTTGTTGACGGACCTCAGGACCATTTCGACATGCGTTTCAATCCCGACGCTTTTGTCGACCCCCCTTCGGTCAAGTCATCACTGACAGAAACAAGCCGACCTGCGGCAAGTGCAGTGGTGGACGAAGACGAACCTTCGGTGAAAGCTGTCCGTGACGCTTCTCGATACCTACGGGGCACAGCCATTCGTGCGATGGTACTTGATGTGTTGTCAGGAAGTACTTCGGGCATCATGGACGGGTCGTCATTGACCGAACATCTTCATCAACGAGGTATCAACATGCGCTACTTGGGCTATCTCATGCACGAACTTTGGACATCGTCAACTCTAGAGGGTTCCAAGGATTCGGAGCAAGGCTTGTCCCTGACTCCATTGAAGGTGGGTACTTTGTTGGAAGGGTAGACAACGCTGATGCTCTGTAGGAGATAGTAGTCCAAGAAATGCTTTTCCGCTCCGCAAAGCATATTCTTCGCTGTCTCGTCCGCACCCTTCGTCTTGAAGAGGCTCCGAAGGCCATCTCGCATTTCCTGAACTGCCTTCTGGGAGCCGCATACAACGACTCACCCAAGCCCGAATACGAGCCCTGCGAACTGTTCGAAGAATCCGCTCCACATTATCTCACCCTCACACCCGCAAGTCTCAAGGCTGAGATTGTCTCTGACGTTGCCAAATGCTATCGATGGAGCTTAGCCGAGGAGGACTTCCAGAATATGAAAAGACCACAATTGTTGAAAGAGCTTGCGTCGCGATTCGCGTTTCAGCTTGGCCAGCGAGATTACGAATTTGAAATGGAGAAGGATGGTCAGAAAATCTCAAGCAAGCCAAAAGACTCTGCCCCGACGACTCGACAAACAACATTTGAACCATCTGACATCCTGTGTCTAATTCCCAGAGTCAAGTCGACGGCGCCTTCGGTCACAGTGGCGGAAGAACTTCTCAATATAGGTCGTTCAATGATGTCTCGTCCTGATCTTGGCCCGGGGCTAGAGGTGATCGCCGAAGCCGTGCAGCTATATCAGTCGATACATTGTGTGTTCCATCCTGAAGTCGCGTCGGCATACAACACGTACGCGTCCATGATCTACCGCACCGTTTTACGAGCAAAAACTGAGGGGTCTTCGGAAACATCTGCCGACGAGTCCAACGCCCTCAAGGATCTAGGTGTGGATCTCACGACTGGCATACGACTGCAGGGTCAGGCGTGCCTCATCGCTGAAAGGACTGTGGGTATCTGGCACAGCGACACGGCGGCGTACTATCACAACCTTGCTATGCTTGAAAGCCTTGGGGGGAATGCCCACGCCTCGCTGAGATTTTTCCGGCATGCTTTGAACATTTGGAGTGTGGTGTATGGCGAAGGGCATCCGGAAACTATCACGATCCTGGTATGTTCAGACTCTTTTACTCGTGTCTGCATGCCAGAAGATTTTCCATAGACAGTGCTGATGCGATAGAATAACGCGGGTGTTGCGCTGGAAACGCTCAAGCAGTATCCCACGTCGCTATCCCTCTTCCTACGAGCTCATCAAGTCACAGTCACTTCATTCGGACCACGACACCTCACCACTGCTCAAAGTCTCCATCAGTTGACCCAGAGTTATTTTGTGACTCGTGATTTCATCAAAGCATTGGAGTCTGCGACACACGCCCATTCCATTTACGAGGAGAAGTTAGGCAGCGATCATGCTCAGACCTTAGAGCTTGCCAAGAGTGTGGACTGGATCAAGCATGTGGTTGCAAGCTTGGACAAGTCACAGGCTGGTGCTGGCAACGAGCTGCGGGCCTCTGCCAGCCTGGATCGCACTACTTTGGCGACGGCGGGACTATCTGCATCTGACAGACTGAGAGCGATACGATTGCGAAGACTGGCTCGCGACCTACCCATTCAACACGGGAGGAATGAGACAAGACCAGAGCATGAAAACCAAACAAACGTACAACTAGATGGACAGCCAGCGGAACCAAGAGGGCCAGAGGTGACAGAATCGACGTCACTTGGAAGTAAAGACTTGGACGAGCTTGTACGTTATATTCACGGTGCTAACGAGCCGAAAAGAGGCAAGCACGCGCTCCGAGGCAAGAGACGCACTGGAGGAAAGCGGTGAGACCAAGGGGGGGGCGCAGGGAGATAGAGGAGGCGATGGTGATTGGGCGAGATAGATCTTGAAATCGTTGAAAACATTAAACACATACGAACAGTCATCACGACAACACATCTCCTCAATATTCACTGCTCATGCATCTGCATTCCATACCATCCGGGGTGATGAGCAGACTGACGACCTGTTGGCAGTGCACAGAAGTGAGATACACAGGTTTGTCCACACCAAGCTCTCACGTGACCGAGGTCATCCTTGCCATTCCATCCGACGCATCCATCCACCCAAATCTGTCGTTAGCTCGTCACTTTGTCATCATAGCTGCTGCTTGCTGCATGCTGCAGAAGTCATTGGAAATAATGTCAGGGACGCCAGCTGGGTATTCGAACCAACAAGAAGCCGAGTGCGCGCCTGTTATCGTAGGTCTGGCAGACGGCGGGAAACGAGTGCAACCTGATGGTCGTGAGTGAGCCGAGCCATCTTCCTATCTTACTACTCATCATCATCACCCTCTCTACTGGTCCCTACTTTCGTGTGTCGCCAGTCTGTTGGTCTCTCTTCAGCGTGATTACCTGTGCTGCATTCCAACAGGAGCTGATATCTAGACCCATTGACCCCCTCTCTTCTCAGCTATGCGCCACCTCCTCGACCTCGGCATTCTTCGCTGTTGCCTGACTCTACGCGAGAATTTGCCTTTTCCCATCCTTTGGTCACTGTCGCCTCACTCGGCGCATGTATGGGGGCCATATTCGCTTCCACCGCCATTATCACCCACACTCTCCTCCGCCGCGCGGGAGTTGCTCATCGTACCCACCAGGAATGGGAAAGAGCGGTGAGACGCCTACAAGGGTCCATCGACGCCCGCTTGCAGCTGTTGGAAGCTTCCCGTAGGGATGATCACACAGAGGTCAAAGAATTACTCGCCCGACCTGCCTCAAGTCTGAAGCCCCTCATCGACCAAGCTGGAGGCCATGAAAATCCTTCCGCTGCGAAGACACTGTCCGACGCTGGCAGCAGTCCGTACGACCGTACGATCATCTCCGAACACTCCCTGGAGTCGCTACGCCGTACCCTGGAGCAAATCGTATCAAGCCATTCTCTTTCCACTTCAGCTCAAATCCACGAACACATCGAGAGGTCTGTGGCAGGATCAAATCGCCTCGAAAAGCTGGTTGCGGCATTAGAGGCAAAGGTGAGTCGCTACATGTACATTGTGTCGTACCCTCTTCGTGACATTCCCGAGGGAGTTATCTTACGAACAGCTTCACGCTCTTACCTCCAGCTCAGCACCAAAATCCCCTATGATTGATGATGAACCCGCGGTCGTGTTCATCGATGGTCGGCCTGAGTCCAATCATCGACCTATCGCAAGCTTGCTCGACCTACGCACAAAACCCGTTCCCCAGACTGCTGAGCCCATTTTCTCCACGAGTGAGATCGGCAAAGCGATCAATAATCTCCGGATACAACACAACGCTGGACGGCACCAGTCTTTTCCTCGTCGCCAGGGAGATCAGCCAGCTCAACATGACGATGCTGATGCTGCGTCTACGAAAGTCTCGGTCGATGATTCCGGAATGGGCATTACCCAGACGATCAATCAGGCAAAAGGTCCGGGGTCTTATCCGCAATTTCCGAAGCAGCCAGATGTCTCTCACAATCCAGTCGGCGCACAAACCGACCCGTTCAAGATCATGGATTCGGGCGATCTAATAGCTAGTTCTGCTCAAGCTAAAGCGACGACAGAGCAACCGCGACGATCCTTGCCGAGCAGTTTCTTTGGGATTGACGAGTCTGGAATGTGGCGCTTCAAACTCCTCCCATCTCGTTCTCCATATCAGTCAGGGTTGTGGATGGAACGGCAGATTCTGCTGATTAGGGATCATCGGGCTGGCGCCTCGTGGGGAGTCTATAGCGTATCGTGGGTCAGGTGAGCTTGATCTCACATCGTACGAGTGACCGTCTTCGTGTCTCGCTGACATACATAGCGCTCAAGCCACCCGCAAGATCTTCGCGACCCACGCCAGGGTCTTTGACACTGAACAAGTGCTCTTCGTACAGCTGGACGGGGCTGTTTGGCGATGTGTTAAAGAGGACGCTTCCGACGGGTATGTCATTCACGACCGGCTCCGAGATGCTTAGGATCTTGTCGGGATCAGCCAAGTCGCCAACTTGATAGCAAACCATGTCGTATCTTCTCTCAATTGTAGCCAGTGACGCGTTGTATGCACAGCTCTGCCCATATCTGACTAGTCTTAATCACGATGCCTTCTGGAACCGTGCCCGTCCCGGTCGCCAAGCGGGAGATTTATTTGAGGATCCTCGTCGGGCAGCTGGGCTATCAAACAAAATGTAATGCATATCCTTCAAGAGTTGGAATGCAGGAACCAAATGGTGGTGTTGTACGGAGGGAATGCACCTGCGGTCTGATCGCGTCCACAGCATATCGGAGACCCACTTTCGACACGCTCATCGGAGAGCCCATCTGCCGTCAGCGAAATACAGTATTAGCGAAGGACCCACGTCTTGACGGTAAACAAGCCGGTCGGCATACCGTGCTGCACCTCCTCCTTGAGAACGACTAATCCAGCATCTTCGAATACTTCGCGCCACCGTCCGACCGACCTCGTTAGACTCGAATCTTGTTCGTCCAAAATCTCTCGGCTATCACCTGAAGGGTCGTCCTCGCACACATTTTCCTTGACGACTATGATACCGGAGTCCGTGAATGTGTGTGGGTGTCCTGATGCACCGGGATGAGTAGGGGTGAACGGTGTCGGGAGAGGATCGAAGGCCATCGAGGGTCTCAGAGCAGCTCGTGCTCTCTTGAGAAAGGCGACGAGATCGACGTGTGACATATGACCTGCGAGAGTGAGCCTTGACATTTATCTGGTTTCTCCACTCACCGAGGCACCACTGACACCAAATGCTGCAAGTCAGTCTTACGGTCACATCCAGTGTCCCAATGGAGGACTCACACGTCGTATAACATCCTCTCCGGGAAGGTGGTCCCATTCTGAGACGAGGCTTGGCCCACCGCTTGGCCGTTCATACAAGGGGCCACAGGTTCGAGAGTCTGCAGGCCGTTCTTGACGAACAGCACCTGCTTGTATGTCCCTTTACCTGTGAGGAGCCGCTTATTTAACGGCGGCACCTGTTCCGGGATAGTCGAATCGTGTGCCGGGGTGCTAGGGCTGAGATTTATACAAGGAGAGAGACCTGGCCAATCATCTGACAAAGCTGACCTATGGGCTTCACGGATAAAGTTGTTCGCCGGCTCGACAAGCACCACATCGTCGAAGAGTGGTAAGAGCACATTGCGCGACACACGTCCGATACCGGCGCCGACGTCGAGGGCGACCAAACGGTATGGCGGGGGGCGCGGTAGAGGGGTGAGGGGAGATGAGAAGACGTGAAGTTGCGGGAGTATGGAGAGAAGGAAAAGGCGAGAGGATAGTTGGTCGATATGAGGAACTGGCTATTGGGTGTAGAAGAAAGAGTAGTATCAGTCTACCATGAACCCTTGACAAACAAGAAAGACGCACACCGTTGCCGTAACCTCCTAGGACGCCATCGACTGAAGCTTCAACACCTTGCCAATACTGCACACCTTTGTCATAGTCAGGCCCAGGCGAGGATGCGATATCGCCACGGCTGAGAGCCATCCGAGTTATCAATCTCAGAATGAACCCAATGAGAAGGACGTGTGAGGGAGAGGGGCGACAATGAGCATGTACAATAGTAAGTACTGGAGTAGGTACTAGACTCAGCATGGGCGTTCTGCGAAACCACGACGTGGTCCACGGTATAACGATTACCAACATGGCAACTCGAACAAACAGATGGTGCTGGGCTACCATCTACCTGCTACATGCTACATGATGAGGACGCTCGTCATCTGTTGGACACGACGACCTTATCACGCACGACTCAATCAACTCTGATGCATCGTATCATTTCAAACTTGTTCTCATGGGTTATCCCATACCTTGCTTGTCTCCTCAAGTGTCGATTCCACGCCGTTTCTATCCCGTCCGCAGAGGAACGAGATCATCCCGAGTCGAAGTCGTATTCTTGTGTGGAGATCACCTGAACGAATCAGCCGCCTTTCAAGATGAGAAACGTCGGCAAGGAGCGATGAATGACGATGACCCGGGTTGAACCTTTGTACTCACTTGGACCTAGCTCTCATCTTTCTCCTCTTACGACGAAGCCTCCTCATACGCTTCTTACGCCACTTTTCACGCATGCTAAAGGCGACATCGACGAACGATGAAGATCGAAAAGGAGATATGCAGTTGGGAGATGTCGAGTGCCATGACGACAAGAACGCACAAGTGGGAATAACATGAAAGGAAGCGCAACAGAAAGAAAACAAGTCAGCTGAGAAATTCACTTTGGACGAACGCGCAAAGAACTCACCTGAACGATTTATAACGGTAAGCTGGGTGAAGAATGAATGGAAAGAATGAAACCTGGTTGCGGGGGCAAGTTGTACATGACAGACGACAGCCAGGGGGATCAGATAAGTTTTGAGAACCTGTGGCAGTCTCTTAACTCCGATGCCTGCGGCGCATGGCGGCGGTCGCATCGGAGTTAAAGATCACGGCGTTTCGCCACAGTCCCCAGGGCCGATGCCACCCTGCTGGCCTTGCTCCCACCTCTCACACACAATCCTTCTGGATCCTGCAGCGACTGTCCCATTCGAACATTCTCCATCTCGGAATCAGTGAGTGGAGCGTCTCTTGAGTGGTAGTAGGTCGGATCACTGCTGACATTCCCCTTCTCGTTGCGGTCTTCTGCTCTCCTGCTACCTATTTACGTTCCCCATTTCGTTTTCCAGAGATGCCTTCCCATGTGCCGATCGTGAAAAAGCGCACCAAGCCATTCAAGCGTCATCAATCGGATCGTTATCACTCTGTCAAAGAAGCATGGAGGAAGCCCAAAGGTATCGACAATAGGGTACGTCAAACTTTCCTCTCATGTCAGCGACTTTAGCTCTCGACCGCTACGACAACTTTATCAGAAAATCGTGAACACCTTCCATCTCCTCATGCCAATCATCCCGTCAGAATGTTCGCGTCATGCTGATTTGTGCAGGTCAGGCGTCGGTTCAAGGGGCAGCTACCCATGCCCTCCATCGGGTGAGTATCATCTGCTCCGTGCACAAACTTATACCTAATCTTTTTAGGTACGGCTCGAACAAGAAGACCCGTCATTTGATCCCTTCTGGGCACAAAGACTTCCTGGTTCACAACATCTCCGAACTTGAATTGCTCCTCATGCACAACAACAAATACGCAGCCTCGATCGCCCATGGAGTCAGTAGCAAAAAGAGAGTGGAGATCATCGCCAGAGCTAGAGCATTGGGAGTCAAGTGAGTCGTCATCTTCGTCTATGACCTGTATGGGCAGGGGCTGATCTGGTTTAGAGTCACCAACGCAGCGGGCAAGTTGCGAACCGAGGAGGCCTAGATGAGTATCATGGAACGCATGCTGCCGTAGCTTGGATGTATGATATCTCATTACTCTCACATGCCCACCACCCATTCCCTTGCGCGTTCTAAGCCAAACACTGACCCCGGCCCTCGACCTCAAGAATGATGGGGGATAATGAGGTGTATCATGTGTTTCAACAAACACCTTATCCCAATTCGCAAAATAGTGGCGATGCTGCGAAAGTGCTGAGTAAATACATCTCGAGGAGACGATCACGATAAATGTCTTCTTGGCGTCTGAAGCACTGATGGCGTTTGATCCGAGTATCTTTCTACAGCTCGTCATGAGACACTGCCTCTTCATCCGCCCACTCTTCGTCTTCTTCCTCCTGGGTCACGCCAGCCCTTCCAGTACTTTTCCGACTCTGCTCCACAAATTCGATTAGACTCTCCAGACTCCTGTCGCCGCCATAGTCGACGAAATCATTCCCACCGGCTGGGCGGAATTTCAATGTTGGGAAGCCTTGGACCCGGAAAGGCGCCTGTGGTGGCACGTCGTTCTCAGTGGCGTCCATCTGCGCACTGGGGGCGAGTCAGCTGTGCTTTCATACTCGATCATCAACTCACATGACGATATTCGGATCGTCCTCATACCGTTCTGCAAGCGTGTCCCATATGGGCGCCAGGCGTTCTGAGACGGCGTCAGTCTGGTGTCTGCGCGTTGTGACAATGATCCACTCACGGCAATGTCCACACCATGGAGCATAGAATTCGGCGAAGATGTCTTTCTGAAGGTCGCCGAACAGGCCGTCCCAGCCGTTGGCGGTGAGCTTGTAGACGGGATGATCCTGGGTAGCCGGCGCTGATTGGCTCTTGATGCTTGGGGCAATCTCTCCGTCGATGAATGAGCGCATGAATTGCTCTACACTTTCTTTGGTAACCTTTCCCGTTAAAGGGTATTTAGTCTGCTGCGCGAGATCCTGGACGACGAACGATGGCCAGACATCACCAGGCAGATTGAGTGATTTGCCGTGATCGACGAATTTGACTGCGTCGATGTAAACGAAGTTGATCTTGCCTTTCAGTTCCTTGGCAAGAGGAAGAATCGCGTCAATGAGACTGTCTCGAGTTGGTAAGTCCTCGGGATCCACAAAGAGATAGGCGATGGGGAGGCCTTGCTCAGCGTACATGCCGAAGTTTTCGGGAGAGATTTCGTCCATCAACGGAACAGAGTTCAACTTGACAAATTCCGCCAGGGATTCTCCTGTCGCAGATGAAAGCTCGTCGGACGGAAATACGGCGAACCCTTCATCAAATGATTTGTGTAAGATGACGGCAGGCAAGACAGGAGAGTCGGGTAGAACTGGCAGGGGTGATCCAGTGTATCGTCCAAACAGGTATGAATCTCGAGCGATGTTGGCATAATCATCAAAGACTTGGGGGATAGGGTGACTCGAATCACCGTATGCGACTAGGACACTTCAAGATCAGCCGCCGAGATAAACGGCTACAAGAACTCACACTTTGTCTGCCTTGATGAAATCGGCATGAGTCTCAAGCGTGACGTCGCTGACTGCCGGTAGACTCTGTCTGGTACCAGTCAGTGACGAAGACACAATGAAGGATGACGCTACTTGATCATGTAGCTGATAATCCCATCGGCTTTCCTTGGACCAGCATAATCTGTGGGGCTGCCGTTTCGGAACACTTTTAACGTCGGGTAACCGTTCACACCGTACTCGGAGCAGAGCGTTTGCTCGGCGGTGCAATCAACCTGCCGCATGAGTGCGACCTCAAAAGACGGATATCGTGCACTAACCTTGGCCAGCTTGATATTCTTCTTCCCCTTCAGCTCAGAGGCAGCTTCTTCATAATGGGGAGCGAGACTGCTTCATCAGCAAAGGCCAAGCAATGGTCGGCTTATTGGGGACATATCATGTGACATACTTCTTGCAGTGTCCACACCCTGCAAGCACGATCAGCGGCATCGACCCAAGCAGATATATTACTCACAAGGCGCGAAGAATCTGACAAGACGAGGTCAGCGATTTTTCTGAGCATCGGGGGGGCAAGCATGTGACTCACTCGACCAAAGCCAAATCTTCCTGCAGAATCTCATCCTTGAAGTTGTTCTCGTTGAGGTCGATCACGTCACTCGCTAATACTACCGGTAGAATTCCCGCAATTATGGCTACAGCAGCATGCCACTTCATTGTCACTCTGACGATTTCTTGAGCACCTCAATGTCAAAGGTAAGTTGACAACAGCAGGTGCTACTCGCTCACAGAATCCCATGACGCGCAAAGGCGCTTCCACGTCGACACTGCCACAAGTCCGGGGTCACCGCAGTTATGGAATTACCATTGGTTCCGCGGGCCTTGATGTCACAGGCTATCCTTTAACATCAGCTGTCACAAGAGGAAAGGTCTTAATTACGCTTTTTGGAATGTTTTTGGACTTACATACGCCTTTTCCGAGATTTGTTTTTGGACTTACATACACCTTTTCCGAGATTTGAGTCTTTAACTATGTCTTTTGGCTGGGGGAAGGATCCGTTTTACTGCCCCCCAGTTAGGGTGGACTATGGGCACCAAGTTGGGGGGGAGGGTTAATTGACCATGCATATTGATGTTAGGCGGTTAGGGGGCTAGGTGGTCAGGGGTGGAGGAGAGTGTTTTTATTGCATGCAAAGCATGCATTGGGCGTCCAGGAAGGGAGGTGTAACTAAGTCCTTCTTTTTGAGATGGGTGTAATTAAGTCCAAAAATGTTTGAAGCGGCGTGATTATGTCATGAATGACACTATCAAATAATGACTTGTCATAATCACAAGTTCAAACCTCCACTCTCATATCTTTCCTCTGCTCTCAAGCCTATCAGGCATCAACTTCAAGTGTATTCTTCCTCTGCTCTCATGCGTAGACAGGCATAAGCTCCAAGTACTTCTCTAGTTTCTCTTTCCTCTGTTCTGATGCCTTGTAAGGCATAATCTCTCAGTCTCTTGTTCTTGCAGCTCTTCTATGTTCTGCATAGTTCCTCATAGTTCCTCATCGACCACCTACGACAAAGTCACCATCTCACAGCGCATCACGTAGGATATCATAGTAAGACGTAGGTAAACGCAGATATGGCATTGTAGGATATCAGTGGTAATCAGTGGGATGCATGGCAATGCATGCAGGACAGTGCAGGACGGTTCAGAGCGCTTGTATTCCGCAGGTCTGCACAAGCCTCCTGGAAAAGGCTGATTTTAGTTTTTAAACCCTATCTAGTGCTGTAGTTTTCTTCTTCAGCAATGTATCTTTTCAATTCCCTTCCCCTCGTTTGATAAGTCACTCAGTTGGTTCTAACCCAACTTCTCGAACCCTCAGTATCCAAGGCAGTCACCAAGGTCCACAAGCCAGAGACTAAACCCCTCAGATCCCAAGGCAGTCCTTTGCTACCGCAGTCTACCTGCAGGCGTGATAAATTAAGACCTTTCCTGGCTGTCTGTCACGAGGACCAACTAACCAGCATTGGCTTGATATAACAGTGCCCAACGGAACAGTGATCTTAACCACTGCGACAAAAACACCTATTAATCAGCGGTTAACCCTACCGCCAATCGCTGGTTGAAGACCCTTCCCCGACTTTCGCTCGACTTGTCACAGGCTTTGTGACACTGTCACCATCATCATTTCGTCTCCTCCCAGCTGACCGCCGCTCAACAAACAGCTAACTACGCCGTAGTTCTCCATGTGGCGGGGTTGTTGTGACTAATACCCCTCCTAGGTTCTTGTCACTTTGCTGCAGTTGGTATCAGCAATTTGGGGTTGTGGTGGTTGATGATGGATCTGGGGTCGGTGAAAGGAGGGTCTGTTATGACACTGCATACAAGGAGGTATGATTGGTATTGTAGAGCATGACAAGGAGCATGATGTGGAATAGGAAAATGAAGCTTATCAGGGTCAGACAGAGATCAGGACATTAAGAGACTCGGTAAGGATTGGTCATTGCTTATTCAGCACAGGATTGGTCATTGCTGATTCAGCATGGGGATTAGTAGTGCTTACTCAGCTGCTTGATCAGCAATGACATCATTGCTTGATAAGCTGCTTATTCAGATGCTTATCAATCATGACGTTATTGATGATTCAGCAAGGTGGAGGTAGCCGGTTCATTTTGTAGTTCGGTAGGAACAGAGGTCTATATAGGAGCACTGAATTCACTCTTTTCCCTCTGTTGTAGTGAACCTGGCTGTCCCCTACATGAGGAGTAGTCCATAGTTCCCTTCCTCTCCCTTCTCCTTCTCACCCATCTGATACTTATTGTAGTTCCTCCCTAGCAAGAATCCTATTCCTCCTTTTCTCTTTCCGTAGACAAGTCGTCCTTCTTCTTAGAGGACTCCTAAACCGTAATAATCCCCGTACCGTCAAATATGGCGTAGCTGTTCCGTACTACGGGACCCCAATCATGTATATAAGCTGGGTCTGAGGGGGATCTCTTCCTCCATTGTCTTTCTTCTCCCATCCTCTTTTATCTCACTTCTTCTTCCCCTTCCTTCTTTCCCTCCTTTTCCCTCCATCCTCTCTCAGACCCTCTTTGGTTTCCTTGACACACTCTTTACTTACATCTACTGACCTTTGATCATTGCTGGCTAGTATTATCCACATCACAGAGTTCCGATTCAGTATCCAGCCCTACGGGTAGGTTACATTTATTTATTTGTGGTGATCCTCACAAGCAGGATCATTACATCTGTCAATGAATTCTCATAAGTTACTCTCATAAAACTTTGCCACTCACTCTACTCACCCCTTGTTATCTTAGTGACTTACGTCATAATGCATTCACCACTGAGGTGCTTGTCATCATCGTCCAATCCACTCTACGCTATCACTTTGTCTTCCGTCGCTGTAGTCCACTGAAGTTGGGTCTGGTCACTGCCTAGCTCTCAGTCATAACAGGGTCCATGATGGTGTTTGTCAGGGGATGTCACGATATAGTTTGTGACAGTCGCCCCCTCCTTAGGAGCAAATGTCCTTGTGAGCTTGATATGCCTGGTGTTGGTGGAGAAGACACTCAGTGGGTTACAGTATTGCTACTTTCCTTGTTGTCAACCAGCATTTCTCAAACCATGTTAACATCTGTTGGTCAAGGTACCTCTGGCTTTGGCCAAGTTTGCTGGTATTGCTTGTTGTTATCGGCCATAAACATGTTGTGTGTGAGACACTGGTTTTAATGTCCATTGGATTTTGTCAATGTTTGATTGTTGTCATGGTGTTTATTGTTGCTGAGACACCATCTTATGCAAGGTTGCCAGTGCCCTGACAACAGGCAGTCAAGTCAGTCATACTAAATACTCAGCACTTCAGCCCACTTCCCCTTGTTCCCCAGTACTATCTATCCATCAATTGTACTTCTTTCATCCATTTTATTTTTTTCTTTAACCTTACCAAATCCAACCGTTTTATATATTTCATGTCTTCTTGTCCTGAACTCGTTGTGCAGCCATTTTTTCTAGAGGCTCTTGCGGGTGCTGGTGTCATACATCACCTATCTGCCACTTGTCAAACTGCTTTTGCACAATCAGACACATGAAACACATACCCCTGAATACCTCCACCTCCACCTCCACATTTTGGAACCTTCCACCATTGCCTCTGTCACAAGATCCAACTAACTAGCATTGGCTCAATATAACAGTGCCCAATGTGACAGTGTTCAGGGCATCTAAAACCACTGTGACAAAAAGGGCTATCAATTGGTGGTTGACTCTACCACCAATCACTGGTTAAATACCCTTCCCCAACTTTCACTCAACTTGTCACATCCTTTGTGACATCATGCACTCTCTTGCAGTGTTGTGACTTTACGGCGTAAATACGAATGGTCGTAGAAACGCTGATGGAGACCTCCGTATTTACGTTGTAAATCGTAAAAACCGCCTTGTAAAAACCTACCAGCTGGGACAAGTTTTGGAGAGTTCAGGAGGTTTCAACCCCTTATTGTCACAATCGTCGTTTCTTCTCCTCTTCTGACCGACGGTCGACAAACCTCGGCTAACTACGTCGTAGTGGGGCGTCGATGTCTCACTAGGACAGGGTACTCGTAGGGGAACTACGGCTAACTATGCCGTAGTAATAGGTCGAGTGGTAAGTGATAAGGTGATCGTCGAATAACTGCGGCTAACCTCGCCGTAGTACGTCGAACTGCTCGGTGGTAGCTCTCCTTAACTCGGTGGTTGTAGCTACTGAATATATCGCTCGCTACTGACAACAATCAAGGATCGCTGAAGAAGTTCAGCGACCTGTAACCTATCTATACTACTCCTCACTTCTCATAGAACGTCCCTCAACTCCTGCACTGCCTCACGCTCAGTCCTCTTCGTTCAACCTCGCCGTACCTCGCCATATCCCCGAGATCCTACTCTACTCACTTCGACTAACTTCGCCTAACTTCCCCTGCTCTGCTACCCCTCGGTTCCCTTCCCCTAACTTCGCCGTAGTTCTCCGCTAGGCGGGGTTGTCGTGACAAATAATACCCTCTTGGTTCTCGTAACTTCGCCGTAGTCCGTCTCAGTGGTTCGAGTGGAGGTTGGTGATGATGAAAGGAAGGTCGGTGATGAGGAAAGGAGGGTCGGTGATGGCGGTTGTCAGGGATGTTACGACGTAGTTCGTGACACTTATCAACCCCAAAAAGGCAATACCTGGTGAATGTGGCTATCGTAAATACGACAGGTCCTCTGGAGCAGGCGTATTTACACCGTAAAATATGTCGTAAACGTAAAACGTATTTACGCCCGTAAAAAAAAGGTCCCAACACTGCTCTCTTGGGCCCCCAACAAGGGGACCCCGCTTAGGCCCCCACACTGGGAAGGGTACAACAGACCAAAAACTTACTCCAGGAGGGAGGTTTTCCAAGTAGGGCCTAGGTTACCCCCGGCGCCATCCGGGGAGTCAAACCAAGGATCCTACCTTTAACTGCTGAATAATCTGTCACAAGGACCAACTAACCAGCATTGGCTCGATATAACAGTGCCCAACGGAACAGTGATCTTAACCACTGCAAAGAAAAGGCCTATTAATTGGTGGTCAACTCTACTGCCAATCACTGGTTAAATACCCTTCTCCGACTTTCACTCAACTTGTCACATCCTGTCTGACATCCCCAAAGCCTTGTTCATCATGTCCAGAAGTCCCAAATGTGTCCTCCACTGTCCCTGCTCCTACAAAGACTCGTTCATGGTGTCCAGTAGTGCCAAAGACGTCCTCCACTGTCCCTGCTCATACGAAGACTTGTCCCTCCAAGTCAGCCAAATCACAGTCAGCCGCTTTGGTGACTCCGACAATGTTGCCTGTAGAGGAAATGTGTCACGAGAGCAACTAACCAGCATTGGGATGATATAACAGTGCCCTTCAGAGACAGTGGTCTAAATGTCGTGAATAGTGATAAGGAATTCTGACTCATGCTCAGATAAGTGATAAGGAAATATGACTCATGCCAGGAACTGTGATAAGGGATGATGGAAAATATTAGTCATGGTATTTAGCAGTTCAGCAGTGAGGCATTTACGTGATCGGCTGAAGCCTGGAAGGTTCAGCAGTTTAGCAGTGAGGCATTTATGTGATTGGCTGGACTTAGTTTCCCGTGGTGTGCTCACTTTGAGGCATTTACGTGATTGGCTAAAAAATCCCTCACACACTTTTTATTTAGTACACCTACTTTAGTTTTGAAGGGTATAAAAGGAGCACATCTCCCCCCTCTTTCTTCAGCAATGTATCTTCATCTTGGAGTTGAACTTCATCTTTGAAAGTCACCTAGTTGCTTCTAACCCAACACCTCAGTACCCTCAGTACCTAAGGCAGTCATCAAGCTCTACGAGCAAGAGACTAAAACCCTTCAGTACCCAAGGCAGTACTTTGCTACCGCAGTCTACCCGCAGGCGTGACACTAAACCATTGCGCTAAAAGGCCTATTAACCGCCGGTTAATGTCACAAGACCAACTAACCAGCATTGGGACAATATAACAGTGCCCTTCAGAGACAGTGGTCTAAACCATTGCGCTAAAAGGCCTATTAACCGGCGGTTACTGCAAACCGCCGGTCACTGGTTAAATACCCAACCCATCCAACTCTAACCAAACTGTCTTGTCACTTCGTGACAAAATGGCCGGTCATTGTTGTTCCTCCTTTACTTCAGCATTGGTGGAAGCACTACAGCCTGTATTTCACAGCAGTGCCAATTCTGTCATGAGGAATTCAGAGGATGCAGTGAGAGCTTCAAAAAGCTCTGCTGCTGATTTGGTCTTGGAAGATGCGATGGCAGAGGAGAGAGAGCAGAGGTATCTTGCCAGCTGTTGCAAGCATGGGGTGGATTATCCAGGCATGGCCAGACTCAATGGCTCTGTTCAAGATAGTGTCGGTATGCTGCTTTGCTGGCCCCCTCACCATCCGCATCCCCATGTCATGACAACCGCCAAATGGACTCCACGCTGTCTGATCCGGAAGTGTCACAAGACCAACTAACTGTCACGCCCGTCAATTAGGTTCTCTCTAACGTACTGACGGTCGACGAACCTCGGCTAACTTGACACTTCAGACTCGATGTCTCACCCAACCAGGAGGGTTCAGACTTCGAAAGGAGTGTAACTACAGCTTACTTTGATGTTGTTACTCTAACTAGGGTTTTTTTACTGATGGCAATGTATCTTGATTTAAATGTAGCTATCTCTATCAATCTTCCACTACTGACAACAATCAAGGATCGCTGAAGAACCTCAGCGATCTTCTCAGCTAATATTATCTACTCCTCCTAGACGTTCACCCAACCCTCTTGTGCTTAGACGTACTTCAACGCACTTCGTCCAACTTCCCCGAGTCCCCGGCCATCCTTCTCCTCCTTTGACTTACTCCGCCTAACATCGCCGCACTTCTGCTTCCATTGTCCCTACTCAGCCTAACTCCGTCTAGCTTCGCTGTAGTTGGTCTCAGGTGTCCTGAGTTAAGTGTAGGGTGGAGAGGTTAAGACGTGATAGGGGTTTTGATGGTCAAAGGAGGGTCATTGCTGGTGGAATAATTGAGGTGTCACGAGGTAGTTCGTGACACTAACCAGCATTGGGACGATATAACAGTCCAAATCGGAACAGTAATCTTGACCACTGCAACAAAAAGGCCTAATAATCGAAGGTCAATCGTTACCGTTGGTCGCTGGTTAAATACCCAAACCATCCTAACACTCTCCAAACTAACTTATCACGTCCTTTGTGACAGGAAGGGCCATCAAGCCTACTCTTTTGGAACTATGGAAGTGAAACAGCCGGGTATCAACCCCAAGAAACTGCCTACTTGGTGGTATCCATTCCCCATGAAGGCAAAGACGTTCCCGTACATGCAACAGAGTAGTGAACTTCTTGACACATTGACAGAGATATTCCATGTATTGCTACAACACGTCAAAGAAGTGCCAATGATCAGACAAGCAAGACCTTCTTTGGCAGTCGCACAGGGTATGTTTGCCAAAGAATGGGTTAGTATGGCTCTGGACAGATTTGGTGAGCAATCTGCCAACCGTCATATGAAAAGGCACAACCTCTCACTGAACTTTCCTGCATCTTTCATCCCAAACACCCTCTCTAACGATCATGCGTGTCACAAACGTCGGTTCTTCTTCTCTACTGACTGACGGTCGACAAACCTTGGCCAACTACGTTGTACTAGGGCGGTGGTGACTCACTGAGACAGGGTACTTGTTGGAGAACTATGGCTAATTGCGCCGTAGTAATACGTCAAGTGATAAATGATAAATGATAAGATGATCGTCAATGAACTGCCGCTAACTTCACCGTGGCACGTCGAACTGCTGAGTGATAGCTCTCCCTAACTCAAAGGATGTAGCTACCAAATATATCTCTCACTACTGACAACAGTCAAGGATCGCTGAAGAGTTCTGTGATCCGTAAACTATCTATACTTCTCCTCTCTTCTCATAAAACATCCCTCAACTCCTGCACAGCCTTGTGCTCAGTCCTCTTTGTCCAACTTCACAATTCCTCGCCATATCCCCGATGTCCTACTCCGCTCACTTTGCCGCACTTTGTCTTACTTCCTCCACCCTACCCTGCATCCCTTGGTTCCCTTCTCCTAACTTCTCCGTAGTTCTCCGCCAGGCGGGGTTGTTGTGACAAATGGTCCCTAGGTTCTCGTAACTTCGTTGTAGTTGGTCTCAGTGGTTCAGGATTGTGGTTGTTGGTGATGGATAGAGGTTTGGTGATGGTGAAAGGAGGGTCAATGATGGTGGCTGTCAGGGGATGTCACAATATGGCTTATGACAATGCCACAATACAAGGAGTGGCCTTTTACAGAGGAGGGCATTGAATGGCAAACCAATCTTTGCTTGGAGTATCTCTTTGAATTTTGCATGGCTATCAAGTGTGGTATGCCATTGGACACCGCTCTCCCAATTCAGCCATTTGTGGGTACGGATTTGACATGGCAGTAAATTATGCCATGTTCCTGCAAGATGTCAAAGTGCCAGTCCTTGACCGGTGGCTTTACACAACTTCTTTGTGGCCAAGGGGTGAAATGTTGTTTTGTCAGATGAATGATGAAATCATCAAGATGAGAAGTTGAGAGATGTCATCAGGTCAGGTGAAGGACAGAGACAGCGTACCTCCGCAAATTCTCTGCTGGATTGAGGATCAGTGTTTGGATTCCAGACCGGTAGATGAGAAGAACAGGATCACTTTCCTCTTTACGGTATTGACTGCATTGCGTCAGAGGGAGGTTGACTTGGTGCCGAAAGAAGTCAGGCAAGCCCGAGCAGCCAGATCATACCATACTCAAATGAACAATCTTGCCACACGGAGTGATGCAGAGATCCTAGAAGATGCTTGGTGTGAACAAGTTGCCCAAATAGAACGTCAGAGACGAGCCCCTTGAATCCTTCAACCCAATGATGAACCTCGAGGTCCAGAAGCAAGGCTTCATGGGTTGAAAGCACTCAGCAAGATCACACCCAAGACAAAGGTGTAAGCAGTAAATACCACACTCAAAACTCTGAAGAGACATACCACCAAACGTGAGGAGTGCCTCGAGACCGGTGCAGCAGCCGATACAGTGATCTGTGCTATGCTACAAGAAGATGGAGGATTTTTCCGTTGGTACAATGTTGATTTGGACGGCATAGGTGCAACCTCAGCCAATACGAGGACCAATGGGCTGCTGGATCAGATGTTCACTGAGGCTCAGTTGGACTATGTGTCAAGCGCTGGACCTGCCGGCTATTACGCCATCGAGATGTGGTGGTGCCATTTGGGATGGCTCTATGCTCGTTCGACCTGTCAGAGGTCATCAGTCTGTTCTACTGTGGATTCTCAGTTCTCTTTGAGTAACTCCAAAGTCCAACTCAAATTGACCAATGGATTGTGCTTGTTGTGTAAGGAGACAATCTTGGGGAGCGGGACGGAGCCACAATGCAGACCTGTAGTGGGATGGACAACCCTTTGAGAGTTTAAGGTTTCTAAAAGAGTGCTGGGCCGTCTCCTGCTATGAAAGTACCCAAGCTCACTCATTGAAAGGAGAAAACTGTTGGACTGGCCTATCACACTGGTGTCAGCCGCAGGGCCAGCACTGGTGGTGATAATGCGCCTGTATGCCTCACAATAGCCGCGGATAACAGAAGAGGTGCCCCATTCCACCTTGATTTAGAACAACTGCCTCCTCCGACTGTCAGTGCATTGTTTCCGAACCAAAAACGTAGACAAGCCAAACAAGTGATGCACAACAAACGGAATAAAGCCGCTGCAACCAACGAATCTGATGCTCATCTTGATCAGGACAAAGCAGACCTGTCACTCAAAAGCATGGACCCAATTTGTGAAAGCTCACAGGGATTAGACATTGAGGAAATGCCAAAGAGGAGACACATCATTGAAGGTATGCTGCTTGAATTATGTCAACCATCTGAGCCTCCGATACTCAAAAGCTCAACTGAATCGGCCAACGAGGAGGTTTTGCCTAGAAAAAAAGCAAAGAAGGAGGTCAATAGTGGAAACATATCCGCCCAGTTGCCAGATGTCCAATATATCTTGAGCAATGACAATTTTAGCAGTATACTTTTATCATCTCCTCTGGTATCCACAGCTTTGTGACCTGCAAACAAGAGCTCAGGACGTCTCTTCCCCGAGTTGTTAAACCTCTAGCTCTGTGTTCACCCCCGGAATCAAAGACACATATTATTCGGCAACGACGGAAGAAATTCCCAGCTCAATCCACGACTCTGTTGAAGGATCCGGATGGAATGCTATCCATGGGGACACACCATCATTGCCAAACCGACCCAACTGATAGGTGTGAACTGGGGAAGAAAGGTAACACTACATGACACATTTCCTAAGCCGTTAAAGGAGCAATGCTGATTGTTGCAGAACCCTCTCACAAAATCATCTCGGCGTTCATCTGGTATACTTTGATGCTACTTCTCTGGCTACTGTGTTAGCTGATTTACTCTAATGTCACCTTTTGTAGGTATTGTACATGGACAATGATGCACTTCCCGTCTGAACTTTTTCTTAAAAAAAAAACAAGTCCCAAAGGATGTGACAAGTCGAGCAAAAGTTGGGGAAGGGTATTTAACCAGCAATCAGTGGTAGGGTTAACCACAGATTAATAGGCCTTTTTGTTGCAGTGGTTCAGATCACTGTTCCGTTGGGCACTGTTATATCGAGCCAATGCTGATTAGTTGGTCCTTGTGAAACGACTGTTGGTCAGCAGGGGAGAGGAAGTGAGGTTTGTGACAGTATCAAGGATTGCTGTTACCAACAACCCGTACAAACCTTGGAGGAGTTTGAGATTATATGGAACCAGGAAGAAGAGTTACAAGAAGTATGAGTAGACCAGGAGAAACAGCAGAAGAGATGGGGAGAAAAATGTTGGAGAAGTTAAGACAAAGCTTGGGACAATGGCCTGGCGCAATTGATACTCCCAAAGGCTCAACACAAGGAGATGAGTTCTATCTGTCAGATGTAGAAGTAGAATGCATAAAGAGTACAATATTGACAGAGGTTAGATATGAGACGAGGGAATACGCGGAAATAGCAAAACCACTCCAATGTGGCAGTTACCAATTGCACCATTTCCGACACCCACACTCAAGCGGATCTGCCACATACCCCTAATGACACTCTCAGTCTATCAAATGTATCTGAAGGAAGAGCTCTTGTCAATAAGTCGGCCATATTCTCTGCTGAGGGAATATGTGACAGAGCGACAGTGTTGTCTTCAACCTTCTCCCGAATATAATGATGTCGCAGGTCAATATGTTTTGTCTTGTTATGATGAACTGGATTCTTGGCAAGAGCTATAGTTCCCGCATTATCATTGAGAAGTTTCAAAGGTTCTTGACCAAGTCCAAGTCCCAAATCATCCAAAAGTTGTCTTAACCATACAGCTTGGCGTGTAGCATCTGAAGCTGCCATGTATTCCGCTTCTGTTGTTGAAAGCGCAACTGTAGGTTGTCTCCTACTTTTCCAAGCAACAACTCCACCATAAACTTTAAAGACATATCCAGTAGTTGATCTTCTAGTGTCCAAATCTCCTCCCCAATCTGCATCTGCATAACCCAAAGCAATGCGATTGCTATTCTCTTTGTTGAAGGTGAGACAAAGATCAGAAGTACCACGGATATGACGAAGTAGGTGTTTGACCGCTTTCCAATGTGAGTCATTCCATTTACTGAGAAATCTAGATAAGAGACTTGCTGGAAAAGCAAGATCAGGCCGAGTAATGGTTGAAGCATAAAGGATTGCCCCCATTGCTTGGGCATATGGGTAGTGTTTTGCTTCATCGTGTTCTTGATCTGTTGCAGGGATTGGACGAAATCCAGAAGGTAGAGGAGTTTTTGCTGTCGGAAATTCAGCAATCGGGTAACTGCCACATTGGAGTGCTATCGCTATTTGCGCGTATTCCCTCATCTCATATCTGACCTCTGTCAATATTGTACTCTTCATGCATTCTACTTTCTACATCTGACAGGTTATGAGCCTGAATCATCTCTTTAAGACGTTCTATCACTTCTTTAGGACTCTATCTAATCGCTCCCGACACCCCTGAGGTCCCTCCAGCATCAGTAGAATCAGTAGAATCATCACCGGTCAAAATTTTCATTTCCACTCCTCCTCCTTTCGCTTGAAATTGATAACTTTTGCTTTCGCTCTGTCTCTCCCAATACTGCTCCAATCTTCGATATCTCTTCGAATCCGAACTCGCCATCGCCGCATCGACTACCACCGTCATTGACAGCTCACCAACATTGCCGTGTAGCACGTTACAGGACAAGTCAAAATTTTATCGCCATTTCCTTCTCTCATTTTTGAGGAAACGCCTTTTCACACAGGTCAGCGAGTTCTTTACAGAACGTTACGCTCTTGGGATCATCTGGAAGGGGACAGTTGGGACTTTCTGGTGCAGAAGTAGAATTTGGTTTTGGATAAACGGTCACAGAGTGAGAAGGAAAACAGTTTGAAGCAAAATTCTGTAAGAACATTATCACCTTTCAATCCTTCTTTCCTCTTTTTCGCTACCATTTCACCAATATCACACTGTTCCCAGCACTCTTTACATTTCCGAAGTTGCCACACACTGCCTTATCATCTCCATCGAACAGATTCATTGCTTGGAATCTGCTTTCGCTCTCTCTCCCCCAATACAGCTCCGATTCTCAATATCTCTTCGGATTTGAACTCGCCACTACTCGATTGATCACCGTGGCACTTGAGAGCTCACCAGGATCGACTATTAGAACGATACAAGAGCAGAAAATTTTTATCTCCATCCCACTCAATGAGTTTCTCAAAATTGCTATTTCCACACATCTCAGCAGGTTCTTCTCAAAACGTAACACTCTTGGAATCATTTGAAAGAGGAGAGTTAGAACTATACAGAGCAGAAGAGAAATCCGGTTTTGGACAGACGGTCAAGGATTGAGAAGGACAAACACCTTAGGGCGAAATTTGGAAAATTTTGTAAGAACAATATACCCCTCCTGTCAGATGTAGAAGTAGAATGCATGAAGAGTACAATATTGACAGAGGTCAGATATGAGACGAGGGCATACGCGGAAATAGCGATAGCGCTCCAATGTGGCAGTTACCCGATTGCTGAATTTCCGACACCTCCTTGGTCTCTGACAATCAATTTTCCTTCTCATTCCATCAATTTCGCTTCATTCTCATCGCTCTCTACATTTCTGGAATCGTCACACGACACTCTATCCCCTGCCAAAATCAGATCCGAATTTCGTTGAACGGTTGAACCAGTAGATTTAAAACATCAAATCCGAGATTTACAACATTTCCTTACCTAAATCGTCTAAATCGACATTCTCTCCCCATCTCCTCAATTCTATCTCATCTGTCCCGCTCTGAGTTGTACCTAGACAATTGCACCGCGTTCTTTCTAGATCTGAAATCAAATCGAAATTTCGTCGGACCATTATCTCAGAATATCAAAAATAAAATTAAATCTCCGAGCAAACCATTCCTTCTCTTTCACCTCGTTCCTCTTATTCCTCAAATCCACGCTTTACGGCAAGCCTCTGGTATCGATCGACGCTCTCGGCTGGGAGTGAAGGCAAGTCCTGCAGAAGCGCAGGTGAAAAGTCGAAATCACTTCCACACTTTCGCTTTTTCTCTCATTCGTTTACAATACTCTCTTCTTCCTCCTAAAACCGGACCTGTTTTATTGTGGGAGGTGCATCGTGTATTGCTTTAGATACAGCAGTGTAGGCAAATCTGGACACCCCAGTGGTGCGCCTCTGAGTCCTAGGACATACCAAGCGCGCCTCGCAATCAGCTGAGTCACTCTGAGAGTCTGTTCTTTGTTGTTTGAACTTCACTGATTTTACATTTTGCAAAATATCGCTTTTTCCATTATCTCAACCAATACTCCACCTCCAGTCCTCTTACGTCTCCCACACATCCGCTACCATTGCGTTCATCACCACCCTCGATCGCAGCATCGTAGCATCAGTCGTTTCGAAGTTATCTGGACTTGGTAAATTTGACACCACAATCCAAATTTAAAATCGCAAAAGTCGTCTTTCTCGTTTTACTTGGTCCACTTCAAACCGACTGGGCTGGATTTTACTACACCTGTAGTAACACATTGCGTCTACCACCACATCCAAAATCAGCTCCGTTCCTTCATTCCTTATCGAGATATTCGATCTCGAAAAATGTCCGACTCATCTGACACCGAAGTAAAAGTGAAAATTGTAAAATTGCGAGGAAGCGAGAATTATGCGCAATGGGAAGCTCATGTCGCTACCACACTTATGGGCAAAGGATTACTACCGTATATCGACGCCGAACCGCCATCTAAAGACTTGAAAGATAAGGAAAACATCAAAGATCGTCTGAAAAGCGCAAAAGCGTATTCGATAATCTTTCAATCGCTTGCAGAAACAATCTCATCAGCTTTGACATCCGATGTGAAAGGCTGGAAATCGCCAAATCCGAAATTGCTTTGGGAGGAGATTAATAAACAGTATTCTGCAGCTGTTGGAGCTAGACAGGCTGCGCTGTTTCAAGAAATGGCTCAAAAAACAATTTTAGAGGGGAAGGATCCCATGCCTGCGCTTGCAGCACAGCGCAGTGCACATGCACAGTTAAATTCGGCTGGGGAGAATGTCACAATCGTCGTTTCTTCTCTTCTACTGACCGACGGTCGACAAACCTCGGCTAACTACGTCGTAGTGGGGCGTCGATGTCTCACTAGGACAGGGTACTCGTCGGGGAACTACAGTTAACTACGGCGTAGTGATAGGTCGAGTGGTAAGTGATAAGATGATCGTCGATGAACTGCGGCTAACTTTGCCGTAGTACGTCGAACTGCTCGGTGGTAACTCTCCTTAACTCAATGGTTGTAGCTACTGAATATATCGCTCGCTACTGACAACAATCAAGGATCGCTGAAGAAGTTCAGCGATCTGTAACCTATCTATACTACTCCTCACTTCTCATAGAACGTCCCTCAACTCCTGCACTGCCTCACGCTCAGTCCTCTTTGTTCAACTTCGCCGTACCTCGCCATATCCCCGATGTCCTACTCCACTCACTTCGACTAACTTCGCCTAACTTCCCCTGCTCTGCTCTCCTTCGGTTTCCTTCCCCTAACTTCGCCGTAGTTCTCCGCTAGGCGGGGTTATCGTGACAAATAATACCCTCTTGGTTCTCGTAACTTCGCGGTAGTCCGTCTCAGTGGTTCAAGTGGAGGTTGGTGATGGTGAAAGGAAGGTCGATGATGGTGAAAGGAGGGTCGGTGATGGCAGTTGTCAGGGATGTTACAACGTAGTTCGTGACAGAGAACTTGTCAGACAAAATGCTAGCTTATGCTATGAAATTGTGTCAGATGTAGAAGTAGAATGCATAAAGAGTACAATATTGACAGAGGTCAGATATGAGACGAGGGAATACGCGGAAATATAGAAGCGCTCCAATGTGGCAGTTACCGATTGCTCTATTTCCGACACCCCCACTCAAGCGGATCTGCCACATACCCCTAATAACTCCCTCAACCTATCAAATGTGTCAGAGGGTAAGGCCTTTGTCAACAGGTCTGCAATGTTCTCAGCTGAGGGAACATGTCCAAGAGATACTGTATTGTCCTCAACTTTCTCACGGATGTAATGATGTCGCAAGTCAATATGTTTTGTCTTGTTATGATGAACTGGATTCTTGGCCAGAGCAATAGTTTCCGCATTATCGTTTAGAAGTTTCAGAGGTTCTTCACCAAGTCCAAGTCCCAAATCATCCAGAAGTTGTCTCAACCACACCGCTTGTCTTGTAGCATCTGAAGATGCCATGTATTCAGCTTCTGTTGTTGATAGAGCAACTGTAGGTTGTCTTCTACTTTTCCAAGCAACGACTCCACCATAGACTTTGAAGACATAGCCAGTTGTAGATCTTCTGGTGTCCAAATCTCCTCCCCAATCCGCATCCGCATAACCTAGAGCAATTCTACTGCTGTTCTCTTTGTTAAAGGTAAGACAGAGGTCGGATGTACCACGGATGTAACGAAGTAGGTGTTTAACGGCTTTCCAGTGTGAGTCATTCCATTTACTGAGGAATCTAGATAAAAGACTTGCAGGAAATGCAAGGTCTGGTCGAGTTATCGTAGAAGCATAAAGAATAGCCCCCACTGCTTGCGCATACGGGTAGTGTTTTGCTTCTTCATGTTCTTGATCAGTTGCAGGGATTGGACGAAATCCAGAAGGTAGAGGAGTTTTTGCAGGATTGCAATCTTTCAGGTCAAATCTTTCAAGAAGTGATTCAAAGTAATGTTCTTGTGACATAAACAGTTTGTGATTTGTTCTATCACGATGAATGTTGAAACCAAGAAAGTATCCAACTGGACCAGAGTCTGAACACTCAAATTCTGAATTAAGTGCCGCTTTGAAGTTGTCCAACATAGTTCGATTGTTACATGCGATGAGTTGATCATCAACATGTACCGAGAGCATGAGAATATTATCTCCTTCACGCTTTGAATAGAAACAAGGATCCGCTTTTGTTGGAAGTAGTCCTTGGGATTGTAACCACTTGTCAAGTGCTTTGTTGAAACATCTTGGTGATTGTTTCAAACCATAAAGCGACTTGCGCAACCAAAGTACTTTGTTTGCTGGGATGTTGGATCCTTCTGGTGGTTGCATGTAGATTGTTTCTTCTAATTCCCCATTCAGGAATGCTGCTTTGATATCAACTTGGTCACATTCAAGATCAAAGTGGTTGACGATTGCTAGAAACACCTGAATTGAATCTTTGTGCGCAACAGCAGCAAAGAGTTCATTGTAATCCAATCCTTCCACTTGATTGTACCCTTTTGCGACAAAGCGAGCTTTATAAGTCGATGGGAGTCCAGTTTCTCCGTCTATCTTGCGGGTATACACCCATCTTCCCTTTAAAATGCGCATTTTTGGATCCAAGTCCACAACTTCCCAGACTTTGTACTTTGACATTTTTGCAAGTTCTTCATCCATGCTTTTTCTCCAACATTCCCATTCACCTGTATTTTGCGCTTCTCGATAGGAGTTGGGTAGATTTGTGGCTGCAAGTGCATGAGCTGCAAGACTGAATGATGTATCATCATCATGGAGGTTTAGTTCATCTGAACTTTCAGAGGAGGAAGAGGATTCTTCTTCTTGCAAATTCTGCGCAAATTGTCGTTGCGCAATTGCATTCTGACGTCTAGGATCTCTTTCAAGATTTCGTAAAAACTCTTGATTCTGTGCGTTTCTTTGCTCCTCAAGTTGCTCAAAGAGAGTTCGTATGCGCCCCAATGGCTGAGCTTCATTTCGGTTGATTTCGTCTTGTGGGTCTTGCGCAATGTCATTTTTAAGTTTTTCAACTCCAATTGAGATTGTTGTGAATTTTGAATTTGCTTTTTGAATATCTAAGTCCCTGCAGGACGGATTTGACTGATTTTTGCGGTGAATATCCGCCCCACTACCAATAACTTGTGGTGTAAGTTCTAGATCAGAAACCTCAGGGACTTCGGAGAAATCTGATTCTGTAGCGAAAATGACATCTCTTGTGATCCAAATTTTCTGGGTGAGAGTGTCCAAAATGCGAAAGTTGTTTGTACCTTCTTGGTAGCCAAGTAGTTGTCCCTCGCGATAGCGTTGCGCAAGTTTGTTGCTTTGTTTATGGTCACGGTGGTAGACTTTACACCCAAATGGTTGAAGATGAGAAAGTCGCTTTTCACTTTTGTACCAAATGTCATCTGGAACGTGTCGCTTTGGACCACCAGGACATCGGTTGCGAGTATAAGCAATGTAATTTGCTGCTTCTGCCCAATACTTAGCAGGAAGCCCAGAATGCGCCAGAACTGTGCGCACTCCATTGAGAATTGTAAGATGAAGTCGTTCTGCACGTCCATTTTGTGTATGCGCATCTGGAGGTACTTGGATGTGTTGAATACCATGTGTTGCGCAAAAATTCCTCATTGCCATAGAACTGAATTCTCCACCATTATCAGAGCGAAGTGTTCTAACTTTAGTGTCAAGTTGTCTTTCTACTTTTGCAATATGATGTTGTAATTGCGCAAAAGCGTCTGATTTGTGTTTGAGAAAGTAAAGATGTACTTTTCGGGTGAAGTCATCATAACAAAACAGGAAGTAAACTGCACCACTAAGAGATGGAGTTCGTGTCAGATGTAGAAAGTAGAATGCATGAAGAGTACAATATTGACAGAGGTTAGATATGAGACGAGGGAATGCGCGGAAATAGCGATAGCGCTCCAATGTGGCAGTTACCGATTGCTCTATTTCCGACACCCCCACTCAAGCGGATCTGCCACATACCCCTAATAACTCCCTCAGTCTATCAAATGTATCTGAAGGAAGAGCCTTTGTCAATAAGTCAGCCATATTCTCTGCTGAGGGAACATGTGACAGAGAGACAGTGTTATCTTCAACTTTCTCCCAAATATAATGATGTCGCAGGTCAATATGTTTTGTCTTGTTATGATGAACCGGATTCTTGGCAAGAGCTATAGTTCCCGCATTATCATTGAGGAGTTTCAAAGGTTCTTCACCAAGTCCAAGTCCCAAATCATCCAGAAGTTGTCTTAACCATACAGCTTGGCGTGTAGCATCTGAAGATGCCATGTATTCCGCTTCTGTTGTTGAAAGCGCAACTGTAGGCTGTCTCCTACTTTTCCAAGCAACAACTCCACCATAAACTTTAAAGACATATCCAGTGGTTGATCTTCTAGTGTCCAAATCTCCTCCCCAATCTGCATCTGCATAACCTAATGCAATACGATTGCTATTCTCTTTGTTGAAGGTGAGACAAAGATCAGAAGTACCACGGATATAACGGAGTAGGTGTTTGACCGCTTTCCAATGTGAGTCATTCCATTTACTAAGGAATCTAGATAAGAGACTAGCTGGGAAAGCAAGATCAGGTCGAGTTATGGTTGAAGCATAGAGAATAGCCCCCACTGCTTGGGCATATGGGTAGTGTTTTGCTTCTTCATGTTCTTCATCTGTTGCAGGGATTGGACGAAATCCAGAAGGTAGAGGAGTTTTTGCAGGATTGCAATCTTTCAAGTCAAACCTTTCAAGAAGTGATTCAAAGTAATGTTCTTGAGACATAAACAGTTTGTGATTTGTTCTATCACGGTGAATGTTGAAACCAAGAAAGTATCCAACTGGACCAGAGTCTGAACACTCAAATTCTGAATTAAGTGCCGCTTTGAAGTTGTCCAACATAGTTCGATTGTTACATGCGATGAGTTGATCATCAACATGTACCGAGAGCATGAGAATATTATCTCCTTCACGCTTTGAATAGAAACAAGGATCTGCTTTTGTAGGAAGTAGTCCTTGAGACTGTAACCACTTATCAAGTGCTTTGTTGAAACATCGTGGTGATTGTTTCAAACCATAAAGTGACTTGCGCAACCAAAGTACTTTGTTTGCTGGGATGTTGGATCCTTCTGGTGGTTGCATGTAGATTGTTTCTTCTAATTCCCCATTCAGGAATGCTGCTTTGATATCAACTTGATCACATTCAAGATCAAAGTGGTTGACAATTGCAAGGAAAACTCGAATTGAATCTTTGTGCGCAACAGCAGCAAAGAGTTCATTGTAGTCCAATCCTTCCACTTGATTGTAACCTTTTGCCACAAAGCGAGCTTTGTAGGTAGATGGGAGACCAGTTTCTCCGTCTATCTTGCGAGTATACACCCATCTCCCCTTTAAAATGCGCATTTTTGGATCCAAGTTCACAACTTCCCAGACTTTGTACTTTGACATTTTTTCAAGTTCTTCATCCATGCTTTTTCTCCAACATTCCCATTCACCTGTATTTTGCGCTTCTCGATAGGAGTTGGGTAGATTTGTGGCTGCGAGTGCATGTGCTGCAAGACTGAATGATGTATCATCATCATGGAGGTTTAGTTCATCTGAACTTTCAGATGAGGAAGAGGATTCTTCTTGTTGCAAATTCTGCGCAAATTGTCGTTGCACAATTGCATTTTGACGTCTGGGATCACGTTCAAGATTTCGTAAAAACTCTTGATTCTGTGCGTTTCTTTGCTCCTCAAGTTGCTCAAAGAGAGTTCGTATGCGCCCCAATGGCTGAGCTTCATTTCGGTTGATTTCGTCTTGTGGGTCTTGCGCAATGTCATTTTTAATTTTTTTAACTCCAATTGAGATTTGTCACGAACTACGTCGCGACACCTCGATTACTCCACCAACAATGACCCTCCTTTGGCCATCAAAACCCCATCACGCCTTAACCTCTTTACTCTACACGTAACTCAGGACTTCTGACACCAAGTACGGCGAAGTTAGACGGAGTTAGGCTAAGTAGGGACAATGGGAGCAGAAGTGCGGCGATGTTAGACGGAGTTAGGCTAAGTAGGGACAATGGGAGCAGAAGTGCGGCGATGTTAGGCGGAGTTAGTCGAAGGAGGAAGAGGATGGCCGAGGGCTCGGGGAAGTTGGACGAAGTGCGTTGAAGTACGTCAAAGCGCGAGAGGGTTGGATGAACGTCTAGGAGGAGTAGATAATATTAGCTGAGAAGATCGCTGAAGTTCTTCAGCGATCCTTGATTGTTGTCAGTAGTAAAAGACAAATAGAGATAGCTATACATCGAGATACATCGCCATCAATAGAACAAAGCCTTAGTTAGAGTAACTACGCCGAAGTACGCCGTAGTTACACTCCTTTCGACGTCTGCGCCCTCCTGGTTGGGTGAGACATCGACTCAGAAGCGTCAAGTTAGCCGAGGTTCGTCGACCGTCGGTCTATAAGGAAGAAGTTGCTCGACGGCCGTGACAGTATCAAGGATCGCTCTTACCGACGACCCGTGCGAACCTCGGAGAAGTACAAAGATAATATGGAACCAGAAAGAAGAATTACACGAGGGATGAGTAGGGATGGAGACAGGATGAGGAGACGAGAGGAGAGCATGGAGGAGCTAGCAGAGCAATGGGGCAGGACCTTGGAGTGGAGGATAGTGTGGGGGGATCAATTCAAGGAGATGAGTTCATTCCACCGGTGCCTTCTAACCCTCCTTTCTCCTCCGTCTAATGCTCTCCCACTGCGGGATCCCCACTTGGATCAGACCAAACCCCACGCCCAAGAGAAAACACTGGAAGTACGGCGAACTTGGGAGAAGAAGGAACACAAGGGGTGGTGTTGGCCTTGATGCAGATGGTGGCGAATATGAACAAAGACATGATGGAGGAGAGAAGGCGTAGGGAGGAATGGGAACAGAGAAGAGAAAGGGATACAGTGGGCGGGATTGCAGAAGGCATATCAGAAGGAGTGAGGTACGCCATGGGACGGCAAACTTCGGCGACCCCAAGCGTAGTGGGCGAACAACGGAAGGGGATAAAGCTACCTAACCCAGACCTCTGGAGAGGAGATCGGAACAAGTTAACCGCCTTTCTGTCTGAGTGCGACGTACATTTCGAATTGAACTCTCATCTTTTCCCCGACGACACTAAGAAAGTCTTTTTCATGATCTCTCATCTACGCGAAACACCTCTTCTTGCAGTGCAGCCCGATCTATCCAAAAGACCTCTTCCTGAGTACCTCACGACACACGATCAGTTCGTTAAGTACCTCAAGACTAACTTTGGTGATCCAGACGAAGAAGGAACTGCGGCCCGACAACTTAACGACCTCAAGCAAACCGGGTCTGCTTCGGACTACTTCTCCGCCTTCCAGCGACATGTTGCGATTCTTAAGTGGTCTGATGATGGAAATCTAGTTGACCGAGCCAAGAAAGGACTAAAATCGCACCTTCTAGATGAAATTGCAAGACACGGTAGATCGTTTGGGACTGTGAAAGAGCTATTGGAGTTTGTGATCCCCTTGGACAACCGCCTGTGGAGGAGACAAGTGGAGAAGGAGGCAGAGAGGAAAAGGGAAGGAGGGATAAGGACAACGACAGTGGTGGAAAGTCAGAGGACGGAGAAGAAAGAAGAGAAGAAATGGGAAAAGGGGCAACTTTCGGCGCAGGGTGGTGTCCAGGCGGCTATGATGTCGACGGTGGTAAAGAGTACACCGCCAAACATCGACGAAGTTCGCCGAAGATGGCCTAGGCCGAGCTCCGATCTGAG